ATAAATTGTTTATTAATTAAAACCCATTAAGATATGCTTAAATGTTTTCTAAGTCACGTTTGTTCCATGTCAATTTTCAATTTGAAAGAGATGTCTAATTTTCCTGCACTCCTTTATAATTTAAAGTAATAGCTACATTCTCTTAGTTACATTTTGTGTTTATTTCACTCCTTTCCAATCTACTTTACTCTCAAAACATACATGTAACCATGGTGAAAATTCACTAATGGGATAGCTAATGACTGGAGTGGATTGTTGATAGGTGAATGTGTTCAACTATATATTGCACTTTACACTCCTGGGGAATATACTGGCAGCCAGAGGCTACACCTCCTTATAACTAGTTTTTTGCAATTTTGTTATTATCCACTATGATAGACTATAGCATCACCCAAGAGGTTAAAGGCTATGTTGAAATTTATCAACCACATTGGGCTACAGCACTCAACAAGGGCATGGGGTAGGTAATGGAATTGTCCTCCATTATTGGCTACAGCGCCACCTAAGGGGGAGACTTAAAGTTTTCAGAATCTCCCACAATTGGCTATAGCATCACCCAAGGAGAGGGCTATGTTTTCACAATCTCCAACAATTGGCATAGCACCACCAAAGGGGAAGGCTATGTTTTCAAAACCTCCCACAATTGGCTATAGCACCACCCAAGGGGAAGGCTATGTTTTCAGAATCTCCTGCAATTGGCTATAGCACCACCCAAGGGGAAGGCTATGTTTTCAGAATCTCCCACAATTGGCTATAGCACCACCCAAGGGCAATGCTATGTTTTCAGAATCACCCACAATTGGCTACAGCACCACCCAAGGGCAATGCTATGTTTTCAGAATCTCCCACAATTGGCTATAGCACCACCCAAGGGCAATGTTATGTTTTCAGAATCTCCTACAATTGGCTACAGCATTACCCAAGGGCAAGGCTATGTTTTCAGAATCTACCACAATTGGCGATAGCTTTACCCAAGGGCAAGGCCATATTTTCAGAATCTCCCACAATTGGCTATAGCACCACCCAAGGGGAAGCTATCAATTGGCTATAGCACCACCCAAGGGGAAGGCTATGTTGTAATTATCCCCCACACTGGGCCAGAGTAATGGAAATAAATGAATAAAAAGCCTTGCAAGACATTCGACACTAAATTCATTGATGTCATTAAAGGCATTATTTATCAGTCATTGACTGGTTTCTGAGCCCAATTAGAATGCCAAAATCATCCTAGACCTTGCTCGTAACAGTCTGTCTTCGTATCAAACTGCAGTATTTTATCACCCATAGAGAAAAAATAATCAATTTGAATAGTCCAACGTGCAGTTGGTCACAAAGCAGTAATCTAAATCCATCAATCTATTAATGCTTGTTAACTAAGATGACCATAATCTTTAAGTAAGTAATTGATAATGGCAACAGTCGACTCCCATTCAAAACAGTTCTCTTCTGCAATGTTTTTTATATTCTTCTGGATTAGACTGAAATGGATCTGTTTTTAGTAAACATAATAAGGAAATCGTGCAATTATTGGTTAAAGTGTCGATGTTGAATGTTCCTGGCTTTTGCATCTTGTTTTCAAGTTGCATCTGTGTTTTCTATTATTCTTTTGGTAGAAATGTGCAGGTATTAATTGCTTCAACAATACCGTACAGTGATCTCCCCAGCATTAAAGCAAGTGGGTGTAGCACCCACCTTAGATTTTGAAAATAGGCTTGCACCCAACTGGAAATCCATTTACACCCACTTGAAAATGAGAAAAATCATGAAAAATTGGCATATTTTGACCAACTTTGTACTGAATTGTAAAAATGAGAATTTTGCACCCACCTGAAAAAAAATCCTAGGGAGATCACTGCCGTATTTGTGATGTCTATCATGGATAAGTGAGTCATTGTTTGCAGATATTTTTCTCTCTACTCAATTCGTAGTTCATTCAATTAGTATACAGTAAAACCTGCGAACAGGGAATGCTCTTGGGACTGGAGGAAAGTTTCCTTGTTCAGAGGTTTTCCCTATAGAGAGGGGCCGCACTTTCAGCAAACTCAAAGTTGCTGAATAAGCATATTTGTATATATTTGGGCATTGATTGATTTTACCAATGCCGACTCCATACTTGGTTGCTAGACCTTGTTGTAACATCTTGAAAGATGTATGAAGGTCTCCAACCTGCCTTCATTGGCTGAGGGTAAGGGGTGTTCTCCCTATGTTGATTTTAACTGTTGATGCTGGTGTCTGATGATGTCTAGTTGATGTAATTATTGATGTGATGTGTAGAGATATGTTTCTAAGAACTGAATTTCAAGTTTTATCAACCCCATTTTTATGTCCCCACCACATAGTGTGGGGCCATATTGTCGGCTTAGGCGCGTCTGTCTGTCCGTATGTCCGTCTGTCCGTATGTCCGTCCGTACGTCCGGCAGTTTTCTCCAAAACCACTACAGATATCACCTTCAAATTTTCAGGGATAACTTATGATTGCATCTAGATGTGGATGAAAAAAAATTATTTCGATACCTACTTCCTGTCGGCCATTTTGAAGTCAAATGCTAAAATCCTTGTCTGCAAACTTTAAGAAAAATGGCTTCACAGTTGCTTTTGAAACTTTAACATCTTGTTCAGCTCACTTCATTCTAGATCTGATTAGGTTTTGGACCTGTTAGCTCAGTCATGTCAGCCATTTTGAATGTTTTAAGAAAAGTTAGCGCGCGATAATAGTTTGTATCATATTGAATGGTGTTTTTCACTTTTCATACTTTAACTATTTTGTAGCTTTATAAATAATTTCAGGTGTACTTTGTTGTAAAAGCCTATGTTATTGTTAACAGTAGTTATATGTGATAATTTTGTAAAAAGAAATCAGCAAAAACTTATAATCACTTTTTTATTGTCGGCCATTTTGGATTTTTCCGTCCTAAAATCTTGTCTGTAAAGTCTTGTCTTCGCGTTTTCAGGTGAACCTTTTGGTAGATCAATTTCAAATTTTCAGGGATGATTCTTAGTATGAAAATCAAGATCTGATTAGTTTTTGGGCATTCTGGGTAAATGTCAAGGCAGCCATTTTGGATTTTCCGTCCTAAAATCTTGTCTGTAAAGTCTTGTCTACGCATTTCCAGGTGAACTGTTTGGTAGATCAATTTCAAATTTTCAGGGATGATTCTTAGTATGAAAATCTAGATCTGATTAGTTTTTGGGCATTCTGGATAAATGTCAAGGCAGCCATTTTGGATTTTCCATCTTAAAATCTTGCCCGTAAAGTCTTGTCTACGCATTTTTAGGTGAACCATTTGGTAGATGAATTTCAAATTTTCAGGGATGATTCTTAGTATAAAAATCTAAATCAAATTAGTTTTTGGGCATTCTGGGTAAATGTCAAGGCAGCCATTTTGGATTTTCTGTCCTAAAATCGTGTCTGTTAAATTTTGTCTACGCATTTCCAGGTGAACTGTTTGGTAGATCAATTTCAAATTTTCAGGGATGATTCTTAGTATGAAAATCTAGAAGAGATTAGTTTTTGGGCATTGTGGATAAATGTCAAGGCAGCCATTTTGGATTTTCCGTCCTAAAATCTTGTTTGTAAAGCCTTGTTTACGTGTTTTCTGGTTAACTGTGAGAGGGATCAATTTCAAATTTTCAGGGGTGGTTGGTTCTTAGTATGAAAACTAGAACTGACTAATTTTTTAGCATTCTGGGTAAATTTCAAGGTGGCCATTTGGATATTCCGTCCTCAAATTGTGTCGGTAAAGTCTTGTCTACTCATTTTTAGGATAACCATTTGACGGGATCACCCATAGGTGGGGACATTTTGTACACATTTGTGTTCTTGTATATCATTGATAGTTTAGAATTTTGGGTCAGTAAAAGATTGAAGGAGATTTGGCTCAACATGACACATGGACTTCTGTCATATCCATAAAACAATTGTGTCAGTCCCTAGATTATCACAACTGATGAGAAGTAATACAGTTTGTTAGTGTCATGATAATAAGTAACAAACAGATTAGTATTAGTTTTGAATATATCAGGGTAATGAACAGTAGTTGGGATGCTACATCTTGGCTACAATTGGCTTATCTTAATCTCAATCATATTAATCCAAGCTTTTTAGAATCAGATATTGGCTTAAGACTTTCACACCTCTGGAAAATAATAGAATATACAGTGTCACCAATATTCCATATTCCTTGTTCACAGGTGAATTTTCATTATTTGCCCCAAAAAGTGTTCCTTGTTCCCTGTTCACAGGTTTTCCCTACAGAGAGGGCCCGTTAACATGTAAGTCAATGGAAAAATATTCGGTTCTTTTGAAAAAGCTTCCATGTTCATAGGTTTTCCCTACAGAGAGGTATTCCATCGGACAGGTTTTACTGTATTCACATTTCCTAAACATTTGGTAACAGTAATTAGGCCAATAAACTACAGTGTAGCATCACTTAACCTTAACCTTAAAAATTCAAGAAATAACAAGAAAAGTTTGTAGTACGAAGGGCAGCAATAAAATAATCTCTGGGTGTTATCACACCTGTCTCCTACCTTATATGGAAAGATGTAGGAAAAACCATAGAAACTCAGGAAGAACACACGGATATTGTAACAGTTTGATAACGTACTATCAATCAGATTTAACGATTACGGGAACTTTATCTGTTAGATAATGGAGCCTTGAATTAATTACTCGGTAATATTGAAATGGATCACTTTTTACACTTCCTGAATTACATTGCAATTGTGTGAGAGGAATAGAATCCTTTAAAAGGTGTATGTGGGGTGTATGTTTATAGCTAGTGAGACATCATGCTCTGTTTGCTTTGTTGTATACCTAGTACTATGTAAGTCAGTTGACTGGGTCTAATCGACCAAACAGAACAGAACTCTGAAATATTAATGAATGTCTTCATTTTAATCTACTTGTTTCATCTGAGTTTCTTTTGTTCACATTTTTAGAAACAATAATTTTATTCTCAACAATTAAATAAATGAAATATAAAACCTGTGTGTTACAGTTGGCGATGGCGATGTTACGTTTGTTTGACCCCACCCTAGAGCCACAGCCTGAGGTCCCCCAGGACATCTTGAAACTTATACCCATGTACAGAGCTGCCAAGGTCACCTCAGCAGTGCTACCAGGTAAGATGACATCAAAAATGAATGAAATAACACAAAGTTAAGATTTTGGCATTTTGAAAGATAAAATTAACCATTGTTTATTTTTAAATACAAAAATGATAACAAAAAATTAAGATTTTGGAATTTTTTTAGATTTTTGAAAAAAGGGAAAATCAGATTTTCTACAAACTTCGAGAATGTTTACTCAAGAAATAATCGAGAGCTCAACATTTTCAAAATATTTTGCAACATCACAGATTTTTAAGTGATGTCTTAAGTTTCATGTCATATCACGTCCATATACTTTTGATGCAGCACTTACCCTTCCTTCAAATTATCATCTAATTGGCCAGAAACATAAAATGAAATGGAATTCCATTAGATCACCCATCCCACTGATATAACGACAATGCATGACAGACTAGCTACTTTAACTGGACACTCAGAAATAATGATTAAGTGAGAATAACCTGTACATAAAAATCCATGATGATCATGTTTCAAGTGCAAAATGAAGTGAAAAAGCAAGGAATAATATTGAGTAAAAAACAGATTAAAAGCAATGCACTATACTGTAATACGATGCTAGAATTGTATTTTCATGATTAAAAATTTAATGGTAAATTGTGTTGAAAAGATGTGTCCATTTGGAATTTTGTTCAAGGAAAGTGGTGATATTTCTTCATTTTTGTTCCAGGGGGTTACAATTACCTGCACGTAGGCAAACCTGGGTTGAATACGCCTCTGGATGCTCTCATGGCACAGAATGATTATGTAAGTACAACGCATGCTTGCATCATGGCTTTGATTACCATACTTTGCTTTTTTTTAAATAGAGCCTTGTTAGGGTAAGTTTATAACTTGATTCTCCACCTGTGTATGTCGCTCTCTGATTATATTCTCAACCCATCATGATAAACCATGACATCTCATTTCTTCTCAGCCTTGAAACAGAAAGATGCTATGTATCAGAATGCTCTCAACTCTTTATTTCATGACCATGTGTTAGTATTGGAGGTATGGGGAGGGTATGACAGAGGCTTGGTGTAGGATTAAGTTGAAATATAACTGATGGTATTTAAAGATCTCCTACATCAACCACTCCCTCTTCTTTGTTTTGCATCGCCATCTATAGATAAGAGGCCAGAGAAGGTCTGGTATTTGATGTGTCATTTTGAAATATTGCCCATTATGATAATTCCTAATTACACTGATTTGACAGACTCAATGTAACATATGGTTCTTATTTATTTTAATGTAGGGCCGTGAATTGATCACAGGGACACCTGGTGGCAGCCCTGAGTACTTCAGGCTACATGTTAACCAATACAAAATGGTGGAAACCATCACATGTTTATCAAAAAAAGTAAGTAACTCTTCTATATTTCAAGAGTGTTAAATACGTATGCTTTTAGTGAATCGATATACTATTACAGTAACACTTCACATTCAAATTCCTGTGAAGTCCCATATTTACATTTCAGATTGTTTAGATATTATCAGCTTCAAGACTGCAATATACTGTAAATTGCTTTTATTTGACGGCTGTTTTAATTTGGAAGATTAAGAAAGAGATCGCCAAATTAAGTCTCCACCAATATTTTGAAAATGAAATTCCCGGGGATTTTCGTCATTTTCCATGTGTTACTTTGCACGATAAAACTATTATGGTGAAAATCCTGATTGAATCATGGATAAGATGTCAATGTCCAAAGATATACAGAGTCCTGCTGGTAATAAAATAAAACATCTGATACCAGAAGCGATAGAATTGCGTTATCCTTGACGAGCTGTGAAATGAGTAATACCATTGATGATGGTCAATCTGCCAAATTAAATAGTATCTAAAATTTTAAAATTTGCCCAATTCGCCAAATTAAAGCAATTTACAGTATATCAAAAAGTCAGAGGATATTCAGGATAGTTATTATTCCAACGATGAAAGTGAATAATGCACTCAGTTTATTTTGTTGAATCACATCTCCCATATAAATAGGGCAGTTGACCAGGTCTACGGTAGATCCGGCAGATGCAGATCCGGTAGTTCTGTTAACCTTGACAATTGAATCTTACCAGAAAATGGAACCATGTATTATCTCTTAGAGTACAACAACTGAATTGTATAAACAAAACCCTGGATTTGAACCAAGTTTTCCACTATCAACAATTGTATTTTGTTTTGCTAGCCTTTCAGTGTCATCTTCTTGTTAACATATTCCTTGACAATTTATGCAGTGGTGGTACCATTAATTATCTTCCAGACATGAGAATTTGAAGGTTTCAAAAACTTATGTCTGTCAACGTGTACAATAGGACAATGGGACTATGACCTAATTCAGTTCACCACACGACATACATTATCTCTTGTTCAAATTTCCTCAAATTAGATTTTCTATGTGTTTAAGGACTTATTTTTGATTAGATCTTGATTACTATACATTTGATGTCATAGAATAAAGCCTTAAAGATGATAAAATTGATGGTTAGTTGAGATCGTTCTATATTTTAAACACTAGCTCAAATTGAGAATTTTGTGTGGGTCATCCCTGGCCCCTTAGGGTATGATCCATTCAAGAAAAACTGCTTTCTCTAAGTCTCCCTTTCCATGAGAGTGTGATCCTGAATCTCCCCGCCCCCCTACCCCCAAAGTTTTGGCTTCTGGCCTCTTGTCTCTTCTCGTGAAAAAAATTATACCCTCCTCTTGCCTTCCATGAGAAGTTATTCTGAATTTTCTGAGTGATTATTTTCACTGAATACAGTACCTAATAGACGTCAACAAGTCACTAAGATAAATAAACCATCCAGGTTTATACAACAGAATAATTAATCTATTTCTAGTTGGAAATGACAAAAGGGGGCATTGTGACCTTTTGGCAGTTTGGTATTATCAAAAGTTATTCTTACATTTCATTTTCAACCATTTAAATGCATAGCATTTTCTTGCAACTCCACCGACATACTAGTTTTATATTTGACCTTATATCATGGTTTGCTACTATTTTTATGAACAATGCTTACTCCTTTTTGTTTGGATTCTGTTTAAAGAGGTCATCATGACCTTTGTACTATCTATATGGTTCCAAATGTCATTAAAACAAACTAAAAGTGTTAGGTTGTTTAGACAGAACAAAGCTGTCCATGTAAAAATGAGGGCAGTGTACATGACAAAAGGTTTGAATCATTCATTTACTGTACTATTTGACCAGTTTGGGAAATGTTAAGGTACAGCTGGAAAATAACATTTTGGTAAAAAATTGCTATACCTGCACATGTTATTTTCTGGTACAAAATAAAGTTTGAAGGCATGTGTCAATTTCCTTGCTTTTTCACGAAAGTATCATTATATTGTCTTCTTTTAGAATATCAGGTAGGAGTTCAATGGGAACTCCAGGAAATTCTGATATTTCACACTCTCTATTTTTCCAAATTTTCTTTCAGTTTCCGGACAACACAGGAGCTACCATTGACCTGTCTCCAGGTTTACTAAAAGTAGACAGTGTAATGATACTTTCCTGAAAAAAGCAAGGAAATACACACATGCCTTCATACTTAATTTTGTACCAGAAAATACCATGTGCAGGTATAGCAATTTTTTACCAAAATGTTACTTTCCAGCTGAGCTTTAAAGACTTATGGAGCTGTCAAACTTTGGCTATGTGGGCTCACTGTATGCCATCGTGTGAATACTTTGGGGTGATATTTTAAATGGTAGGGCATGGCATGGATACACTGTGGGCAAAACAAAGTTTTACAGTAAGATATCCACTTCACACCAAATACAAAAATTGATTAGTAAAAAATTTATACCTAAAATTTGCCATATGGTGCGGTGAGCCCACACGACAAGTAATACAGCTACTTTACAAATGGTCATTTTCGTCATTATAAAGATATGCAAATGTCCCCAAGAAAGTGATTTTGCATGCTTTGTACATGTAATTTTCATTGGATTAAATTGCAAATGGCAATGAATGATGTTGCTCACTGTAATTTCAATTTGGTTAATTCTTGCTGGGAACCAATCAAGTGGAGTTACTTGTTCTGAAAGAATTTTTCAGATACTCTATAATTCATTAAATTCAAATTCAACATTATGACATTATGAAACTTGCTAAATTGCCAAAGTACTAAAATTATATATATGATGTACAGTATGCATTGGATTTACCATGGGCTTTCAAGAGAAGAGTATGCAATTTCCCAAATTCCATATGACATTGAGCCTTGCCCCAGGTTTTCAAATGTGGAGAAAAATGCTTCCTGTACACAGTTCTAGAAAAAATCTTATTTTGTATTAATTTAAAGAAAAAACTCAAAAATAAAAATATTAACATGTGCATACATGTTGATAATATAATACAAAAAGCTTGAATGCCCATGGATTTACTGATCTTCTTTGTAACTTCTTTGTAAATAAAATAAAAGCATACTGACCTTGAATTATATAAACTCCTCTCTCGACCTGTCTCCTGTCAATGTAGTTAAAGTAACAATTACCTAACCTAGATAGTTTCATCAAACTCTTAAATCGCGGACTTTCTTTATAGAGAATAGAATCGGCAACATTTGTCACAATGTAATGAGTACATGTCATTAAACAGAATTGCCTTAATGATGAAATCGTCTCTAAATGATAAATCGGGTCGGGTCTGGAGAGAATTTTATCTAAAGTTTCCCCTTCCAAAGTGACAAACACATCAGACATATGCCCCTAAATAAGAAATACTCTCTCAATGTTCTAAATATAAAACTTACCCCAAAATAAAATCTGTTGTTTCAAGGAAATCGTTCGCTAATAATCATCCTAGAGGTCCAACTTATTATAAATATTAGTTTTAGAGGTGAAATATTGTACTAGAATCGTCAAGAATTATTTACACTAAAATCTTGAATATTTTCTTCTCTAAGCTTAATAATATACATTGTATGATAAGTTTGTTTATCATTGATATAGCTAATTGGTTGTGTATTTACAATTTGATATTGTATGTTAGGGTAATAATGGATAATATACAACAGCTATGATAAACAATGAGAAGGTGGTCCTGTCTCTACACAAATAGTACATAAATGTTATGTTATTGGAGGTTTTGGATATTGGAAATATCCCAAGGGAGTTGTATAGGATATACTATGATTTGAGAGCTGTCATTTTTATCCACGAGTTCATATCAATATCTGGACGAGTTAGTGTAGCGAATGAGTGCAGATATTGATATCAACGAATGGATTAAAATTATATCACGAAAAAATCATAGGATGTTCTATTTATCCCATAGTTCACCTAACCAACCATTTCAAAACAACATTCAGTTTTACTTTGTCCTTTGAACTATATAGCCAAAACATTAATCATTTCCACATTTGTGATGTCATGAAATCACCAAGTAAGCATATAATATATGTAACCATGCACGTCACATTTGCCGGAATTTTCAAATCGGTGGAAAAGTGATATCCATGGAATATTCTCCCTATTCAACAGATATCACTTTTTTCAAAACATTTGCAAAATATCATAAATATATATATGTTATTCTACAGATTTGACCTCAGATGTGGGATAAATAAATATATTATGTCTTCTTGAGGGACCTAATACTTTTGGTACTTCACCATCATGCCTGTATAATGTATTCCTATGTACTCCACCATTGTAATTTAATATACCTTTACAATATATTTCTAGGTACTCAATAATGGTAATATGATGTGCCTTTAGAATGTATTTCTAGGTACTCCACCATTGTAATTTAATATACCTTTACAATATATTTCTAGGTACTGAACAATGGTTATATGATGTGCCTTTATAATGTATTTCGAGGTACTCTATCATTGTAATTTAATATACCTTCACAATATATTTCTAGGTACTCAACAATGGTTATATGATAAGCCTGAATAATGTATTTCTAGGTACTCCACCATTGTAATTTAATATATTTTTACAATATATTTCTAGGTACTCAACAATGGTAATACGATGTGCCTAAATAATGTATTTCGAGGTCATTGTATTTTGATATACCTTTACAATATATTTCTTGGTACTTAACAAGGTAATATGATGTGCGTATAAGTATTTCTAGGTACTCTGCCATTGTAATTTAATATACCTTTACAATATATTTCTAGGTTCTCAACAATGGTAATATGATGTGTCTATACAATGTGCATGAGAGATACCTGAACAATCTTCTCTCAAGGTTCGATGAAGGTCTTATTAAAGATCTATACAGGTAAGAAATTCAAACTTCAGTAATCATTACATCTTCTTGAAATATCCTTCTCCTGTAAAACCCATTTAAAGAGGATATTGTATGGTTAGTTTTTTTCTCGTTACTATGGGTATATTTAGCTTTGAGAGGTATACCATGAAGGTAATAGCATTGAGATTTGAAAGTAATAGCATTGAGATTTGCACCTTAGAAGGTGTTCACTTGAAGAGGTTCTGAATAATTTATGTGAATCAGTTACTCACATTCCAAATTGTGCATTTTAAAGGTGTTTAATGCATTGGTTTTACTGTATGTAGGAGTTAAATGTCATTAAATGCCTTGGATTACATCTAAGTGATTTCCATTAATAGTCAGAGTAGTTCTAGATTATTTTCTATTATACTTCTCAGTTCATAGAAACCTTTTATTTATTTTTCTTTTAATCCATCTTTAAAGCTATTTGACATATTCCTCTCTTAGGGCCTTTTTGTATTCCCATTCAGTTTTAATGATGTATTAAGAGGAAATTAAAAACTATTCTGATAGCTACTATACCATTAGGTACTTCAGTGGACTTGATAAATATTGATTTATTTCTTATGTAATATAAAAAGCCTTCTGTTGGTATTTGAATACCATAATTTAGATGATGTAATCTTATCTAAAAGCAAATATTTTGAGATGTGTGTATAAAAGTGAAATATTCACATTCAAAGACTTCAATACAGTATATGCATACTATTTAAACAAAGGAATCTTTTTTGAAGCCCGATGTTAAGGCTAAATGAAGAAGTACTCCAACTCTCTCCGATTTAAAAGCCATATTTCAAGTTTATCTTTGAGTTATTCTCAAGGGCTAATCAAGACCTACTCATAGTTAAGTTGTATATTTAACTTTCAGTTACTTCAAAGAGGCGTGGTGTCTGGCTATATTCCATGATAGATTCCCCGACTTCAAGGAAGAAGTTCGAGAACTGCTCATCACAAAGCCATCTCCTGATGTTGAAGCTTTAGAGGAGAAGGTATGCTTTCCTTGATCTTTTCATATTCCTTTTTGTCATAATAGTCATCATAAATTCATGACCTTCTTCATAATAGTGGTTTACTTGTATTGTCCATGTCATAAGGTTTTACTTCTACTTGTTATAAATGTTTTCTTGTCCATGTCATAAGGTTTTACTTCTACTTGTTAAAAATGTTTACTTGTACATGTCATAAGGTTTTACTTGTACATGATATAATAGTTTACTTGTCCATGTCATAAGGTTTTACTTCTACTTGTTATAAATGTTTACTTGTACATGTCATAAGGTTTTACTTGTACATGATATAATAGTTTACTTGTCCATGTCATAAGGTTTTACTTCTACTTGTTATAAATGTTTACTTGTACATGTCATAAGGTTTTACTTGTACATGATATATTAGTTTACTTGTCCATGTCATAAAGTTTTACTTCTACTTGTTATAAATGTTTACTTGTACATGTCATAAGGTTTTACTTGTACATGTTATAAGGCTTTACTTGTACATGATGTAAGTCTTGGCTTGTATTACAGGTGAGACAGATGATAGAAGATGACCTAACCATTAGTAAATCACAGAGAAAGCAACTTGACAAAGACTATTTGGAGGGTGGAGCTAAGCGTGCAGTTGACACCCGCCTTCTCAGTTTCCTTACATACAATTACTACCATCTACCTATGTATGCGAAGCCTGGTATGCTATAGAAACAATATGCAGAGACTATTTTTCCGAGTTTCTAAACATACATGTTATATCACCTACAAGTGTATGCAAAGATGGAATGCTACAGAATCATTCCTACAGACTTTTTTGATTCTTTCCTCAGTCAGGTTTGCTCTAAGGGGGGGGGGGGGCTGTACTGCGGCCATAGCTTCACAAAATCGATACAAAAATCGACATCCTACTGATTTATCAATATATTTTATGCTGTATATTTCTCTTGATTTTGGAATGCTACGGCCACCGTACAGTTGCCATCCATTAAATGTGGCTGAGGCATACATTTATTCTCAAAAGTAATTTATACAGAGCTTGGTACACCATGAAAGCTGCATGCTGAATAACGTTTCAACAGGTATATTGTGTTCCAGGTTTTTTCCAAACATCTTCTACCATCTATTAAAGCAACACAAATTGTAACATTCCAGTATTGTACTTTTATATTTTTGTAATAGATGTCAGGCTTGAAGGACGCTCACAGTTGGAAAAATTGGAATAATAATAGTTATATTTTCAACGTAATTTACCATATTTTCAAAATATCATTAATATATGTGTGGTCTCCAGTTATGAGACTATCCTGATATAATCTGATGGTTTCATAACTTGTTTCCCTGGGTTTAACATGGATTATCTTAAAGGTGGTGCATAAACTATACCCCCACCCCAAGAGACCCTGAAATACTTTGAGTACTTGCACAATATACTGTATACATTGCAGTTAATATCAACACTTTAAACCCAGGTGTCAATGGTGTTCAAATTAGTATTGCAGTAAAAGCAGCATACTAAAGAGCCTAAAAAACTTTCTGTTGAAAATTACATCCATCCATGTAAGGTCTGGTTCATTCTGATATTCAGGCCATCTCTGCAATGCACAAGAATGTTCTAGAAAGGAAACTGAGAGAAGGCTGTGATATCTCACGATGGGTCTGGTTATTTTTAAACATTATTGAGCTAGGCTAATCAGATTGCAGAATATGAAAAAAATTGTCTCGATTCTACATTGATATGGTTGAATATTCTTCCAATTCAGAATCTACAGATATAAAACAAAGATGCAGAATTCTCTCCCAGTATTCCCAAAGATGTACAAAAATGTATATTTAGAGTTGTTGTCAGGCTAATCCCCGGAGTTAATCCCATAGATGTGAAGATATGTTCAAGAGATCTTGCCGGTCTCTAATACAATTTACAATAATTCTGGGCCCAGTTGTTCAGAATCACTACTCTGTTAATAGCGCTATTAAGCTAATAGTGGTTCTGAAGAACTGAGCCCGGATGTAATCATTTTGAATAGATTTGACAACTGTTTATAATGTGTGAATAACAAGGCATATTTCCAAATTTGTAGCTAGCCAAACACGTCATACCAAAATGTTGACCTATTTCACCTAAGTTTAGAGATTTATTTTTAAATTCAAGGAATGGTTCATAGAATGTATAATCAGAAATTAGTCAATCTAAAAATCTATACGCAACATACATGACAAGTGTTTTATCAACTATTCTTTTATTGTGAATTATAGCAAAAAAGCCAATTTCTTTATATTGCATTGCACAAAAACAGAATAAATTGAAACTGTTCTAATATTTGAGATTGCTACCAGTAGCTAGGGGGGAAATGAAACACCTCTACTTATATCAAATGTCCTGCATTTCCTGATGTTCACTATACCCCCACGTTTATATCTTAGGTTCCTGAGTTTGTATATACATTTATCACAGGTTTTGGAGGACTTTATTTATCCCATATCTCCAGTGTCCAAGAATGTACTTAGTTTCGTGAAGATCACAAGAACACTGTCAAATATAGAAGATAAACTTCTATGTGGCGCTCCATGAAAAACACCCAAATCATCGAACTCCTATGCAGTGTCTCGGTATAGACACTGCGGCGGGCAGATTATGGAATCCCCAAAATTTGGGGAAGATAGTCCCCCTTTTTGTCACAGATGTACTTGTTTTTCACACAACTTATAAAATATATGTTCTTTTATGTTCGCCAATAATTATTTTGTCAAAATATTCCAAAATCAATGAAATATAAGAGGAAATCCCCGCGGAAGGAATTCTGAGTAAAAGTTGTGTTGATAAAAGTTTACCGCACGTGTTGTTTATTAGTTAATACGCGCAATTAAACCAATGAAATTGTCTAAATTTTACAATCACACAACCTGAGCATGGGACTAGAACCAATCACGTCAGTTGTTTATTACGATGTTACCATGCTTACGGTGAGATACCTGCCCGCCGCAGTGATATATCACTGCACGGGAGTTCGCCAAATCATTTACATATGACAAATTGTTATGTGGTGTTTCATGAACATCCTAGTCTCAAATAGAAGGCAAATCTATTCACATCCTAATCTCATAGAGAAGACAAACTTTTTTAAGGTGCTTCATGCATGACACTAAAGATGGCACTGACTGCCTGTGGACAGCCTTGGTGTACGTCATACGCAACAATGTTCTGGAGCATCCCTAGAACTCCTATCACTGCTTCAAGATCTGCAACAGTCTGAAGATAAAATCATGAAAAATGTACTTCACCTAATATAGTATATTTTCCTAAATAGATAAATTTTCTATTAAGGTTAATTGGCCATATAGTGCAAAGAAACATTCGACCCCATAAATCATGTGACCATGTCCCTTTTACATTCTGGCAATGATGTCAAAATCCTGGGGACCAATTAATCAACATGGTACAATCTACATATAATTGTAAAATTGTGCTTGAAAATGTAATTGAAGATCACATTCATCAATTAAATAAATTATAAATGGGCTTACATTTGAGAACCTTTAAACTTTAAGATTAAATAGTATTGCAGATGCCAGGTCAAACCTGGAATTATTACTTATACTCTTCTGTTAGTAGAATTATTACTATATTGTTTTTTATCTTATTGCTTAAACCATATTTGCATTCAACTCTAGTCTTACCATTCTTAAAGCAAAGACTTTTTGTAGTTTTGAGTCTATAAATTCATTCATGGCATGAGAACTGGGGCAGCAGTTTTTATCAAGAACTTCTACCACCTTGTAACAGTACACTTGGCTAAGTTGTGTTAGAATCCTTGCATCTATAGAGCCCTATGTTAAAATGTAAAAAAGTAGTATTAGTAATTTTATTAATGCAATGTACAGAGCATCTGACTAAAAATAAGGATGTTTGTTAAATTTCAATGTATGGGATTTTTGTCATATTTTGTCCCATGGTATTTCAATTATTTGCAGCCCATTTTGAAAGATGGGTTCTTGCGTTTCAACAATACATGTAATTCCACAACTAGGTTTTTGTAAATGGTTTAAATTTTATCAAAAATTCCAAGAATTCCGATGTTTACAAAAGTGAATAATTCACTACCTCCTGACCAACCAGAATCAAGTACAAGGCATTAACATAGCAAAATACCACCACCTGACATTTGTTACAGACACAAAATTCCAAACACCAACCATTGCCACAAAAGAAAACATACCATGCTATCCTGGTTAATGACAGTTGAACCACTGTCAGCATATTGAAGGGCATACTTGGTAAGCTCCAGCAGGGTGCGACTGAGCGTAACCAGATACTCTAATTGTCCAGCTATGCTGTTCATCATCCTCCATGCTCCTGGAATGTGGCCCTCAGTCTGTATATACACAAAATATTTCATGAGAATACTATCGTAAGCATCACAAAGCCATCAAGTAACTTTTGGTCACTAGGATGAGAATATAATATATATTTAATACTGTTATACAATAGAGAAGTCACAGGGAGGAATGAATGTGACATATTTTTTATTGGAACTTATAAAGCGAAAAGGGTTGGAAAATGTACACTTTAATGTTTTGTGAAAATTAGTAATTTTACCAAATTTTTGCGTATTTTTATAATTTTTACTACTAATTTTGACAAACTGTCCTAAAGTGAGTTTTAAAAGAAAATATAAGTCAGGATTTTTCTAGGTGCTATTGCAAAGAGGAGATAATGAGAGTTCCAACCCAAGTTACTAACCTGTGTAATGAGAGATTTGACGAGTAGGTGCCTGTGGACTCTGATCCAGTCTTGCTGGTCTACAGCAGATCTAATGTTTTCATCAAGCTCTAGGCTTACAGCACGTATGTTGCTAACTTTGTAAGGGTCACCACCTGGCCCACTTTGTTGGAAGTGAAAAGCTGCCTGGATAGAAAATAAGCCTTAATTTTATCTGCATTACAATAGGTAGACTTTCTACCAAGAATAGATACTTCAAATCCCTGCCTGACCTTGCCTGCTTTATGACAAGAACTTACTCATAACTATGTAGAAATTGAAAGAGTCGGTAGCAGGCCAAGGAAAGCTACCAGTTTAATCCAGATCTAGGAGGTTAAATAATAGCTACTGGGGCTCTATAATAGACTACATGTGTAGCCTGATTTGCTTTTTGAAAGTTAAATAAGAAGCTGACTGACAAAGACATGTAATTTTGTTCATTACAGAAGGATACACATACCATTTAGGAAACCTACTGGCTTAACTCAACTTATGGAGCCAATAACCATGGTCACTGGAGATACAGGGAGTCACCAAATACATGTACTTACAGTTCCAAGATTGATAAATCAAGCCTTACTATCTCAAATTAGAACATACCTTCTCCCTAGTTGCAAACACATTCTGGTAGAGTCCTATGGAATTGCTGGGGAAAAGATCTTCTCTTCTGAAACAATAAGTGGAAGTTTACCATTATGGATACATTTAACTTCACAGTTATTTAGTTAATATGAAATACTTTTCGTGAGAGAATATGTTTAACCAAAGAAAGGTGCTAGCATGACTAATGTTTATTTTCATTTTCTGTATTGTCAGAAAAAGCATTTTGCCTTATTAAATCTTACCCATCATTGTCAAGGTAGTGTAGCAAGAAACATTTTTTCACAGGAACATATCTCCAGTCCATTGTCACATACAGCTGAAAATGTAGACTTTATTTTTGACATGGACGCTTTATAATGACATTTAACTCTAATCACGATATTATATCAATTTAATACTGTAAGTAATAATAAAAGTCTGACATTAACTTTTCTAAATATGGCATTGCCCTATTGAGATAACAATGGATTACATGTACAGTGATTTATGACTTCCATGAAGGCACAAAAATTGAAAAAACATGAAAAACCAATTTATGGCTCAAATAGCACAAAATACAATGCAAGTACTCATATTTGTTTAAGGATCATAAAGTTGCAATTCACATCAAATATGAACTAGAATGCAGTATGTGTCTCACCTTTAAATGTATTCCTTCTTTGGCTAAACAAGATCTCGTAAAATCTGAACAGAAGCCAGTTTTCTCTTGTCGTATTTGATCAGCCGTCCACTGAATTGGACCCAGAAACACACCAATTATGGGATAACTCGACAAACTTAGTAGATCTAAGACATGATCCAGGACTGAAAGAGGTTGGAATAATTCATAATGTTAAAGGTTGTGTGTGTTAATTTGAGCCTAAAAAGATGACACGATATTTATATGCAAAATGTCACCACCTGCCATTTGTGCCAACTTATAATGCCAACTGCCAAATCCCAAGTGTGTACACCAACCATCGAATACTGTCCATAAAAAGTTGGAGACTATATCATCGATTTTATATTTCCTTCAGCTAAGTATAAATCCAACACTCAAAACTTCTCATTACCCCCTTTTATTTTGCATGCATCTACAGATCTATAGTAGAAAATATTCAATATTTTTGATTTGATTGATTATGAATATTCACTCAACATACCAATTCTTGCATATATTTCCACTGCTTCTACTGTACAACCACGAGGACCTTTAATATAGGCATGTTCATCTAAAAGTACCATATTGATATATGGGTCCACTGTCCCATAATACAGACTACTTCCTGTTACTGCCTGACATAACCCAATCTGTAATATAAATAAAATAAAAAAAAATATATACAAGGCATTAACATGCAAAAAATCACTACCTGCTATTTGTTACAGATGCCATAATTTGTTACAGACACCAAATGCTGCATAACGTCTACAAAAAAGTTGGAGACTACAACAATATATCACCACTTGTGGTGGGGACATAAAAATGCTAAAATGTCACTTTTTATAGAGGACACACAAGCTCAAAAATAATGAATCATCAACGTTTCTGTTACCTACATATTCCTGGTGATGAATACCACTTTATATTGCAATGGAAAGTTCTTGAAAAGAAAACAATACTTATTTACCTCAGGGGATTTGTAGAAATGTTAATACGGGTACTTTAAAATTTGGAAAATTGTTTACTTCTAATATTCTATATAGCACTCACCTTAAAGGGTCCTTTCCTCTGCACAAATGAGGTATTGGTGAGTGAATTAGCAATGGACTGTATTATAAAGAAGAAGGCTGTGTCTAGTAATGCAAGGGCACTCTGGTGACCTAAAAATGTGAAATACAATCATAAAATGCATTAGATTTTCATGTAAAAGTAGAACGAAAATGTGTACAGTGACATAGAATTAAAGCAGTAGAAATAATTTTGACAATTAGTCAAAATATATTTAATCAAGATATTTAGATCGAGAGTGTATAGATATCTTTAACATACTGTACATGTACAGTATAATAAACAACAAATAAATAAAAATTATACATTAGATCTATCCTAATTGAAAACATCAAGCCATTTTATGTTAATCTCATATACATGTAATGACAGAGGATATGAAATTTATTTACTATATGTACAACTATAATAATTTCATTAAATAAAACAATTACCATGTGCAGAGCCTCCAGGGATGAAATATATAAAATTGTCTGAGTCTTGTAGTTGAGCGTTTCTATGAAGTAAACGGGAAACTAACTTTTCATCTTTCTCCCGATGCATTTCCATTCTAAAAATATACATGTATTAATAGAGAATCTGCTGTTTTAACTTGTACATTTACACACAGTGAGACTTCTTTATGTATCAAAATACAACTATTTCATCAAATATATGCATTGTTTCAGTTTAGTTGTTTTAGGTTGTCTGAATCATGTCATACAACGTATTTTCTATAACATTGTTTTCAGATAATGGATCAGACCATTCACAAAGAGAATTTAATGCAAAACATATAAGATGGTGCCTTACTTCATAGATGCCTCGTAGAGCCTAGAAAGTATTAGTGGGTATGGGTTCCTTGGTAAACAGTTCCCAGTCAAGAGTTCCATCAAGAAATTACTCCACACATCATCAACATGTGTGTCAGCTATATACTAATAAAAAATAAAATATATGTTGCAAAAATAAAATGCAAAATACTAGTCTCGGTTTGGAGAACGAAATTCATCAGTCTACTGCACGTTACACCTGCTTTGGACTTTTTTGATATTTTCACATCTTGTAGATTTAAATGTCCTCTTTTGAATATTCATAATTTAATTTGGGTGATATTTCTATATTTTTCATAAACATAATTATTAGCCTAGGGAACTGTTCTCCAAACCAAGACTTACCAGAGGAACTAAAGGGGAGGGAGCCAAAAAGGCTTGAGTCAAGTAGACAAAAGCATCAGATAGAGGTAAAGTGGCTAGTCAAGAGTCATGTTTTTACTTCAATTAAAATATTTTTACAATGTTAGGGTACCTTTTAGGTACAATCACATCCACTTCACAATAAATGTACAGTGCATCTTTTTCAGATTTAGATTTTTGGTTCAGTGAAAAGCATTTTTATCATTTTACGATGTACGAGTAATTTATTAGAGTTTGTGTTGCCTCGTCAAAATTTTGCTAATATCAAAGTTAGTAAACAACATGTATAATTGATGCCTTTTTAATTAAATAGTCTAATTTTTCAGGGGTTTACCTTTCCTAGAACTGCCTCTGTGGCTATAACTTTCGGCCAAGTCTCACTTTTTCTGTTCAATTTCACATTGATATCTGAAGTAAATAAAATAGATCTGACTTTAACCTTCATTAGTGAACAGACCTCATAGAAATTCTATGTCTGGTAATACAAGTCTATACAGGGGCTTATATAGTACAAGGGGCTTAAGTTGTGTACCAAACGAAACGACACAACATCCGGGGCTTTATATGATCTGCATTACACAATGGTGTATAGAGGGGTCAGAGAGGAATGTTTCGGGTATTACGTTCGCCCTTGGTTTATACTAGTGTATGAACATTAAAATCAGTTTCTATGAGGGTCAAGTATTAACAATTTATTACTTTTTTATAAAACAGATATTACAGGGAAAATTTTTTCCTTCTCATACAAAAGTCTCTCTTAGTAACACAAACATCTGTGTCATATATACATATATACATGCACAATTATATGTCACCAATAACTCAGATGCGAGTAGGTAGTAGTTTTCACCACCAGGTGGCTCATTTGGGTCAGATAGCATGGCAGGTACATGTATAGTAGATAGTTACTTTAACTTAAATATTCATCAGTTTTTGTGGTTCATGTTAGTTTTTCCATGTAGACTTCAAATATGACATCACTTTGACTGAATTTCGAATATTTAATGACATAAATTATTTCTACTCGCATCTAGTCTATTCACAGATATTGGAACATTATCATATTTCATATTATCTATATTTACATATACAACAAAAAATAGAGAACTGAAATTATCAAAATAACAAACTCTCTCTATGCAGGTACTATATGCTACACACTTACACTGCTTGGAATGGTTATTTATATATATATATATATATATTCTTTTATTGACTCTTATATATGTCAGTCTCTCCGACACATGGGTCACTATACAGTTATTTACATGTGTTTTATATACAAATATACAGTCATAAGCAAAATGGAAAAATACAAAATCATTACATCATGATTCTAATGTAGTGTTGATGTATACATTCAGACTGGAAACACCTTTTCAGATAGGCTTGACAAACATGATTGCTACAAAATGTACATTCTATGATACAAAATAAATTTACAAATATTTACAAACTTATACAATGTTAGAGACTAGATATGAATGTTCTTACATTGTTACAATCTATGAGGAATTTGGCAAAATATTTTAATATGTTAATTTTGCTGTTCATGATCTCCTTTATTAAAAATTCAGGCATTAAGGTGCTAATAGGAATATTTTCAGCTAGTGTTTTGAAGAATATTGCTCTCTGGTTTGTATAAGAAGGGCAGTAAAAAATTAAATGTAGTTCATCTTCTATTTGATTTAGGTTACAATTTAAACAGAGTCTATCTTTTAGTTGTATCTTTTGTCCATCTTTCTTTTTGTGTCTACCTATTTCAATTTCTAATTTGTGGTTACTTAGCCTTATTTTGCATAATATGTTTCTAAGTTTGCTGTTTTTTATCATAAGCAAAGGCTCTTTTTTGAATTCAACTTTGAATAAAGAATATGTTCTCAGGCATGGGTTTTTTGAGTGATCGTTGATTAGAGCAAGCCATTGGTTTTTGTAAAGAGATCTCAATTTATTTGATACTTTAAGATGAAGTGTTAAATATGACTGAATGTCAATATCAGATTTTAAATGATTATCCCACATATCTTGTAAATCACATTCTTTCAAAATATTTTGGATTTGTGACACCCATGATTTCCCACCGCAATGATAGATTTGAAGGTTCTGTTGATACGCTATATTAAGTTTGTGTTGAGATTGAAGAGTAAGTAATCGACACCAATATTTTATTTTTTGAACTTTCATTCTTATAACGAGGGGATACCTTCCAAATTCACCAAGTATTGCTAGATTTGAAGTTTGTGTTTTAACATGTAAAAGTTGCTTTAAAAATCTCAGTTGTAATTTTTCTATGATCTCAAAACTTTTAGATTGTGCAAGTACTTCATTACCATATTCAAGTATTGGTAGAATCAATTTATCAAAAAGATTTAGTGCTACGTCTACTGGTAGATTACCTAGTACTTTGTAATAGCCTCTAAGCTTAAATATGGCTTTTGTTGCTTTTTGAGCTAAATGATTTGAATTTGACTTGAGATTTTTGGTAGAAAGAATGCAGCCTAAATATTTATACTCTGATACTTCTTCAATTGTTTGATTGAGGATAGAAAAGTTAATTATAGGTGTATTTTTCTTCTTTCCAAAGACAAGAACTTTAGTCTTTTTACAGTTTATAACAAGGCGCCAAGAATTACAGTAATCTTCAAAAGCATGCAAAAGTTTTTGTAAATAACTTGGATTTGGAGCGCAGAGCACAATATCATCAGCCCATGCAAGATGTGTTATTGAAAGATCATTAATGAAGGTACCATATTCAGTGTTTAGAGCATCCTTTACATCTGATATGAATAATTTGAAAAGGAAAGTACTAAGGATTCCACCTTGAATTATACCAACCTCATTTGTGAATGTATCTGTGATGCCAGCATCAGTCCTAACGCAAGATTTTGATTTAGAATACATTGATTTAATGACATTTAACATATTACCTGTGATGCCTCTTTGAATAAGTTTATATATGAGCATGTTTCTATCAATTAAATCAAAGGCTTTTTTCAGATCAATAAAGCAACAATATAGGGGCTCTTTGATAAAGGCATGTTTTTCTATTAAGTTGTTCAAAATAAATAGATTATCAGCTGTTCTACTAAATTTTTCATATGCACCTTGAAGTATATCCTGTTTATGATTAGATACTGTATGAAATTCAAGTCTATTATGAAGGACACTTTCAAAAATCTTTCCAAGTACAGGTAGTACATTGATACGTCTAAGTGTATCAGGGTCACTCGTTTTCTTAGTTTTTGGGATTGGAAAAATTAAGCCAAAGGCCCATTGTTCGGGATACTCATTTGTAAAAAATATATTGTTAAATATTTGGGTAATTATATTATTAAGGACAGATTTTGATGATTTAATGAATTCTCCAGGAATACCATCCAACCCAGGGGATTTGTTAATTTTCATATTTTTGATTGCTTCATCAACTTCTTCATTAAGTATTGGAGTATTAAGGATATTGGTTGGATCATTTGCATACATATTTTCATATTTTTTGTGACTGTCAAAAGTGTTAAGAAAATCAATGATCTTTTCATTGTGATTATCATTAAAATTATATTGTGTAGGAGGTTTGGCTAATTTGCTGAAGTTTTCAAATATAGCAGATGGAGATGCTCTTATTTTGACACATTCTCTGTTAGTTGATTGGGTTGAGTTTAATAAATTCCAAAAGTGAGGTGGGTCATCATTTAGGCTATATAATAGGTCATGATACATTGTGTTGTGAAAATGGCGCTTACACTTTTGCTTTTGACTTTTATATTCTTTATGTAGAGCACTCGTTTCTGTTCCTAATTTTTCTGCTATGCGAATATTTGATTTCAGAGTTTTACATTTTTCATCAAACCATTTATTTGCAGGAAATTTTGTGGTTTTGTTAGATACTTTTGTTTTGACAAAAACATTTTCTGCTGCAAGTGAGAGTGTTGTATTGAGCTTATCTACTGTGTGTTCTATTGGACAATCCTGGTATTTCAGGTCAAGTGATATTTCATGGAGTATTGAATTACATAATGGTGATTTGAGGTTTGACAGAAAAACAGTTGATTTTGATTCATTCCATCTGAACTTAGTAATGTTAGTATATAAACCTGTTGTACATTTAGTATTTGAGTCGCTTAAAGTAGATAATTTTGGAGTAAGTATTGAAAATGAGATAGGACAATGGTCTGATTCTGGTAATTTTGCCTGAATTCTAAAGTTTTGTATGTTCTTGAGAGCCTTTGATGATCCAATTACATAATCTACCACACTAGCACCATTAGGTCTGATGCAGGTGTATTTTCCAATATTTTTGTCTTCACCCACTCTCCCATTGGCTATTTGCATATTTGTGGTCTTACATAATTCTAATAGTTCTTTGCCATTTGTTCTAAGAATTTCTTGATTATTTATATCATTTGATGCCCTGTCAGTAAAAAATGAAGTGCTATTGAGTATGGGTAAAAGGTAACTGAGCTCACTGTCAGATCCAAATATTTCTGTTTCATAATCTGCCTTTATCCCCGTTCTTGCATTAAAATCTCCACATATATATATGTTTGAGGTACTACATTGTGCTATGGCTATTTCAGTCTCTAGAATCTCAAAAAAGTCCAGTGTATGAAAGCATGATTTCTTATGGGGAATATAGACAGTGGCTAGTAAGATGGGGTATGACCACAAACTCTCTCTACAGGTATATGCTACACACTTACACTGCTTGGAATGATTATTTATATGAGCAATTTCTGCCCCATGTTGACACTGCTGGAAGTTGAATCCAGGATCTCTCAGGTTAACCCTTCCCCTCTTAAAGGTGTCTGGAAACACTCCCTTTAAGTTTGCAACAAAGCTCTGAAAATATTATTTATTTAATATATTTATGTTTTAATGTTTTTATTTTAACATTGATTGCATAAGGATGATGTTGGATTCTGCTGATTTTTTATAATTTCTTTAATCATATTTTAACTAAATATTTTATCATGGGAATATACAGAGCTTGTGCGCAATCCATTTGGGACCCTTAGTGTCACTACATATAGGGGTAATATTACTGTACCCCTATGTAAATGTAACCTCACTACTGTACCCATATGTAAATGTAACCGCACTACTGTAGTATGTAAATGTAACCCCATTGTACCTCTATGTAAGTTTAACCTCACTGTACCATTATGTAATGATAACCTTACTCTACCTCTATGTAAGGAGAAAGTTCGAGTCTTGAATCAACTAGTAACATCTGAATGGTTCTCAAATGCCACTCTACATTCTTCAAAGTAGCTGCTGTCTAGAACACAATAACAATGAAACATAGCCATTAATCTTCTTTTGAGACCTAAGAAGTGGGAAAATCATCCTAACTATATTTTTTAATTTTTCCTCAATTCTGCAAAAGTATAACTTGTGAAAAATTTGGGTTCAACATATTTTACATGACTACATTTTTCTAAACATCTATAGACGTAAAATATATAGATGTAAAGATGTGTGGATTTAGAAAATCTTTCTGTGAAAAGATTTTTCTGGATATTTTCAAAATACTTCATTTAAGATTAAAAATATTACATTCAGGATAAAATTAAAGAACAGATGTACAAGGGCCATTCAAAAAGTTTCTTACCGTTGGCTCTAGATTTTACAATAGGAGAAGTTTGAGCATCCAACTCCTCTTATTATAACAGTAAGAAACTTTTTGATCGGCCCTTGTACTGTATTCCTAAATAAATACCTCTTGATAAAAAGAAGGTGAGAAACTTGCTTCTGAGATGGTCCCCAGTATTCCCTTTACAGCTTTCCCCGTCACCTCAAGTTGGCAAATCTGCATCTGCCTGTTACAAAATTCACAAATATAACACTTATCATTATGAATGACATTTTTATTAGAGTTGGCTCCAAAACTAAGTGGTAGAGCAATGTAATGACATTTTTTATTACTCGTCAATACAAAACATGATTTTGGTGCAAATGTTTGAATGACATCATGCTCTGAATTCAGAAGATGAATAGAAGAGACAAATAACATCTTAAACACCATACAGTACTTATAATTGCCCAATTATTTGGCAAACATTCAAATGACCCATGTCCTTTTGGTAAGATCGATTCTTGATATGAACCTGACCATAAATAAGTATATACAAAATAGGCTATAGGGATAAATAAAATACAGATACTATTCACAAATGGAGCAGATATGTATGGTACTTACAAGGTGCTTTGAAATGTCTTGTGAACGCTCAGTTGAAACTCTGTGAATAAATTGTAGATCAATGCTGTATTGCCCACCTGGAAAACACCACATGTATATACATGTATTAATACAACCAGCTAACATGGCTAACAAGGCATTAACATGACAAAACGTCACCACCTAGTTGCTCACAATATTATTAGTTCAATCTTAAGTCAGATTTAAATTTCTGAAAACTCTGAAGATGATTTGAAAAAAACTTTTTGACCCTGAGAAGTGCATTGAAGGTGAAATCTCAAATCTAAAGACAGACTTGAAGTTCTGAGAACTTGTAGATGATTTTGAAAAAATTGGTCAATTTGAAGTGAGTTGAAGAGACCTTTTTGACCTTGAGAAGGTCAAATCTTTTTTGACCTTGAGAATGTCATTGAAGGTCAAATCTATAGTCAGATTTGAACTTTTGAGAACTTGAAGATGATTTTGAAAAGAAAATTGGTCAATTTGAAGCAAGTTGAAAAAATACCTTTTTACCTTTTTTGACCTTGAGAAGGTCAAATTAAAAACTAAAGTCAGATTTGAACTTCTGATAACTTGTAGATGATTTTGAAAAAACTGGTCAATTTGAAGCAAATTGAAATAAAAAAAGACTAACTTTTTTTCACTGAAGGTGATATCTTAATTTGAACTTCTGAAAACTTGTAGATGATCTTGAAAAAAATTGAAATCAGTCTTAACAGTATTTGTTCAGTTATTGGAAGTCTTATGAATTTGTTACAGATGGCAACCATCACCCGCCGATCGCCAACCACCAACCACCAACTATCAACCGCCGATGGAGACCATAACAGTATGTCACCACTTTTTGGTGGTGACATAAAAATGGTTTTGATATGACTAGATAATAGAACTAAATAAATAATAGTACATAAGAAGTAAATCTCAATTAGCAAACCATATCATTTTGCAAAATAAGTAAGCTGGGAAGACGATTTGGAAATTTAAAGACATATTCTCATTTTGAAATTGTTTTTATTTATTGTTATAACCATACCTCAAAACTTGTGAGGGTAAGCATGTGTATAAAATTTGCATGCTTGGCCAAACTGTGCAGTTTAAACGCTTGAGTCTGGACAAGTATGGCCAACTCCTGGAACAGTTCGGCTTCATGTCCATCTTTCTCCATCAGGATTTGTAGCAGTAGCATATGGGCAGCATCAATAAGGTCAACCTCAATGTCCAAAGAAGCTAACTTGTCTTGCCAGTGTGACCTATTGTAACATGAAAATGAATTAAGTTCATTTTATAACAGTATTCCAATTTCTCAGAGATATAAATGTCCATTTACAAAATTTGAGGGACCACCGGTACAGCTTAGGGGTTTAATGATACAACAACATTAAAAGTTAAAAAATCAAAAAAACGTTAAAAGTTTCGACAGAAGTTATAAACTATGCCACTTTTGTTGACAGACAGATGGATAAACCGACAGATGTACATGTACAGTCAGACAAACAAAAAACAACAACACATGAGTGATTGCAATATAATGTGAGATAATATTCCACCAAATAGTACAAAGAGAGACTGACAAGACGGGACTAAGAGTCAATGCAAACCTCGCTTAACAGAAAGTAACAGGCGTAAACAGTTTGTTCCTAACTAACCTGGTAACACTATGATTGATACTCATAGGTCGTAAATACAAATCAAATAAAAAACAATTTTACTGTTATTGCACATCCTACCCTTTGTGAGAGCTACTGAAGATATCATCTATACTCTAACTACTATACTCTTAAGACAACTCTTTGATTACGCCTATATCTATCCAATCAGTGCCAAGATTTAGGTAACCATTCATTTAACATCCAGAATCAGATAAAACCTAGTATAAGCTACATTCTTGAGATCTTTAACATCTACTGCATGTATTCTCTGAAATTAGTGAGCGCCTGAGATGCTTCAAAAGTTCAAAATACCTCCTTCAGTCAATTCTAATCAGCACACATACATGTATATGAAAGAAGTCAAAAATCCCTTGGGAATTTCATGTATGGCAGGTTTTCTTGCCAAGAATGGCTTATTCGATAATTTTCTAATGTATTCATTAATACTTGGCCATTTCTTGAAATGAACTTTGTGAAGCAGGGTGGGTGCTTATCAAGGGGTGGCCGTGGGCCCTAAATATGGTGATTATGGTAATCAGTGTCAAAGTTGTATATTGTCTCTTGTAGTCAGAGGGCAGTGTAGGTACATCATGTTGGTGGAGATCAGAGTATACACTTACTTCAGAGGTAACACTTACTTCAGAGGTTACACTTACTTCAGAGGTAATGTAATCTGCCAAGCATAGGGACCAGTAATATCTTGAGTTGGTTGCAACTTGAAACCATCAGTCTCCACAAGGCTAGGTCTTTCAGCCAACTTCTTATTTCTATTTGGTCTATGCCACCATTTTGTCGTTTTAACTTCATCACCCTTCAGATGGGGTCTGTCTCTAGAATTTGTATATAATCTCAAATAGGACTCTGCTTGTCTCTGAACAAAAAAGACCCCTTCATGGAGAGTGCCCAGTGGAAATTCGGCAAACGTGTGCAACCTAGAATGACAATGAAACATGTTTTATGATCATAATTTTTGATGAATGGGCCTATTTTTCAAATTCAACCTTCAGCTGTTGCACCTATTTTTGTGAATTCTGAAATACCAAAGCAACAGACAGACTCTTTTTGTTAGATAGGCCAGGGTAAATACATAAAGTGCTTCACACATCCATCCGTAAATCTCTCCGCATACAGTATGTCCCAAATGGTACATTTACTCTGCACCTCTTGGAAACATATATGCCCAATCCTGCAATCAGTTTTTTTTAAAAAATGTATTTGATAACTTTTATTCTAGTGTTGAGATAAATATGTGATATATGAGTCAGAAATACACAAAGATATGAAGCCTGAATACTTCTTTCCTTAGATTTGACACAATGGACAGATGTAAATAAAAGACAAGTATCAGTTTGGAGAACAAAGTACATCAGTCTATTGGAATAATAATTTTTTATGAAAAATATAGAAATAAAACCCAAATTAAATTATAAATATTCAAAAGAGGACATTTGAATCTACAATGTGTAAAAATATCAAAATTGTCTGAAGCAGGCGTAACGTGCGGTACACCGATCAATAAAAGTCTCGGTTTGAAGAACGATGTTCATCAGTCTTACTGAACTAATCATGTTTTTATGAAAAATATAGAAATTAGAAATAACACAATTAAATTATGGATATTTAAATTTACAATATGTAAAAATATCAAAATTATCCAAAGCAGGCGTAACATGCAGTAGACTGATGGACTTAGTTCTCCAAATTGAGACTAGATTTTTTAAAAAACCATTCCCTTGCTCACTCTGCAAAATCTCATGCAAAATTAAGTAAAAGAAAAAAAGAAATTCCTCATCAATTTGTGAAAGAAGAAAAATATGAATGAATATATTAACCATGCGGCCTAACAAGACAGACTTTTCATTGTATCTTAACAGAAGAAGCAGAGTTATGGAAATCAAAGGATTATTAGTCTTGATGATTATTATATCATCTGTGCATGGTGACATGATTGATATGACATATACTTTAAATACTGATGCACTCTATCTACCTACTCTTTTGAAGTTAAGTCAAAAGAATGTGAATAATGGAACCTTTGAAGATGCACCATAGTAAGTATGATTTTATCAATTCACCTATAAAATTTGAGGCAAATTCATCAACTGGAATTGAAGTTATCACCCACACCAACAGACAGAGGAATGAACTGATGGTTTCTCAATATCCCTACAAATTTCATTAGATGAGATAAGGAACCGAGACATTTTGTAACATACAGGGTGTTAAAAAAACAGGATGAACCAAAAAATATATCGCTATATCTTGAAAAATACTAAACTAATTGTGTTCATTTTTTTCAAGAAAGAAAGTAAAGACCTTAAATATATAGCTCCTGTAGTTAGTTGAAAAACGTAATGCCTTAGACATCTGCTCAAAAGACATTTGTAATAGTGAAAATTTCAAAACCCACAGTCATACGTCCTGGTTCAGTCAGACTATAGAAGCTATTTCGACCATGAGTGTAGAGTCTCTAAAGTGACTTTGGTAAACTCTACAGACTTTCCACTCATTGAATGAAGATAATTTGTGCCAAAATTGAAAAGTAATTTGGTTTTATTGCAGTTGGAGTAACCCCTGACTGCGTTTTGATGTATTTCTCTATTACAAATGTCTTTTGAGCAGGTGTCCAAGGCATTATGTTTTTCAACTTACTACAGGAACTGTTATTTAGGTCTCTTCTTTTCTGAAAAGATGAACACAATTGGTGTAGTATGATATATAGCAATTTCTTTCAGTTTCTTTTTTTAAAACCCTGTAGTTGCTTACATTCGACGATGTATGAATTCATACGGCAAAGTATTTGGCAATCAGATTCTACTGGGTACTAACTGAAAACAAAGTATATGAATACTAAAAAAATAGTTTTGTCCACCATTTTGGATGAGACTAACTGCAGTTCCCTTCAACCTGCTGGGAACCAGTAATGATAAGTCATGGAAGCAGATTTGAGACATAATCTTTACTACTAATTGTGGTGTGTTTTTTACATGTAAATGTTACTCATTGTGTCATTTGCCCACTGCACATTGTACATAACTTATTCTATAGTGTAGTTCTTATTTTTCAGTCTGTACATGAATAACTGGGAAATGTCAGAGCATATTGGCACACATATTGATGCTCCAGTACATTTTTCACTTGGTGGCAGAATGCTTCATGAATTAACACTCTCTGAACTTCATGGTCCAGCTGTTGTAGTAGATATCCGTAAGAAGGCCGAAAAAGACCCTAACGCATTTTTAGACATCACCGATATTCAAAAATGGGAGGAGATATTTGGTGAAATCCCTAAAGGAGCTGTTATCATACAGCACTCTGGCTGGGGCCAGTATTGGGGTGATGCCCATGCATATGTTGGACCTCCAGGGACTGATGGTAGATTGAAAGTAAACTCCCCTGGTTTCCATCCTGATGCTGTGAACTGGCTGCTCCAACACAGAGATGTAAAGGGATTCATAGTGGATAGTCTAAGCTGTGAAAGTGGTAGCAATTTTGGCTCATACCCAGCTCATCGTGCCATGTTAGAAAATGATAAATGGTGTGTTGAGAATGCAGCTAATGTTGACAAACTCCCTCAGAAAGGAAGTGAAGTATATGTCATGGCAGCAAAGATAGAAAATGGAAGTGGGGGTCCTGTGAGAATGTTCGCAATCTGGAATGAGGTGGCCCCATGGCATAATGCTAATGGAGCAAATGGGGGTGCTATAATCAGTTTAGGGCTGTTAGTTAATCATTTCATCACTTTGTACTTGCTTTAATGTTTCACCTTTTGTCTACAGTTATCTAGGAGCTTGGTAAAAAAGATCAATAGAATTCAGATCAGGGTTGTTTCCACATTAAAAATCAAAATTTCCTAGAAATTTTCTAGAAATCAGCACTTGCTCAATGGATTATATTGTAGAAGTCGTTAACAAACAGACCGTGGTTATTTCAATATTTGAGTTTTGATCAGGTCCATAGCGTGGGGGGGGGGCAAAAATTCTTATAAATTCATGCACTTTCACCATTCTGAGTGATTTGGGGTCAAAGTTGCCAAATATGACCCCCTGGAATTTTTTAAGAGTGAACCTCCTTAACAAAACTTGGCTATAGGCCTGCTAATTCTATTAATGTTTCAGTGTTGTCTCCAGAGTTTTTTCTTAAAGTATGTGCAAAATAAAAATGAAAATTTCCTTTTCACAATTGTTTCTCATTTTTACCTGGACTTCACATAGAAACAAGTCTATATACAAAATGTTTACATACATATTGAAATATGACATTATTCCCATCCTTTAATATCTAATAATTAAATGATAATATTTTAGAGAATTGTAGAATTGTAGACCACTAGCAATAATTGCAGTGAGAAAATGTATTCAGAAATGTTTTTAAGAATTACTTTTAGAATATTGCTTAAAGTTTCCTATTTTTTATGTCACCACCACAAGTGGTGACAAAATGTTATAGTCTCCAACTTTTTGTGAACGGAGTTTGATGGTCAGCATTCAGTGGCCTTTGTAACAAATGGCCAGTGGTGACATTTTGCATGTTAATGCCTTGTTTATACTAGACTTTGTCATAATTATAGAAATAAATATAATCATGCTTGAGCTTACTTAATCTATTTGTGTTTCAATTAGTTGTACAGTAAGAAGTGTAATGTCAAGTGCAACCCAGAATGACTCATGATTATAATTTTTGATGTACAGTAAAATCTGTGTATAGTGTACACCTATGGAGCCACAAAAAAGTGTTCACTGTAGGTAGGTGTTCACTACAGAGAGGGGATTTTTTTAAAAGGAGTCAATGTAAAATGTGTTTTCAAGTGGTGTTCACTAAACACATGTGTTCATTAGAGAGAGGTGTTCACTAAGACAGGTTTTACTGTATAGGCCTAGTTTTATAAGTACAAACTTCAGCTGTTGCAAGTTTTTAGTGAATTCTGCAACAACTTTAATATGCAACAGACTCTTTTTACAAAAAATAGGATTATCAACTTGTGAAAGAAAAACATGAATTGTTAAAGCCCTCATATAAAGTTTAAACAACTCTGGCTTTTATTGTACTCTTACCCAATGTTCTCAAAGTGTGATATATGAAACTTTTTTTTTAATTTCAAAAAGTGGTTATTGAAGGCCTTTTTGTTTGACCAGTTGTGAATTTATTTAAAACTAACTTTTAGAGGTCACATGTATCTTTTATAATGCAATAATTCACACCAAAACTTCCAATCACCCTCACATGTTTTTGGAAAAATATTAAGAAAATTGGTTAATAAATAACCGAGAAATGAACTCATCCATTTATGAAAATGGTTCAGAGAAAAACACATTTCTAAATTTTAGTTCTCGTAGGTACCAATGGTACAATAATATTTAAAACATAATATATTCTTCCTTTTAACCCGGTTAGACAATCAACATTGGTTTATTTTTGAAGTTTAGCATATTCAGAAAAAGATTGACATAGTAAAATTTATACAACCTGAGTGATGTCACGATGAGGTCACTAGGTTGCAAAATATAATTTTTGATATATGCTAAAACTAGATATGACATTTTATTATTGAAATAGTGAGTGACTGTGTGTCCTTTGCTCAATCTTTGCATTTGTGTTAAAAAGATAATGTTTTTGCACTGTATAGTGGGACATTTGATGATTAACAATTTTCAACTTTTATTATAATATTTGAGGAATGAATAGGTAACAAAGTCTTTTCAATTTTTTTCCAAAATCTCTTAAAGATTCTCGCAATCTTTATCCAATCAGCTTTTGCGATGTGTACCGGCTCACGTATAAAAGGCGAATCCAACTCAAATCCATGCAGGGGTGTATGAGGTACTCGAATAGTAAAGAACTCGGGAAATCTGAATTTATATGCACATGGTCAATGTTTACACATGTTTGGAGTTATTGAAGAAAATGTGATATGGGGGTGGTTCCGAATTTGAAGTCATTGCTGGAAAATATGATTTTAATACGTGAAATTATATCTATAAATACAGCACTAAAAATAACAGTACACATGAAGTACATTTATGATTGTGTCCAGAAATGTTTGAAACCCTTACGGAAAATTCTGTCTGCATTTTGTCACCATTGCTCTTTCTTCCAGCATTCTAGTGCTGTTTGAATGAATATATTTATTAATGTATTTCCAACTAAAATATATCACATTTTTTTATAAACCACAAACATTTAGATCATAAAAAAAATTATTCAATACTTGAGTGAGCACGATATGCAAGGGTTACTAAGTTGACACAGTAAATGACCACTGACATTGTGTTAGTCCATGCACACAGCGTATTCTGCTAATACACATTTGCCTTGAACACCCCTAACTTTCATAGTGAAGTGATCGTCTGACTAATTGGTTTATGTTTACGGGTTTTAATGTGTTTTGTGTTCCTTGTTACAGCAAGGGGGGCCAGTAAAGTAGACTAACATGTTTGCATGGCAAATTTTGATCGAATATGTGAGACACTTTAAATAACTTTTAAAGTTATAGTGACAAATAGTTAATGAATGGTAAAAACATATTTTCAAACTTTACATGGGGACTTTAAAGTGACTTACATATTCAATCAAAATTTGCCATGCAAACATGTTAGTCTACTTTACTGGCCCCCCTTGCTGTAATAAGGAACCCAAAACACATTAAAACGTAAACATAAACCAATTAGTCACTTCACTATGAAAGTGAGGGGTGTACGCTGTGTGCATGGACTAACACAATATCAGTGGTCATTTACTGTGTCAACTTAGTAACCCTTGCATATCGTGCTCACTCAAGTATTGAATAATTTTTTTATGATCTAAATGTTTGTGGTTTATAAAGAAAATGTGATATGTTTTAGTTAGAAATACATTAATTAATATATTCATTCAAACAGCACTAGAATGCGGGAAGAAAGAGCAATGGTGACAAAATGCAGACAGAATTTTCCGTAAGGGTTTCAAACATTTCTAAACACAATCATACATGTACTTCATGTGTACTGTTATTTTTAGTGCTATATTTATAGATATAATTTCACGTATTAAAATCATATTTTCCAGCAATGACTTCAAATTCGGAACCACACCCATATTACATTTTCTTCAATAACTCCAAACATGTGTAATCATTGACCATGTGCATATAAATTCAGATTTCACGAGCTCTTTCCTATTCGAGTACCTCATACACCCCTGCATGGATTTGAGTTGGATTCGCCTTTTATACGTGAGCCGACACACTCGCAATCGCTGATTGGATAAAGATTGCGAGAATCTTTAAAGACAGTACACCTTAACCCTGGCCTAACAATATCAGACTTCCTGCTCACAACATTAATCCAATGCATCCAAACAGAAGAAGCAGAGTTATGGAAAACAAAGGATTATTAGCCTTGATGATTATGATATCATCTGTGCATGGTGACATGATTGATATGACACATACTTTAAATACTGATGCACTTTATTTCCCTTCTCTTATGAAGTTAAGTCAAAGGAATGTGATGAATGGAACCTTTGAAGATGCACCATAGTAAGTATCATTTTATTTTATCAATCATTTAAAGATGCAGTATACCATAGTTTTCTCGCCCAGACAATCAATGATCTCCCATTATTAGTGCTCATATAATATCTCACATACCATGGATTTATCTTGAGAATAACTTGTGGGTATATAATTGCCAAAATATTGAAATAATCAACAGAACAAGCAATCTCCAGAATTAAACACAATCTATTCCTCGGTTAGCGATGGGAATCCCCGTTGAGTCACACAAGCGCCCACATGCCTTGAAGCAGGCAGCCAATCAGCTTCATGATAAACATATTCAACAACCAATCATATAACAGTGGAATTTTCCCAGTATATTCAAACTTCAGATTGAATTGATTTTCGCGTAAATAACTAGATCAGTGCGCAATCGCAAAATTTACACTGAATGCAGGGGATTTGGAACTTCTTCGTTGGTAAGAAGATGGGTGAATATGTGGTGAAACTCAATATGCAAAAAGGTCTAGAGGGGTCTTGAGTGTGCTATCCTATGGTAGATAATATAGTCAGATAGTGTTATAAGAATTATCAGTAGAAATAATAACATTTAGACATGAAAGACTTGGAGGGTCAAATATCTAGAGTTGAAACATCTAGAGGTGAAATGCCTAAGTGTTAAACTATCTAGAAGTGAACCATCTCGACATGAAATGCTTGGAGTGACAAATATCTTGGAGTGAAACATCTAGATATGAAATGCTTGGAGAGTTAAATATCTAGAAGTGAAACATCTAGATATGAAATGCTTGGAGTGTCAAATATCTAGGAGTGAAACATCTAGAGGTGAACAGCCTAAGCAGTAAAATATCTATGAGTAAAACATCTAGACATGAAACGCTTGGAGGGACAAATATCTAGGAGTGAAACATCTAGATATGAAATGCTTGGAGGGTCAAATATCTAGAAGTGTAAATTATCCATGAATGAAACATCTAAAGGGAAAATGCATAAGGGAAAAAGATCTTGGAGTGAATAATCTAGGGGTAGAGTGAAGTATCAAGGGGGTTGAATGTCTCAATGTACAATTGGTGCTAATTGATCAACCATTTTGTAAAAAAAGCTCAGATTTATGTCTCATATTTCAATGTACAGTAGTTGTTTACATGCAAACTGTACATCCAGATATTATACTATGGTTTTTAATTTTTCAGTCTGTACATGAATAACTGGGAAATTTCTGAGCATATTGGCACACATATTGATGCTCCAGTGCATTATTCCCTTGGCGGCAGAAAGCTACATGAGTTAAAACTCTCTAAACTTCATGGTCCAGCTGTTGTAATAGACATTCGTAAGAAGGCCAAAAAAGACCCCAACGCATTTTTAGACATTTCAGATATTCAAAAATGGGAGGAGATATTTGGTGAAATCCCTAAAGGAGCTGTTATCATACAGCACTCTGGTTGGGGGCAGTATTGGGGAGATGCCAATACATATGTTGGACCTCTAGGGACTGATGGTAGATTGAAAGCAAACTCCCCTGCACCCCATCCTGATGCAGTGAACTGGTTGCTCCAAACAGGGATGTAAAGGGATTCGTAGTAGACAGTCTAAGCTGTGATAGTGGTAGCAATTTTAGAACATACCCAACTCATCGTGCAATTTTAGAAAATGATAAATGGTGTGTTGAGAATGCAGCTAATGTTGATAAAATCCCTCAAAAAGGAAGTGAAGTATATGTCATGGCAGCAAAGATAGAAAATGGAAGTGGGGGTCCTGTGAGAATGTTCGCAATCTGGAATGAAGTGGCCCAATGGCATAATGCCATTGGAGCACATGGATGTGTTGTAATCAGTGTGGGGCTGTTAGTCAGTCATTTTATCACTCTGTACTTCCTTTGATGTTCCACCTTGTCTCTACAATGAATTTAGGGACTTGGTCTAAATATCTATGTAATACATTTCCAAATCAAAATTTTCCCTGATTCAAGGTTGAATGTGTTGCTGTTTATTTAGAAAAAATTCTCTAGAAACCTGTACTGTCTGAATGGATTATGTTGTACCAGTCATTAACACAGACCATAGTTATTTAAATAGTTGAGTTTTGATATTCTTTATATTTCTTATTCATTTAGTGCATTCATTTTTAAAACAGTTGCACTAAGTAAAAATAATTCTATTAATATTTCAGCTTTCTACCAGAACCTTCAAGTAGGGGCAAAATGTATGTTCCGATTACATTTGTTGAAAATTGCTTTTCATAATTTTTCTTGTTTTTGCCTGGGCTTTAAATAGATGCAAGTCTATATCCAAAATTATAAATATTTGAAATACCCACTTGTTCTACTACTGGTGTTAAATTTTGAAATATGAACTTATTTCCATTGTTTGATCTAATTACAAATGTAAATGATAATACAGAAAAACCTGTGTTATTGGAATACATTTGGTACCTCGAAAAGGTTTCCAATTGGGAGGTGTTCGAAGAGTTTTATTTAACATTCATTCAGAAAATCCTTAAAAATAATCCACTTATGGAAGTTTTCCACTTACAGAAGTGTTCCACTTTACAGGTTTTACTGTATCTCAAACAATTGTAGACCGCTAGCAATAATTGCAGTGAGAAATGTATTTATCAACCATACATGTATGTTTTTATGAATAACTGGAGAACACTGCTTACAGTTTGCTGTTTTATGTCACCACCACAAGTTTCCCAACTTTTTTGTGGACGGTGTTCAGTGTTCAGAGTTTGGCTGTCGGCGTCTGTAACAAATGGCTGGTGGTGAGATTTTGCCTGTTAAAGCCTTAATAATTATAGAAATAAATATAATCATGCTTAAGTTTACTTACTCTTCATTGTCTTTCTTTGTTTCAGTAACTTGTATAAAGTGTAAAGTGTATTGCTTCTCTCCAGGTATAAGCCAATCTGGATGCTCAGCATCTTGTAACAGGCACTGTATATAGAAAAATAACATGTCAATATTAGTTAAGTGTAACAAGTTGATTGGTAAAACATAAGAATAATATGTCAATATAAGTTAAGTGTAACTAGTTGATTAGTAAAACGTGACATTATAAGTATAATATGTCAATATAAGTAAAATGCAACAGTATAATATGTTGATATAAGTACAATATGTTAAAATATAATATAAGATACAGCATGTCAATTTTATCTAAGTAGAAAATACCAATTCAAAATCAAAGAGAACATGTCAATATAATCAGAACACAACAATGCATTAACAGACTGTGGTAATTCAAATTGAATGGAATTTGTGAATTTTATATAACAATGCAGCCATTACACTACATGTATATGATGACTAGGTGCGAGTAGAAATAATTTTCATCATTAAATTCTCAAAATTCATAGCAAAATACACCCTGTCAAGATTTTAATATACTGGTACATGTAGATGTACAAACATAACAGTGCACAATTACAAGATGTTTGTGAATACCAATATATAGTACTAATGTATCTTACCAATATTTTAATAAACTTTGACTGTACAATGGTTTCCTTGATTGAGGTGATGAATTCCTCCTGAAATGTGAAAAATAAATTAAACGAGAAAATTGTCATACCTTGGTGCAGCCAATCTCAACATACAAAAATATGAATTCCAAAATCTAGATGCTACAATATATAATATCTCCCTTATCCTCAATGGTGATAAAAGACTACCTAAAGCTGTAAACTTAAATATCCTCAAATGAAGTGCCATCTTTTTTGAACGATGTAAAAATGTCTAGGTCACCCCACCACTGTAACCCTCCACAAATACAACCACTATATTAATGTCTGATTGAATACTGTTAATTGTTTCTCATCATATAACGTGGCTGATAATGCTGATGCCCAGCCACAAGCACATGTGCACTTGTTTTAATGTGTTCTTTGTATAAATAAATAAAAAATGTCATATATACTTGTACAGCGCGTATAAAAAACACAACAAACAAATAAATCTTAAAAGACAAAATCAGTGATGACTACATCTATTTCATTCAATGTACCATGAAGCCATGTCTCCTCTTTTCAATGATATGTCATTTATTTATTTATGTGATGTGTTCTTTTTATAAATGCGCTGTTAATATTTGCAATCCAGCCTACTCTACTTCTCTTAAATATATTCAATTTGCATTTAATATAACATAAGCAAATATTGCAGAAATCTCCAGTTGGATTTCAGCAAATTCGTACATTTGGCAGCCACTTTGGACTTTACAGTCGTAGTAGTAAAATAGTTTATTAAAGTCTCATACATGTACATGATTTTTGAAGTCTTTACATATGGAGAACTGGCACCATTCATATTGTCATTGCTGTTCACAATTAAACATAGCAAAGAGGGTGCTGATACAGTCCATTAAAATGCTAATATGAAAGCATGGCCTTTTGATCAATTTTTTTATCAAAATGGCCAGTCACCAGCAGAAAACCTCAAAAATAGCTTTGGCCAGCATAATGATTTAATATATACTTTTCCAACTTACCGAGAAAGGACTCAGAAAGGTGTCATTAGATGTGATACAGGCCAGGGGTATGTGCTGCCCAGAGTGAACATCTGAGACCACGTTGTCGATGAACAACTCTACACCCTGAAATGAGCTTTGTTTGTTAATAGTTAATACCAATAAGCCATTTACATGCAAAATGTCACCATGTGCCATTTGTTACATTTGCTATGGGCACTGACTGCTGAATGCCGAACACCAACCATTATCCACAAAAAAAGTTGGAAACTATACCAATAGATTCTTTCAATGCAAGAAATGTTATGTGACTGGTCATAAGTGACAAATTCTATGATTGGTCAAAATGAATAATATTTGTTGATCCATACCTGTTTCACTTTAGGTCCTGTGATGATATACTCCATACGAACTGTGATAACACCTGGGTCGGGGTATAAACTACCCCCAAATACAGCCTCACCCACCAGAGCAACCAGGACCTCAACCTGCAATAATATTTTCTCTATATCAAATTTAAAAAAATTTAAAGTTAGAAAATAATGTCACCAACAAAGAAAATGGTAACTTTACACTGAAATCATGAGGCATTGACAATATAGTAGACAATATAGTTGCTCACAATATTATGAGTTCAATCTTAAGTCAGATTTGAACTTCTGACAACTTGTAAACGATTTTGGAAAAAATGGTCAATTTGAGGCAAGTTGAAAAATGACCTTTTTGACATTTTTTGACATTCTTAAATCTAAAAATCAGATTTGGATTTCTGAGATCTTGTAGATGATTTGGGGGAAAAATACCTTTTTGACCTTTTTTCATCTTGAGAAGATCATTGAAGGTCAAATCTCAAATCTAAAGTCACATTTTAACTTCTGAAAATTTGCAGATGATTTTGAAAAAGAAATTAAGTCAATCTGAAGCAAGTTGAAAAAGACGTTTTGAGAAGCTAATTGAAGTTCAAATCTCATATCTTAAGTCAGCTATGAACTTATGAGAACTCGTACTAGATGATTTGGAAAACATAGAGTGATATATTTGTGTAATATTGAAAATGAAAAAATTGACATTTGCTGTTTTTCTCAGAAATGAGGTACTAGTAAAAAGAAATAAAAATGAGGCAAATATATAACTTTAAAGTGTATGATCATTAATGAGCCATGTACGATGGTAATAGTTTGTATGTTTAATTCTGTGTAGAGTCTGCATTTTGGCAAACTATTAAAAGCCCCTAAAGGTTTTAACTATGTTAACATTCCTATAAGGGAACTGTAACAGAAATCTGAGTTTTTTAAATATGACATTTCAAAAAGGGCTTGAAGTTTGAAAATCTTTTTTGCTTCTTCTGTTAAAGTAAGAGAAACTATAAAAGGGTGAGTAGAAGTTGAAAATATAGGTACCACTTAAAAGCTTTATTATTGTAAGGGTTTAAGCTCCTCTAATACTACAATCTCACTAAATAGGTGTATTGTTTACAAAGGTATTAAATGCAAATATTTTATCAATAAATAATGACAACTTCTTGATGTGGCAGCTTATACTTACCTCCTTTTTGACAAAAAATTGAATATTTTTTTATCAAATAAAACCCAGATTGATTTTAACCAAAATAAATAGTAGAAAACGCAAATTGCCAGGATCTTTTGAAAGCATAATTGTAAAGCTGATCACCAGGATATTTTTAGATTGGATATTAACTCATTTTGGGTACAATTGCGATGTGGTCAGGTATACCACTGGTGCGATTATTCGGGTAGTTCATATATTATGTAATACTACCTAATATGGTTTAAGTTAACTTGGCATTTAAATCACCAACCAATGAGAATAACGCTGGAAAAATCGAGAAACTGTTCAATAATACTGCTGATATTTGTAAAAGGCATTTGGCATTTGACATAGTAAAGCCAAAATATGGATTGAAAAACAGTGCTAGTTTATGGCCCCATGTTAGGGAGGGAACATCAAAGTACAACATATGAGGACTTGGGGTAAAACTGTATGATGAGAATTTTCATACAATTTTTATGATTATAATTACCAATGAACCAGGAGCTGGCAAACTTTTGCCCGAAGTACAAAACAAATAATATTGGACAATACATTATGTTAGAATGACCTGAACACAGATAGTGCACACAGATTAAGCTAAACTGCCACTGAGATAACTAAGATGAATAGTATGTTAAGAATGAATTCAAAGAGGACCTTAATATTAGGATTAATATTAATTGTGCTTTGTGGATTGTTCTTTACAAGGAGCACTGAACGGTTCTTTGTATATTACCAAAAACCATGTGGAGACACTACATATAGAAACAGCGCAAGTGATAAAGGTATCAAGTATGAGAGACAACCTAAACTGATACTGGATGAAACATTTAAGCATCATTTCATAATAGATGGCGCTATATTCTCCGATAAAGGCATGGCGTTAAGTGTGCCCAAAAACATCTCGACATCACTTGTTTACTCATTTTCCCCCAGTGTTGAACAGACGGCAAAAAAGATGTATATATTAAATGGCCGGGATAATAAATTTTATGCCAATAGTCCAGCAATCTTATGGTTCAAAGGACGACTTTTTACGACGCTTAGGATATGGCTGCAAAATGAGGCGTTTGACCTCGCGAAAAAATGGCCGGCAAATGTGTTTCAGGATAACGCTATTTTTACACAACAATTTGATAAATTCATGCGGCCATTGACCAATGGATCTCTTGTTGGCATGATAACCCCAAAATGGAAAATAGGTGATGGCCCAATCGAGCCAAGGTTGTTTACATTTAGGAACCGTTTACTAATGACATTCAACACTGGCTATGTGTCATCACTAAACAAAATGCGGGATTTCTCATTCATCTGGGATATGGAATCTAATGTGTTAATACGTCCTCGAATCAAGGGCCCAAAACCACAATCTCAAACGAGAGACAAACACTGGATACCATTCATAAAGAACAATAAACTATACTTCGTACATGGTTTTGATCCGCTCCGTATTCTGAAATGCCAATTAGGTGCCGATGCTTGCGATTGTCATTTTGTAATGCTTCGTGGGAACCTCTCAGCGATTTTCAGCAACGTTAAAACTCCTTTAAGGGGTGGGACCCCAATGGAGAAGTACAAAGGCTCGTATTACATATCTATTATGCATGCAACTCTGTTTAAAAAAGCGACAGGCTTGAGGTTCTATACATTTAATCTTGTCGTATTCTGCACAACACCAAAGCCAAGAATAGTATATGTCAGTGGGCCTATAGAAGTCAACCCCGATCTATTAAAAAGGTATCCCATAGTTCGACACTGGTACATCGAAGAGCCGTTTGTATTTCCAGTTGGATTACTCCTCGAGGGAAAGGACAGTGTTATCATTGGGGGTCATATAAACGACCACAGTAGTGTACTTTTGAGACTGACTGGGCTACAAGCCATTATGAAGACTGTCATATCAATAGATCAAGAAAACTTTAAACCGAAACGAGGACCTCCTGATTTTACTGTGCAAGCGTACGTCAAAGATGCTGCTACTAAGTATTCAGGCATTCAGTTCCATTGACACAGATGGCCTGTCATTTTCAGGCATTCACTTCCATTGACACATATGGCTTTTCATTTTCAGGCATTTAGTTCCATTCAGTTCCATTGACACAGATGGCTTTTCATTTTCAGGCATAGTTCCATTGACACAGATGGCCTGTCATTTTCAGGCATTCAGTTAATCCCATTGACACAATACGAGTATATATCGCCTGCCATTTCAGTTCCATTGATACATACTAAAATATATGTATGGCCTGTCATTTTCAGGCATTCAGTTCCATTGACACAGATGGCCTGTCATTTTCAGGCATTTGATTCCATTGACACTATGGCCTGTCATTTTCAGGCATTCAGTTCTTCTGACTATGGCCTGTGATATAAAGACTGGATTTTTTATAGCTTTACAGGGGCTTTCATAAAAAAGGCAGACAAGTGGACAATGGCAATAGTTCACCTTGAGAGAACTATTAAAAATATTTTATCTAAATTCTATTTTAGGATTCTGAATTGCACTATGTAAAAACAAGGAATTATTGAAATCATGCGGACAAATCAGATTGTACAATACCCTAGTCATGAACTACAACAACTTACACCGTAGTAAAAGAACACTGCTCTCTCAAGAGTTTTTATGTGGAGGTCTTTATTGGGTTTAAGCAATTAATCACATGCATTCATGAATGTTAAATATTATATATAACTAAATATAATGAAAGTGGTAGAGAATCAAAATGTTTAGTTATTGTCTGGGACAACACTTTACCACAACCTAGTCGAATTGGGATAACTAGAAAACAGTAACAGTCCATTTTAGAAATGCCCTCTCGAATAGAGATTGCAGACCTTAAGCAGTACTATTTTTAAATGAACAAAGTTAGTAAATAAGCATTCCCATTTATAATCCTTGGAATTTACAAGGGTTTGCATGAGATCCCCCCCCCCCCCCATGCGGGCATGTCCCAAGTAAAAAAAATTCTAATTTAGACCTACTTTAGACCTAGTACCGCTCTAATGCCGCTCATATCCTTCTAAATTACTGGGCGGCATTGGAACGGTATTAAAATCTGTTAATACCGACTAGCCGGTACTAGAGTTATATTGCATCGGTGTTAAATCTGTTAATACCGACTAGTCGGTACTAGAGTTATATTACAGCGGTGTTAACTTATATTTATCTTGTTGATACAGACTGAGCGGTATAAGAGCGGTATAAGAGCGGTATTAAGTTATAAAAAATTAAGACATCTATACTAGATCGGTGTTAGATTTCCCGCTCTTTTTAAACCAAAAGAAAATGGCTGACAAAGAATGTTCAACTGTAAGAGATTTGGGTAATTTCATGATTTTATAACAATAGTATGAAAATGACCAATCAAATATAGATTCAGAAGTTACTGACATACTTGAACATTCTGCATGTCTATTTTGTGAGGGGTAAAATGTAAGTATTGCTGTGTTATTCCAATTTAGATGGGCAAATCTTCTTTTCTTTGTGAATTTATCAAGGCCAAATTTTAATTCTATTCATTATAGGCATACAGTCAAAGTGGTCAAGAATAAATGTGTTGTGTATGACCAATTGTACCATGCAGTAAAAATATAACGTATTTTATAAAGATTATGAAGATAAATACTGCTGGAGGCCTAGAGGGTCCTTCAATAACTGTGAGCCTTGAATGGGTAAAATTACCAGTGATGTAACATAATAATTGCTTCTATATCATCTTACATACCCAGGGCCAACCTAAAATGAACAATTTGCGTGATATTTCCAAAAATTGTAGTACTTTTACGGGAGATTTTTCCATAATCTGGTAGTTTTTACGGGAGGTTTTTAAAAAAATTGGTAGTTTTTGTGGTAGATTATTAAACATCTGGAGTTTTTAGGTAAATTTTGAAACAACTGGAGTTTTTATGGTGAAATAAAACGGTGCTTTTTTTAAAAAAAAGCGGATTATCTCCAGTTTTTTTTCTAATAAAAGCAATCGTTTTTGCGGTAAATTCTGCAAAAAGAATCAGATTTGGTCTTGAGCACTTCAGTACTACATCACAAAATAACAAACAGTCGTTTGGAGCTTTTAGGTGTACTAATAGTTAGAGCTACTGCATGTCTGTTGACATACATCATATCATTATATTAATTTTGATCAGAAGGCAAAAGGCTGAAACAGAAGCATCGTCATAAGATCTGTGTTACTAGCTGCTATATTAAACATTCTTAGGGTGACCAATTATCCAAAATGGTATTTAAATATGATATTGATTATTAAATGATAAATTTTAGAAGGATTTCATGTTTTATTCCCATTTCGTCCCTTCCCACTTCGCCCCTTCCCATTTTGCCCCTCATTTATTCCCATTTTGCCCCTTTCCCAATTCGCCCTTTTCCCATCTCGCCCCTTTGCCATTTCACCCCTTTGCCATTTCACCCCTTTCCCATGTTGCCTCCTTCCCATATCGCCCCTTTCCCTTATCTCCCCTTCCTAATTTGCCCCTTCCCATGTCGCGAAGGGGGAATGAGGGGCGAAATGGGAAGGTGGCAGAATGGGACAGGGGCGAAATGGAAGAGGGGCAAAATGGGAAAGGGGCAATTTGAAAAAGGGGCGAAATGGGTTGGGGCGAAATGGGAATAAATGATGGGCGAAATGGGAAGGGGCAAAGTTGGAAGGGGCGAAATGGGAAGACACCGGATTTCATCTGTATTTGATCAGTATTGGAGCTGTACTAGAGCGGTATTAAATATCCCTGTCCAATACCGATGCATCGGTATTTGATCGGTATTTGATCGGTACTTGATCGGTACTTGATCGGTATTGGAGTTTCACTAAAGCCATATTAAATAGCATAGTCCTATACCGGTGCATTTAGAGCTATATAAGATCGGTACTAGGTCGGTATTTGGTCGGTATTTGGTTAAAGCGGATTGGCTGACAGGACTTCTAAATTAGCTCATTTGCATGATAAATTTTAGAAGGATTTCATCGGTATTAGTTCGGTATTAGACAACTACATTAGGTCGGTATAAGGTCGGTATAAGGTCGGCATTTAATATGCAACGTCCATTGGATTTTTTCACTTGGGGTATGACCAATGGAAATTTGACAAAAAAATTTCAGGGTGGAGTTGCAATTTGCGTGAAAATTCCGAAGGAACTGCATTCGTTTTTTTAAGCATTTGTTTATTGGTGTTCCTTTTTTGATGTTCTCCTCCTGAAATATTTTATATTTTTGCTTGACAATAATCAGAAAAAATCGTATTTGCGTGACATATTCTGTCACACAAAAAACAGGCAAATAAAAAACAGGAAATTGCGGGACAGTTGGATGGCCTGTGTCCAATTTCATAAAGTGTATGGGCAGAGCCATTTTCTATATCCCACAAACTTTGCTTGGTGGGATAATAAAATATTTTTTCCCTTTACATGAATGTATATTTTGAAAAAATCTGAACATCACTTAGTGCTCTCAACAGGATTTTTTCTCAAGTGGGTGCAAAATTCTCATTTGCACAATTCATTCCAAATTGGTTAAAATATGCCAATTTTTCTTGTTTTTTCTCATTTTCAAGTGGGTCCAGATGGATTTTCAGGTTGTGCAAGCCTATTTTCAAAATTTCAGGTGGGTGCTGTGCCCACTTGCTTTAATGCTGGGGAGATAACTGTCACTGGTGCAGAATTGACACAAGGCACTGACCTGACAAAATGTCACCACCGAGTAACTCACAATATTATTATTAGAAGGTCAATTCTCAAATCTAAAGTCAGATTGGAACTTCTGAGACCTTGTAGATGATTTTGAAAAAATTTGAACCGCCACTCGCTAACCGCCGTCACAAAAAATGGAGAGCATAACAATATTATGTCACCACTTTTGGGTGATGACATATGGCATTAAGACACAAGGCGTTAAGTTGCAAAATGTCACCACCTGCTATTTGTTACAGATTCTGAACATCAAATGCCGACTGCCAGACAGCATCACAGAAAAGTTGGAGACCATTCACTACTTTTGGTGGTGACATAATAATGTTTTAGTGTATTGTTTAAATTACTAGGTTACGATGCATTCTAAATATAAATATGAATGTACAAAATTATTCTTTTAAATTTTCATTAGAGGCCAATAATGCTCTATAAGCTTGGATAAATTAGTACTATATTATGCAATAAAACACCAATCTATAAAAATGTTTTTCTTCAGACCCCAGTTTATCAAAACTTATTGAGTTTAATGACTTACAGAATATGGCTCTGGGGCTTTCAGTGTTTCAGGTCTTGGCTGGCAATTTGTAACAACTGGCACATAGCGTAACAGACTATAGGGGTCAACAGCACTGACTATTGAATCAAGACCCCAGATTTCAGGGACTCCTTCTGGATGAACAATGTCACCAGCATGCTCAATGGGGTGATCTAATAAAAAAAAAACATTCAAGATTATGATTATTGATTCCTCCCGCCGAATATGAACAGGCTACTGGTTTTTTGAGTTATTGCCAAAAAACAACTGACATAACAGTCAGATATGGTTAATTAATAATGATGTAAATTACCAGAGTATGGAACTCCATTAGATAGATATGAGCATTGGTCATCTGTCTGAATACTGCTGATGGGTGGATGATTAACAGGGACAAAAAGTTTATCACACATAAGCTATAAGCTATGTTATTCTTACTTACAGTAGGAGACTATATAACAATTTGTCACCACTTCTGGTGGTAACATAAAATGTAGTATAAAAAAATATGTCATTACTCAATAAAAATGTCAGGTCTCTAGAAAGGAAACATGGACATAACCTCTGTTGAGACAGAATTGTATGCTGCATGAGACAGATAATACATCTCTACTACTGTACATTGGGGTATAAGACATGAAAAGCAAGCATTTAATACTAACCAAGTAGCTGCAAGATTTGATCTTCATTCTTCTCCTGAAGACTTAAACTGAAAGCAATAGGTAACTGCATAAGATGTAAAGATACATGAATGCAATTTAAGCAAAGCAAGCAGGTTGTGCAGAGCAAAGACTTAGAAGAAGGGAGTATAACTATGCAGGTTTATATTCAAGCCCAAAGCCAGCTTTTGCCAAGTGGGTCCAGGAGGGGTTCACATTTGACAATACTGGCCCAAAATCACTTGAAAAGTGCTCAGAATGGTGAAAAACTTCAAATACATTTTCTCTCAATAAGAACTTCTGATAAATTTTGTCACATGCAAAATAGAGTTTTAGTGAGGAGAGCATGGGAGGAGGAAACCCATACCTATTAACTACTTGAAGATAAATATTTATACATGTACTATGCATCTAGTTACATGACCACTTACACCTCCATAGCTTGTTTCACCCTTGTTATAAGTAAGGGGTAGGGGTTATAAGGCAGTTCCCGCATGGACATCAAACTCTTTATGAGCTCCCTGAACGTAGCTGGGAGCATACATTCTTCAAGGTAGTCGATAAGCACCTGGAGTCTTTTGCGAATCTCTGGGTCATTTGGAGCTTGGAAGGTTTCACGGGCCACTATAGCACTTGCTGTGTCCTGCAGGTCAAAATTAAACATAACATAGACAACTGGTATATTTCTCCAGTAATTACAGAAGCTAGGTCATTAAGGTATCTGGCAGAGAGGGTTCATTGCCAAGGTTATTTTGATCTCGGAAGAATTCATGAGTGACTTTTCACACTAGCTGAACAATGGTCTTGTGGACCAAGATGCAAGCTATTTCACATTTTTGAAATTCAATGCACAAGGTTTGTTCCTTCTTCATATGCCAGCAGGGGCAAAATGTCAAGCAATGTTCTCAATTTATCAACTGAAACTATTGATGTGTTCCCTGTGTTAAAGCATGGGAAGCCCATGGTTAAAGCTAAGCTTTTCAAATATAAAGAATCTCATCAAATAGTGAAGTCTTTAAAATGACAGATGCACATGCATACTTTCACCGAAACAGTAAATATGGTGTACAAGTTGAACACAAGATTTGTTCAATAAGTTAGTATTTTTTGCTCTAATTGCAAATATTATCATTTTGACATCATATTTCATTTGTTTATCAGTTTGTAAAGTTTGAAACGAGCAGATGTTTCAAGACTTTTTGAATGACCCTTAACTTATAATCGGTAGTTTACCTACCCATGTGTAGTGAGAATCCTGCAATGTCAATGTAGAAGGTATTTTTGAAAGGTTAGAAGGTGTCCGGAATGTTCTCACTGACGCCAATGATGGTGCCACACCTCGTGAAGATAACCTTGTGTGACCTCTTTGTGTTGGTGGTAATGTCTGTGTACCCCTCCCTCCATTGGGAACACTGCCTATGGAGGCATCTTCAGGAATTGTATCTGGAACATTTCGTCTGTCAACTTTCTGAAGAAAATAAGTCATTGCCTTTATTAATCATAGGATTCATGATTATTAATGCATAACTCATTTAATATTTTGTAATACATGTAATTTATTTTGTGAAGTAATGTTTTACAGTTTCAATTTGATATACACAAGGCCCCGCGGGACATGAGGTTAGGTACATGTAACAGGGCTCTCACAAGAATTCTGTATCATGGTTCAGTTGCAGTAAATCATGAGATGATCGAATTAATAATTTATGTTGTGCCTGTGCTTTGAAGTTTGATGGGAGGAGAGGCCTTTAAATAATGGGAGTATTGTCCTGGTATAGGAACTACATATACTCTAACTATCCTCACAATTCAGATTAAATGAACAACATGATATTTTGAACCTTTTCTGTGCACCCAGGCTAATCAAGCAATAAATTGCTGGAATCACGATCAGTGGTGCTCCATGTCCAGAAGGGTTGCCCGGTTGATATTGTTACAATACTCCATAAACACTAAACAGTGAAAATTATCATTGAATTATAATAATTCAAGTCTTCATATTGAAATTATTCAAATTTTGATTGATTTGATCATCAATCACGTGATCAACTAGTCGCCATTCCTTTTTATCTGAGCTCAAAAAATTGCCTTTTTCAAAGTATTTCTTGTCTAATTATGTCATACCTGAACTCATTCTACACGAGAAGAAGAAGTCTAAAGTGTTTTCCAACAAATGCAGCAAGAAACAAGGACGCGGGAGCCTTCTTCGTGCAGAAATCTATCCAGGAAAAAGATAGGTACACCAAGACAAAGGACTTTTACGACATTGAATTGAAATATGTCTCACAGAAAGAGAAATCCTAGTCTTCTCCAGTCTGTTAAGCAAAATGTGGTAGCAAGTTTAACCAATTTAGCATACAACGGCACTAGGGATTATCCCGAGGAAAAACAAGAAAAATCTGAAAATCCTGCACGTGCACGACATATATCTAGGGGCCAAGACCAACTTACGGAAACCAAAATCCAAAATGGCAGCCCCCATGATCAAAACAAATGTGCTCTAAATAAAGGTGCAAATTACATCCTTCCCTCCAAACTGCAAGTGAACCCAACGGGCCCAAGTGGTCAGTACATAAATAATACGTCAGAAAAACCGCAAGAGGAGAGGAGTAACCTGAAATCTGGTCAAAAAACCAAGGATCTTTGTGAGTATTGCCAAAATATTTTATCCGAAATTCAGTGTGAAGTATGTCTCAAGTGGTCCTGTTGTAAGTGTCAGGGTTTAAAGAAAAGCCTTGTTGGAACATTGCAAAATAACCAAAACATTCACTGGTATTGCATTGATTGTGAAAAAGATCTTGATTTCAAACTGAGATGTAATTCCTTGGAAGAACAGGTCACAAAAATGATCTCTAACATAGCAGTTGACTTAAAATCACTAATTGAAACAAAATTCATAACTATACAACAGTCAATCTCTAAGGAATCAATAGAAGTAATAAATGAGATACTAGATGACAGAATAGGACAGGAATTAAAAGATACTAATAATAACCTTATGAAAGCAACAGAAAACAATGAAAAACTGGGCCAAACTTACGCTCAAATAGCTGAGAAGTTGCAAGAACAAGACAGGTCATCAGGAAATTCGAAAAGCCAAATCCCCATAGGCCAATCCAAGGAATTAGACGCTACTGATATAATGGAAGAATACCTGGAAAGGGATAAAAGGAAACTCAACATAATAGTCCACAATGTCAAAGAATCAACAAATGAGGACTTTAGAGAAAGAAAAGAACATGATGAGCGAAAAGTAGCAAGTATTGTCAGAAGAGGTCTTAACCTTTCAGACATAGAAATCAGAAAGACAACAAGACTTGGGGCCGGGAGAAATGACAACAAACCAAGACTCATGCAGGTTATAGTTAGTGACGTGTCATCAAAGCATTCTATCCTTCAAAATGCCACTAAGTTGAGACGGAACAAGCGCTATGACAACATATATATTACCCCAGACATGACACCAAAGGAGCGAGAGAAAAATAGAAAATTGAGACTGGAGCTAAAGAACAGGAGAGACGCAGGTGAACAGGGTATCAAAATTTCCAAAGGCAAAATTATACAAATTAAACATCAAGAGTCAGCTATAGTAGGGGATGAGAGGCCTTCATCTTCAAAAACCAATAGGAAAAAAGAAATTGAAATAAAAAACAAATTTCAACCGCTTCAATCATTACAAAATGAAGAGGAGGACGAAGAAGTAAGAACTAAACGACCCCCAAAACAACCTGACGTTATCATCAGTCTAAGTGAAGAAAGTGCCATAGAAAGTGAAAGTGAAGGGAACACAGATGATAGCTACTCCGGACCTGACGAGCCTGAAACTAAACCCAAGAAAAAACATAACACAAAATCCAGACCAAACCCAAAACAGGCTAATAAAAATGAACAAAACCATGTGAAAAATAAAAAGAAGGACTTGAACACAACTCAGGAACTTATTCAAGAATTGACCGATATTCATGGCCTCAGTCAGGCCACAGGGGGAATTGTTGATACCCTAAACCCAGCACTAAACACTACAAGCAACAAAACCAGAGCATAGTTAATAGCAAACATGGACTTAACATAATGTACTGTAATGCAGATAGGCTACCAAACAAAATGCTAGAATTTAAGTTGATTATTAATAACCATCGCCCTGATGTTTTTGTTGTAGATGAAGTTTTACCCAAGGACAGATCCGATGCAGTCACCCTACAAGAGATACAAGTTGACAACTACTCTACAGTCTACACCAATTTTGAGAGTGGTAACAAGCTAGACCAGGGTAATTTGAGAGGTATTGCAATATACATAAAGGATGGTCTAAACTCAAAACAAATTAAATCAAATAGTAACTTCTCTGAACATTTACTTATCAAAGTGAAGGATATAGTGCTGGGATGTATATATAGAAACCCAAGAAGTGACAATGTAAATAACGATGAGTTAAATAAACTCTTTGTAAATATTGTAAATATAACAAAACAGGAAAAATGTGAACTATGCATAACTGGAGATTTTAACATGAGATGGTTAGATTGGGAAAACTGTCAGTCTAATATGGGACCTGAACACTTTTCATCCATTTTTCTAGAGAAAACCCAGGAGCTATTCCTCTACCAACACATTGATCAACCAACAAGAATAGTGCATTGACAGCAGCCGAGCATCCTCGACCTGGTATTCACAAGCTAGGAGGAAAGGGTTACACTTGTTGAGTATCTGGGTAAGCTAGGCCACAGTGATCACATAATCCTAAGCTTCAATATTAGATCCCACTCAGACAATTCAGAAACATATGTACCTGATAAAAAGCCATGTTACTCTAAAGGGGACTACAGCCAAATCAAAGCAGATTTAGACAACGTTAATTGGAAAATTGAACTAGAACAACTGAGTACTGAGGAGTCATGGAACCTATTCAAAGACAAACTATGTTACTCTGTACGCAGAAATGTTCCCTTTATAACACCGAAGGAAAAATATTTATATGGACAAAAGTGCATTGAAACAATACAGAAAGAAGCTATCAACATGGAAGAGATACAGGTATCTGAAAACTAAGGATGGACAAGACTATGTGAATGCGAGACGGGAGAGTAATAAATTAAGGAAACAAACCAGACAATTGAGTAAAGCATTTGAGCATGACATAGCTAAAAAATCCAAGCAGAACCCAAAAGTTTTCTATAATTATGTGAATTCAAAAATCAAGCCAAAATCTAGAATACCTGACTTAAGAGCTAAGGATGGAACTTATCACTCAGATGATCTGTAGCCTTGCCCAAGTCGGTATTTTTTACTTATCTGATCTTGAATTATTACCGCCTTGTACAATCCAATACATCTCCGCTGCTATTATGCTGAGATATTCAACGGTTTCGAGATTTCCATAACACCTACGCTATCAGGGGTATCGCGAAACCTTATTGATGAACAGATATACGCGTGGACACGACGTGTGACATCAGGATGATTGACCAATCAAAACGTTATCAGGTTGAGCTGCACAGCAAAGCAATCTTCCCCTCTACGACTTGAAATTCAATGATCTGATCGATCGTTTCTTTAGAGTTACAATATATTATGTAATTAAATGTGTAGGGAATGTAAGAGTCATTAATATAAATTAAATCATGCAAAAGATTTAAAACTGATCTGGCGATGAAAATGCAAGACCTAGTCCAATGTAGCGGGTCATGTAGTCGTCGATCAGTGATTGAATCTCGGCCTACATGTTCATTTGAATTCAGCGATCGTTTCAATGTTTATTGTTGAAATCTTCTAACCTCCGGTTACCGATCGATGTCTAGCATCCACTTAACTCTGATTGATATTTATCTGATAAAATATTTAAACTATATGATGAATTCATGCAAGATTTGTTCGTGAAAAGTCCCGACGAAAAGTGTACTTGTTTTTGACCGTGCATAATAATGAGCTAACACTGCAGGGCCGTCGTTGATTGGTCAAATTTTACCGACATAAACATTGGGTCGGTAAAGCACTTGGCTTTCTCTTTTGTACAAGGCGGTCATAATAGAAATCAGATAGTAAAAGAGACCGACTTGGGCAAGGCTAATGATCTGGAGAAAGCAAACATATTAAATGATTATTTCGCTAGTGTTTTTACAAAAGAGAGACTAGATAATATACCAACAATTGATGTAATCAAATTCAAAACGTAGACATTACACCTGATAAGGTTTTAGCAAAACTCAAGAAACTGAAGCCATTTAAATCAGCAGGACCGGACGGCATCCACCCAAAGGTCCTCAAGGAAGCTGCATCACCCATAGCTGTAGCCCTAGCAATAATATACAACAAGTCATTAACTACAGGAGAAGTTCCGAAGGACTGGAGAGAGGCTGAGATAGTAGTGATCCACAAAAACGGCCCTAGAGGTATACCCGAAAACTACAGACCTATTAGTTTAACATGTGTCTGTTGCAAGCTGATGGAATCCATCATCAGAGATGACATAATTAATTATATGTTGAAAAATGGACTTTTCACTGATGATCAATTTGGATTCCTGCCAGGAAAATCCTGTATCACTCAACTTTTAACAATTATGGATAAGTGGACTGAAATTCTCGATACCGGCTCCCCGATAGACAAAATCTATTTTGACCTGGCGAAAGCCTTTGATACGGTCCCTCATGCAAGGTTGTGTAATAAACTTGATGCTGTCGGTATAAGAGGTAACTTACTGAACTGGATAAAGGGATTCTTAACTCACAGGACTCAGACAGTAAGAGTTAATAATAATACATCTCCACCAAAGCCTGTGGCTTCTGGAATACCTCAAGGGTCCGTGCTCGGGCCTTCCTTATTCATAATCTATATTAATGATGCCCCAGACAAGATAAAAAACTCAATCAAAATTTTCGCAGACGATACCAAACTCTATGGGGAATGTGTCAGTGCCGAACAGCGAGAGAGCCTTCAACAAGATACTGACACTCTAGTAAACTGGTCAAAGGATTGGCAATTAAAGTTCAATAAAAAAAAGTGTAAAGTTTTACACTTAGGTGGTAAAAACGCAAACCAACAATACAACCTAGATGGTGCCACGATAGAGTCAGTGATGGAACAGAAGGACCTAGGAGTCACCATGGACAAAGAACTAAAATTCAAACAACATATCAGTCAAACTGCAAAGAAGGCAAGCAGTAAATTAGGAATTATCAAAAGAAGTTTTAGTAACACTAAGGAGATCATAGTGCCACTTTACAAATCTATGATAAGACCTATATTAGACTATGGAAACATTATATGGCACCCAAGACTCTTAGGAGAAGATCGTAAAATAGAACAGATACAGAGAAGAGCTACCAAATTAATACCAGATCTGAAGAATAAGCCGTATCAAACTAGGCTTAAAGAGCTAAAGCTTCATTCCCTCCACTACAGACGTAGACGAGGAGACATGATACAGGTTTATAAAATTTTTAATGGAATAGACACTATAGAGCACAGCTCATTTTTCACCAAGGCCACCACAACCACTAGAGGACACTCCATGAAATTGTACAAACACCACTGTAACACTACCCTTCGACGAAACACCTTCAGCAATAGAGTTATAGAAGACTGGAACAGCCTCCCAGAGAAGGCAGTGACGTCCCAAAGTGTAGATCAGTTTAAAGGGAGACTAGACAAACTTTGGCAAAATTATCACTATGATATAGTTTAATACCTATTACATACTTTTAAACTAAGATCTGAGCATCTACAGGACTTTTGAAGACCTATCAGCTCAGAACCTGATGATGATGATGATGATGATGAGAAGAATCAATAATTTTTCCAAAAAATGTTTTCCAAAAATGATTTATTTTGTTACAAATTTTGCATAAATTAGGAACTTATTCTTACCTTAAACCTGTCTTTATATTTTCCCCCTACATCAGATTGGCTCCCGGTGTAAGGGTTCGAAGCCATTTATTATATTTAGAGACATTTAAAGATAAAAAACTCAAGTTTCAACATTTCAAATTAAACCGGAAGTTGTGCCATCACTAGGGTTTCTCATAAGAACACTGACATTTATTGGCTATAGCGAGTATTACATCTTGATTGCGAGAGGAGTTGCTATCACATACAGATTGATATAAAACAGTGACTCAACACAATAGCATCTAATAAATTACCCAGTGGTACAACTAGTGATTTGATACTTATTTTGTTGCCCAACCAGTGATTTGATATTGCTTTGTTGCCCATTGGTACAACCAGTAATCTGATACTTACTTTGTTGCCCATTGGTACAACCAGTAATCTGATACTTACTTTGTTGCCCATTGGTACAACCAGTAATCTGATACTTACTTTGTTGCCCATTGGTACAACCAGTAATCTGATACTTACTTTGTTGCCCATTGGTACAACCAGTGATCTGAAACTTACTTTGCTGCCCATTGGTACAACCATGGGCTGCCCATGGTACAACCAGTTATTTTATACGGTTAATGTTGCGCATTGCACAGATAGTGGGATGTTCTCCCATTATACTGGTTACTGCTCACTGTGACATATTGGTAAAATCATTGATCTGACACTATTTTTATTTTAAAGTTATCTAGTATTTTTGTCATTGTACAATGGCACAATCACTGAACTGACACTACATTCATTGCACGATGGTACAGCCAACAATGACATGATTCTCTTTTTATATTGGCACAATCAGTGATATGACATGACTGTCTTTATATTGGTACAGTCAGTGATATGACATGACTGTCTTTTTATATTGGTATAATCAGAGATATGACATGATTGTCAATGAATATTGGCACAATCAGTGATGTGACACGATTGTCAATGAATATTGGCACAATCAGTGATGTGACACGATTGTCACTGAATATTGGCACAATCAGTGATGTGACACAATTGTCAATGAATATTGGCACAATGGTACAGTCAACAATGTCATGATTGTCTTTTTATATTGGCACAATCAGTAATATGACATCACTGGCTTTTGATATTGGTACAATCAGTGATATGGCATGATTGTCAATGAAAATTGCCACAATCAGTGATTTGACACGATTGTCAATGATGATGTGACATGATTGTCTTTGCATATTGCAGTGATATGACACTTTTGTCAATGAACATTGGCACAATCAGTGATGTGACATGATTGTCATTGAACATTGACACAATCAGTGATGTGATATGACTGTCTTTGTGTATTGCAGTGATATGACCCGATTGCCATTGTACATTGCCACAATTACTGATGTGACATTAGCACAATGACAGAATCTGAATCTGAATCTGTATATTGGCACAATCAGTGATATGACATGATTGTCTTTTTATAATGGTACAATCAGTGATATGACATGATTGTCTTTTTATATTGGTACAATAAGTGATATGACATGATCGTCATTGTATATTGGCACAATCAGTGACATGATTGTCTTTTTATATTGTTACAATCAGTGATATGACATGATTTTCACTGCACAATGACATAATCTGTGATATGACATGGTTGTCATTGTATATTGGCACAATCAGTGATATGACTTTAAATCATTAAACCAAACTAAACTAAAAACATATGTATACATGTATCTCTGTATTTAAGCCATTGTCTATAAGGACTTGAGAGATTTCCACATATTACCAGCATAGAATTAGAATTAATGTTCATTATGTCAACAACACAACTATTGACATATTGTTAGTGTCCAACTTTTTGGTGGATGGTGTAGGCAGTTGGTGTTTGGCATTCTTCAGTGACATATTGTTATAATTTCCAGCTTTTTTGTGGATGGTGTTTGGCAGTTGATATTTGGCATTTAATGTTCAGCAATTGGTGTTGCTTTGGACAGTTGGTGTCTGTAACAAATTTGGTTAGAGCATCTTTGCATTTCAATTTAACATTTACGTTTCATGAGAAGCCGACTACTCTCTTGCTACTGCACGTGTGGTAATATATTCCAAATATACCTGAGACTGGAAACTGCAATTAGAAAAAATTTAAAGAACTAAAAAATTACTAACAGTTTGAGGAATTGCACTCTTATTTTATTCTACATTTCTCAAAAGTACATAGCAACAATCATAAGTAAAAACAATCATTGCAGAATTAAACATGTAAAAGGGCAATGTCTGTAGTTCCATGGGCTTTAAAAGAAAGTCCTTGAAAGCCCAAGGTAGTTCTGACCCCAAAATATATTTTAATTCATATAACATCTGAACTGTAACACCAATAAATACCTTTTGTTAACAGAGCGTCTTTATCAAAAATTCAAAGCTTGAAAAATGTGTCATATTGAAGCTGCAATTCGAGTTCAAAATTGAATCATAATCATTAGGAATCATTATGAATTAAAATATGTAAGATAATTCAGAATCAAAATTACAGATACATGTAATGACTCAATTAAGTCGAGCAAATCAAGGTAAAAAATTGTTTATTTGAAACAAATGATTAATTTATGATAAATTGTAAATGTTAAACCACTTTGGCTGAAAATTATGTTCAGATTTTGCATAGAATTTTCAAGTAACAATATACACAGATACTATAAGTTATTCAATGATACAAAAAATATTCTTCCCGAGAAGGTTGTATTTCACGATGCGCTAGCAGAGTGAAATACAGACGTTCAAGGGAAGAATATTTTCTGTATTTCACAAGAAATCATTGAATAACGTTTTTATTCCATGATTACCCATATAAAACTCGCCTAAATCAAGTCCGTTGGCTTGGGGCCGGAGAAACAGATCAACCTTCTCACCTCAGAGATATTTTACATCGATATTCCTTCAAAATCTTTATGTCCTTGTTGTTTGCTTTTTGTTTGCGTTTTTTCCTCTTAAAATTATTGATTGTGGTGATCACAGTATACGTTTCTGATATTTGAATCAGATATTTATAGCAAAATTCAAAGATAAGCATGCGTTGGTGTAAAGTAATCGCCATTGATTTTTTTCAGTAACAGTCATATCCTGGATGGAAATCTGGGGCGTTGGGATACTGGACCGTATCCCAACGCTGACGTCATTGACACAGGAAAGTGCGTGTAAATACAGAATATATTTAAGTCACGTGGACCAATCAGATTGCAGGGAATTTCACCATCATGGAATAAATGTTTGTATACCAGGTTGATCAATAAATATTGAGAGAAATGGTCATTTAAGATCGAAGTATTGCCTGTTTAAAGGTGCAACAAGTAGTGCAGAGGGGCCATTCAACGATCATGGACCAGTGTCAAAATATATTTAAGTTTGGATATTTCATCAAGACTAACATCTATTTTTATTTTCTACAAAGAAACCCCCTAGATAATCATTATTTCAGCTTATATTCCTCTTGAAACATGGTGGATCTTAAAAATATAAAAGTGGACGTCCCCTTTTTGAAGCTTTGAACTGTATTTACACTTTTTAATGCCGAAATTGATAGTTTATCCATACATTTTAAGAAAATAGGTATGTCAAAGAAGATGTTAAGCCAACTGTTACCTTGATAGCTCAGAAAAAGTTAAAATTTTCTTATTTTCTCTCTACAAGCCTTATTGCCTCTTTAAAAAGCAAAAGAATCTTGAATTTGAATGACTTTATTCATCCACCTGGTATTCTATACAGACAATGTGAACAATATTAATGACATATTCAAATTGTTTGACAAATTTTTCATTACTGTTAAATTGATAATTCCATTGATAATTTGAATCTAAAATACAATAAGCAATCAAAAGAACCATTTTCAAAAAAAAATTAACATGGCTGAAACTCCTTAAACTACAAAACGCCACACTCCTGCATTGTACATAACTATATGAAATATACAAAAGTTAGGTTTTGTATATATGTTTCTATTTTTACATATACTGAATTTCATGTTCCAACTGCCTAGAATCGCATGGAAATAATGAAACTTTCACAAGTTATATGATTGTTCCATTATGTATAACCCATGGATAATTATGATAACTATTGGAAAAATTGACCATACTATTGAATCATTCAGTAACATTTTATATGAGATTGCAAGCAAAATGTCACCACCTACCATTTGCTACAGATACCGACTGCCAAATTTCCTCCAAAAAGTTGGAGACTATGGCAATATGTCACCACTTTTGGTGGTAACATAATTACAGTCAATTATACAATTTTATTCAGTTAAGGTCAGGGTGCACTTTGATGAAATTTCATGCCCATGTGCTATTTTCAGGTAAACATAACTAATTCTACACATCATCTACATCTTTCATTCTTGCACAAAAGATGCATTATTGTACCTAGACTATAAATTGAGGGTTGATAATTATTTCAACAAAATTGCAAAAAATTCCAACGTGCACTCTGGCCTTAACGACAATTAAACTAAAGCAGTCGAAACAAATTAATTAATCTCCATGACAATTCAGGTACAGTCCCCAACAATTTACTTACAGGAGTACAGGCCATGACAACATAGCTACAGAACACAATAATTTCATTACAGGGTTAAGTATGGTATTTATACATATGGTAATATATAAAAGGTTTGATATAAAATATAAAATGAATAGTTCATGTCAATTGTATATTCCATCTTCCTCGCGAAATGTCATGCTATGAAAATTCCAATCAGATACACTACCCCTACGATCCAGCTCAGGAGTTCTTAAAAATTTCCTAGCATTTTCTTCTTCCTCTTTAGCCTTTTGTTCTTTACGCCGTTTAACAAGTGAGGCAGGGGGAGGGGCAAATTTATTGCTAAATGACTTGTAGCTAGGGGTTGTAGATCGTTGAGGCATTCCTGAGGGAACCCCCAATCCCTCCCCAGGTTTCCCCGACGCTTGATTGATATCTGGCAGATTGTTCATTTCCATGTTTGTTAAGTCCATATCAAGATTTGCGTGAAGTAAGTTCACTACATCATCGACATCCTCCACTTCTTCATCACTCTCCAAATCGCAACGTGGCGTCGGGTTGAAATAAAAAGTCTTAAATTTACGACCTTTGTAATGGATATACTGCATAATATTTTGTTCTGGATACACAAATGCTCCTGTATGTTTTGTCATATCAATTCCATGTTCTGTTGGTTTGAAAGAACCCCCTTTAGAATCAAGGGACAATCTGGACATATTCTCAGATGTGTCTCCTTTGAAAGCTTGGGGAACAGAACCTGTGTCAATCATAACAAAGTTAGAGTTACGTCTCCCATATTTTGATTTTGATCTTGAGTGAAATACTCTATGTAACTCACCCGGTTTTAATTCGGGTTCAGCTGGAACCTCTGGTTCATTTTTATTTTCAGCAGATTCTCTTTGACGTGACCGAAAGAACCGTCCATCCAATCGAGTAAACTTTTGTTTATTTGGATTAGTTTTGTTATTCACAGATGTCCTACGTTTGTTAGTGTTTCTAGGACTTGGTTCGGTAGATGGTCTTCTTGGTGATGAGTCATTGCGAATTGGTCTAATAAGGGAAGCCCCTGTAACAGGACGTTGTCTTATAGATGGCACACTACTACTCCCTCTAGTTGTTGGTCGACTTCCTGTTCCTGAGCTAGCGGGTAACATTAAGGAACTAATGGTGGAGCGGGCAGAAGATACTTGACTTTCCTGCCGGCTATTAACTATAGGCAGGTGATCCACATTGCTGCTTTTCCCCTTTTCTTGAAAATGTTTTCCACTAGAATCTCCCAATCGGGTTATTGTCACATTTTCATCAGTACCAACTTTATCATTCTCTGATTGGTTACCGTTATCTTCGGCAATCACTTGCATCATGGAGTCCTGATTTTACTCTAGACTGATTTAGAATAGTCCCAATCTATTCCATTCATGATATCATTCTTGTACGTGTGAATCACTTTATTTCTACTTTTTGTATCAAACATGCACTGTATTATGATTGAAAAATATTGGCATAATCTGTACCATTATCTTTACCATAGTGTGTCTACTTTAGTTTCCAAATGTTCTTAGAGTTTCCATAATTGTTGTGTATTTTTGCTTCATAAAATATTCCACATTTTACCTATGTGTATTACAGTATCCAAGGAGGTTGTTTTCGATGAGAACTCAAATGGATTTGAAATAAATTTAATCTCATATTTAATCCTTATTACAATTTGCAACAACAGAGACTTTAATCTCTTGATCCGATTTGTGGCTTAATCCAACACTTAAATCTACCATACATTTTATGACTCATTTAAACCAATCAAAACACACCTTTTAATCACATGATGACACAAGAATATACATTATTGAAAACACTATTTCCTGGTATTTAAAGAAGCGCACTTAATTTTGAAAGAGAGGGTCCTAAAAGTAAATAGCCCACAGACACATAAGCTAAAGCATAGAGAAATAGTAAACAGTTTACCATAAAATATGAAAGGCACACATGATATGAAAACAACTCCTAGAAATATAGCTTTCCAGAAAGGAAATATATAGCCATAGAGTAAATTGAAACAAGAAAGACTATTTATTGTATACGTTGAAACCAGAAAATGTTCAAATGCTTAAATACATTTAATTATTTGGACTTTTGATAAATTCAAAAGCTCCATTATCTGATTTATTTGCCAAAACTTCATGGAACTCTATTCAATGTAAATATGCTACATCAATATTGGGAAAAGAGACTTATAATGCCATGAGATGAATGAGGTCTTATGTAATGCCACTAAATACACTTAGAATAGCTTTGAACCAGGTTTCTGGAGTCTGGACCCCCGTCCCCTATCTATTTTACCTCCAAAGGAGAGTATTGTTGGGGGTCAGAATGATTTGAAGAAAGACTATGGTAGACTAAATAAAATGGAAAGGATAGAGATTCGATTTAATAAATTTTCAATGTGTAGATCAGGTGGCACAAACGTCAGACCTTTCATGTGGTGCACGAACCTAGAATACTAACATTCGTGTATAAATGTCAAAACCAGATTATTTATTCTAATCAACTGCAATTTCAATCATTTTTACAGCCTATGTACCCATCTTTTAATTATTTTTTAAAGCTGTATATCAGGTTCTGGGGTTAGTTAGTTTTTCTCTATCATTATTGTCATTACTACCTGTCAATCATATAAATATAAAATGCATTGGAAAACACTGAAATTAGATTTTTTCTACAAGTACGACTATATGTACTTAAAGTTTGAGGGTGTTATAACTGAAATCGTCGAGTTTTTAGTCAAATCCCAGTCTTTCATTCAGTCTATGATTCCATTGAATAAGTCGTTCACCTACTGTCAAATTTTCAGAATCAGCATTTTCTGTTTCCACATTTTCTTTTTCCATTGTAAAAAATGACTCTATATAATTCCTACACATTGGACATCTATCTATTCGAGAAAAACATGTGTCACATACACATGCGTGTCTGCAGGGTAAAATCACCTTATTGATTCCTGCGTTCTGACAAACAACACAATCATGTAATGTCATATCATCAGAATATTCAGTATCTTCTTGGAGATCATCTCTAAGAAATTCAGGAATTTCTGAGTCATTCGATGTTGATGGAATTGAATTGACATTGTCAGTGTTATGTATTTTGTCACCTATGGTTTTCTTTATATTTTCATCATTTTTAGGTGTGGAATTTTCATCATTTGACATTGACTGGTTTTCTCGGAATTGTTGGTTGTTAGGTGAATGCTGGTTGCTAGGTGATTGTTGTTGGTTGCTAGGTGACTGTTGATTCCTTGTGCTAGTAGATGAACTGGTATCTTGGGAATCTGTAGCCACAAAGAGTTGCTGAAAAAGATATTGATCTTTTTAGACTATTTTTTGATCATAAAATCTGAAACTCAGAAATACATCTTTGTTGATTGAAATCGAGATAAAAATGATGAAGATGGGCAGTAAGGATGAGGAAAATCTTCAAACCTAGAATTTCAGAAAGCTAATCAAAGATTTTGTGTTAAAAAACACATCAGATCAGATCAGATCATGCCAAAACTACAACTATTTCTATCTGGATATTTCTATCTGGATATAACATTCAGATGAATATTTATAGAAATCTGTCACTATTGTTAGAGAACAGGTTCTGATAAAAATTCTAAATGAACAATTTACCTTCAAGTTGTAAATATGTCCTGTATTCAACTTCACATACTGGGCAATAATATGGCTGTTTGTGCAACAGACACCATCTCGAATGTGTATTACTGTCACCATGGCAACCTAGAAAGTTAATAAAATGAAAAGTATCCTAGCAAGTGAATATATGAAAATAAGAAGTCATTCCAAATGGATCATGAGATATGGAGATGTAAATCATAATTCAGAATACAGGGCCATTTCATGGAATTTCAGGAACCTAGAATTATAATACAGGGTGGTCAAAAAAAATGGAAACCCTAATACCATTTTCCACATATCTTTGTCATTTTAAGAAATAACTATTTGATATTTTAGGCTTTTGTACATCATTCAATTTGCTACCAGCCTACTTTATTTCATGACCATCTGATTGATAGTCACAATGTTACAGTACTTTAAAGAACATGCCCAGTGGCCACTATTGCGTTGTGGGGAAACCTGTACTCATTGTCTAAAATGTCCCTACCTGTTGGGATATGGCAGAGATAGAGTATATGAGAATGACCTCAGGACAATTGCAAACCTCAAAAGTGAGATCATTTGTGTCATTCAGGCCATACCTGCTGAGGAATGCATTCTGGTCATTGACAACTGTGCTGTTTTGCCTACAGCGCGATAATGGCCAAATCTGAAGCATGTTACTCAAAGTGCTGTAAAATTGTGACTATCAGTCTGATGGTCATGAAATATGGTAGGGTGGTAGGAAATTGAATGCTGTACAGATGTGTAAAATATCAGGGAGTAAATCCCTAAAGTGACAAAGATATAAGGAAAATGCAGGGTTTCCTTTTTTTTGACCACCCTGTACATAAATATTACAAATGGAAAGATGCATTTGTGAACAAAGAAAGCATCAGATTAAAGACCATCTTTCCAAAAATCATTTTCATATTCATCATATTTTTCTCTCATATCAGTCGGTGTCTGGTCTATTTACAAAGATCCAAAAGGTTCATAATTTATTCAAGGAAATACTAAGATTAAAACATTTTGCTCTCAAAATAATATGGATATTCACATTAGTTAATGTTATCTTCTTTATTCAACAATATACCATGGATTTCTTTGAGATACTATACTTTGTAAACATGGTCACGTTGCTTGTAATTTTACCCTTTTTGTTTTTGGTTCTTGCTTAAGAAAAAAAGTCCACTTACAATATGTTGTGCATAATCACTGTCACACTCCTCCTGCGGGAACATTATCGCCACTAGAGGATATCTGGACCTGGGAGGGTTCCCCAGCGCCTCTGGATCTTGGATACTTAATGGAGGCTTTATTTTTACGATGTGATTTTTACACACAGAGAATCTAATATTAGGTTAAGGAAATGTGGTTTGTCCAAAAATTGTTGATGGATTGACAGAATGAAGGAAGAATGAATGAGAAGGTGATTCCATAGGCTGACAATGAGAGCCAAATAGTTAAAAACACAGAGGGTGCCACTTAATTAATATCTCTGAAAAGATACTTTAGTTTTTCAGAAATCTCAGTACATTGGTCTTTATCTAGTAGCCCAGCTTCTAACTGATCTTGGAATGTGGGTGTGTCCTGGTAAATCTTGTAGTGAATGTCTTTTATTTTGGCCCCCCACAAGAGATGGCAGGTAGCAGGTGTCTGACAGCTAACAGAAAATTCGAGCATATCTGAAAATGTTAAAAAAAACTTAGAAGTGAATGACCTTCTAGAATAGTGACATATGCCAATAAAAGGTTTTATCTGTTCCACACAAGCAAACATACATGTATTTCACTTTTCCTGATTTTATAACATGAGCTCTATGGGGAATCTACCCAATATAGAAATCACATTTTCAAAGCATATTAAAATTTCAAAGTTTATAAAGAATTCTTTAACTCATTCGCTACGAAGGATGTGACATGACGTCATAAAGCACATATGTTGACTACGAAGGACATGATATCACATCTAAGCACAAACCAAAGTATTTTTTGGAATCTTGTAACCATGACAACTTATAAAATGGGACTTAAAAACCTATTGATTTTGAAAGAGTATATCATATGCTTTAAAATGATATATAACACTTTATATGTATACCCATGTATACGAGTATACTATATATATATCATCTCAGAGGTACCATATATGGCAATTTCCAAAAATTCATCAGTTTGAGTATTATTGTGCTTTTTACCCCAGTATTGAAAGAGTTAAACTACATTTATAAATGTAATTCAATCTTCAGTGCAATCCGTGCCTCCTCTACCTTACTAGGTAGTGAAGGAAAAAGTATTTTGGATGTTTATTTCAAATATGACCACACCGACTAAGTTTTGAATATTTATTAAATAGAGTCAAAATTATTTCTTCTTGCACTGTTAAAAATGATGTGTTTTAACAGGCCTTTACCAAAAATCAGTTGATAATTAAGTTTAAGTAAATGGAATTGAATATTACAGACGAAGAACTCATACATGAAAATCCTCAAATAAATTAAAAGCAAAAACCTACAAACCATTAATATTTGAAGTCTCATTGGCTAAAGACATAATAAAAGGATTGTTCACTCCCTGCATCACTCTCTGAGGAATAAATTGTAGACCACCATTGCCATGCCTGTTTCCATTTTCTCCATTCACTCTGAAAAGAAATCATGACAGCTATGGTATCCAGTTGAATTTTGATTCTAACCATGCTACATTCATAACCCAAATAACTGTCAAAACTTTATTCATGTCAAATGTTTGTTAATTTGCAAGGAGATTAATAATATTCCTATCAGGAGTGGGTGCCACCCCCCCCTCCCTTTTTGTGGGTCCTGAAAAGATTCTAGGGCCCAAAACCCCAAAAGTTTTGTAAGGCCTCAAAAAATTGGCCTTTTATAGGCCAAATTATCAGATAATGGGCCTTAAATTTTCAAAATTTGGCCCCAATATGTGGGTTTTAGGGGGCCAACATTTTTTTCTGACTCAAAATTTGGGCCCCTCCCCCCTTATTAGATTATGGATCCGCCAGTGCAATGGATCTCTGTATACCACACAGTCATCAGCAAATAGTCTGATGTTAGATGACATGTCATCGCCGATGTTGTTGATATATGATACACTGTACCTTATTTGTGTTTCTGCTATCGCAATGTGATTTTGTAAAATCGGGTGTCATTCAAAAAAATTCCCTATCTGGTGCAAAAAATGCATAAAATCACAAAAACAAAATATTTTTTTAACTTCTCTTTTTACAAACTTCAAATTTCAATTTCTTGATGCAAAATCCTCTTTTTAAATTGCAAAATCCATACAAATTTCTGAATTTCCTCTTGAGGGTTCAGGATCCCATACCAATCTTGGTCATTTTGTTCACATTGTTCAATTGGCCACAGTTCAGAAAATTGCCAACCAGTTCACACATTTACCACATTTATTTTCTCGAATCTTTTATTAACAGGAATACAGGGCTGTCAACTTGGGACCACCTAATATGAGTGACTTACAAATGTTGGACACCTAAGTCCAAATCTGAACACTTTTGTCCAAATTTTGAACACCTTTGGCCAACTTTTAAACATCTTTGGCCAAAGTTTGAGCCCTTTGCCAAACTTTGATCACCTCAAATTTTTCCAATGAACATGCGTGACATATACGGGATTCGCGTGACAATCCGAACAAATTGCGTTTGGTTTTTTCCGACGTTCGTATTTTTACCGTATCGTAACATATTTTGAAAAATTTTCTACAGAAATATTTTTGCTTGACAATTACCAGGTAAAATGCGTATTTGTGTGACATTTTCTGTCACGCAAAAAAAACTGGCGTGACTTCAAATTCTTCAGCAAATGTGTGACAAATACGCAAATTGCGGGGCAGTTGACAGGCCTGGGAATATGTATGCTCCTTCACTTCTTTAAACCATCAAACAGATCGCGATTGTCTGTGTTTTTCTCCAGCTCCATTGTCATTTACAGTTATTATGCGAATGTTACAAAAAATGAACCAATATGGGAATGGCGATTTTGACGTGGCAGGCAGATATATCTGCTTGCTCGGAGCGGGACCATGGGCTTTCAATTTCAACTAGAATTGAAAGCTCATGGCGGGACATAAAGCTATATCTGCCCACTGATGAAAATATAAGTTTTTACAAACCGGCTTTATGTATAACTGTAACACGTACGATATATTCGCTTTAAGATACACAGAATATATTCACTATAGGCCACTATATATCCTATCCCAGATATATATATTGTGGGAATTTTTAATTCCCCCTGAGTAGTACTAGGGATTGTGAAACATTTATGTTACTGGATTTTATGTTTATTCAATGTTCCGTCCCTGTAATTTGGATGTTTACTTGATCAGCAGACTGAAGTGGAATAAATTAGAATAATTAGGCACCCAGCAACAGAGATCAGCCAATCAGATGGCTTCATTTGAATTTACCGCCAACTTAAGTTGTATTTTCCCATGATGCAACCTGAGATTTCTGGACTTTAGCGTGAGATCGTGACCTGTAAATCAGAGCTTACCAAGATTTTGTACAAGCAGGACCTCGTCAGTTTGGGGCATTTTATGTGCGAGCGTGGCTGATTACAACTGTGGATTATATTTGGATATTATTTGACTATTTGCTGCTATTGCTTGATGTAAATTGCGTGCGTTGCGACAATTGGGGAAAAGACAAGACAATAGAAAGTTCTTTGGTGAGTGACAATTTGATTATTGAGTTTGACGCCATATTGCCGTCCGCCATTTTGATTTCTTCTTCCCAGAGTTCCCAGCGGTCGGCCATCTTTATTTTTACGGAAGTGACGCCATTTTAAGGAGTGATTCCTTCTCTGAGTAGTTACAACTCTTGTCTAATCTCAGTTTGATTGATATTCGAGAGTCGCGTCTGCTCCGAGAGGTCACTGCTCCGAGTTATTACCCCTCCAACCATTTTAAGAACAATTTTTCCTCCGAGTTACATTGGCTTTGAGTAGGTACGACTCTTGTCTAATCTCAGTTTGATTGATATTCGAGAGTCGTGTCTGCTCTGAGGACTGTCAGCTCTGAGTCATTACTACTCCATTTGCCCCGAGGATCGCCAGCTCCGAGTAATTATGGCTCTTGTCTAATCTCAGTTTGATTGATATTCAAGAGTCATATCTGCTCCGAGGACTCACTGCTCCGAGTCATTACTCCTCCATTGGCTCCGAGAATTGCCAGCTCCGAGTGATTGCTCCAATTATTTAAGTGTTATATCTCCTCTGAGTTATATTTGGTCCGAGTAGTTACAGCTCTGTCTAATCTCCGTTGTGATTGATATTCGAGAGTTGTATCTACTCCGAGGATTGCCAGCTCCGAGCGATTACTCCTCCATCTAGTTGAGAGCCATACCTACTCTGAGGACTCACTGCTCCGAGTGCTTACTCCTCCATCTATTCTAGAGTGGAATCTGCTCCGAGGATTGAGAATACAACTCCGTCTAATCTCAGTTTATTGATCGATATTCGTGAGTTACTCCTTCTCCTCCTCCGACTTATTGATGATCCGAAATTGATACAAGTTGCTGAACTTGACGTACCCTCCGAGGTAATTTGACTCCTCCAGAAGTTAGATACTGAGGTTACACTACCGGAACCAAGGTATTTCTGTGTTGCAAGGTTTATTCCAATTGGAGCCAAGGTTACTCCACCGGAACTGAGGTACTCCACGATCGAGAAGTGGCAGCTCTGGTCTAATCTCACCATTTGATTGACATTCCAGAGGTGTTATTTCTCTGTAGAGGGTGAAGAGGTTTCTCCTGTGAAGTGGCGACTCCCCGAGCAGAAGATACTCCCGGAGCCTGGACCCCTTCCACGAGACAGTTTTATAGAGACGAGAAGACTCCTGGAGTGGAAGGTACTCCAATAGCTTGGGTCTTGTACAAAAGAAGAGGTTTCTCCTGTGAAGTGGCGACTCCCCGAGCAGAAGATACTCCCGGAGCCTGGACCCCTTCCACGAGACAGTTTTATAGAGACAAAATAACTCCTTGAGCCAAGGTTACACTTCCGGAACCAAAACTCCTGGAGCCCTGATTCCTCCGAGGTGAGACGACTCTGAGGGACAGCGCAGTGAAGATTATTTGGAGCATTTATAACTTGGGTCTAATCTCAGTTTTGATTGACATTCCTGAGTTATTCCTCCTCCATAGATATCACATTGAAGCCGTGATATAGACGAGACGATACCTAGAGCAGAAGGACCTCCTAGAGGGTGAAGATAGTTCATAGGAGCAGATCCTCCTCCTCTTACAATTATTCAAGGTGTTATTAGAAGAGAGAGAAGACTGGAAGAAGCTGAAGTGAACAATTACAGAGACAGTCCAGCTCTATATAGACATTTTGAATTTATTTGTATTATTATTTTACATTGGAATAGAGTATAAAATCCCTGTATACCGTTGTTATTTTGCCATCTTGAAAGGTAACTGCCGTACCACCAAATCAGGTCGGCACCCAAATACAACACCTCAAAGATCCCTTATATCGTCCCTGGCCTTTCCCTGAAGTTGAGATACAGGGTACTCCTTGGAAACGTCCCGGCGCGACATTGGTGGCAGCGGTGGGATCTGTTGCCTTAGAAGATGTCTGAGATGTCACAGAAGTGCGAGCGTTCGCCAGAGACGATGGAGCAAGAGGACTCCAGACGAGATGATGTGAGAACTGGCGGAATTGTGCGATTGGTTCCAAAGATGGGTTTGAAGCATCTTGAGACTCCTCCAAGGGATAGATGTCCAGAAGAGCAGTCTGGTTCGGAGGGAACATCGCTCCCGAGAGATGAGAAATTGCTCCCAAGCGAGGAGGAGAGTCTCGGTGTTCCACTTATGAGAGTAGATGACACTCTACCAGAGGACTTAGATGATAGAGTCAGAGCGACTCTAGTCCGAGGAGAGCCTAGAGTTATTTCCCCAGATATGACGATGAAGATACTTCCTGATGTAGAGAAGGAAGATACTGGATACCATGTTGAATCCAGGCTAAGACGAGATGTTCCAGCTCCCGCTTTGAGAAGAGACCATTGGGCTCGGGGGAAGAGAGAATTCGACTCCACCAAGTCCAGGCTGATGTCTTTAGAAGGGAGCTTGGGAACTCTGAGAGTAGATGTCCTTAAGATGCGAGATTGTTTACTTAGCAGACAATGTGAAGGGCAATTTGCGATCCATGAAGAGATGAACCACCTACATGAGGAGATAGCACATCTCTCTAATATGCAGAGGAACCTTGGTGAAGAGATGTCCCGTCTGCAGGTGGAGGCTAAGAAGAGTAGAGCTGAGCTTGATGGTACATTGAGAGAGTTGACTAGTTCGTTGAGACAGATAACCTTAGATTTGCGAGTGACCAGAGGAGGATTTGAAACTCAAAAAGGAGCTAGGAAAACTCCAACAGTTGAGCAAGATGAGCTCCTGGGATCTCAGTACAATGCTGATGGAGTGACTATGGCCCAGGAACCCCAAAGACAAGTTGTGGCTGCTCGAGAAGTAGAAGCTCCCCAGGAGGACTCCAAGGCTCATCCTACAGATGTGAAGAAGAGCGAAGATAGCTCCAATGGTAACCAGGAGCATGCAATGGTCAAGCTCGTAGAGAAAGCGATGGAAATGTGTGGAAAAGCCTTGGACTCAGTACAGCAGGGAAGAAAAACTAAAATCAAGATAACCCAGTTGTTTGATGGGAAGACTCCATGGCTGGACTATAAGGCACACTTCCAGAACTGTGTAGAGAGCAACCAATGGACTGATGAGGAGAAGAGACAGAACCTGACCAATCAGTTGCGGGGAGATGCTCAACAGCTCGTACAGGAGTTGGAAGAGGGGCACTCTTATGATGATCTGGTTGAGGCGCTGACAAAAAGATTTGGGCCTGGAGAGAAAGCTTCCATGTACGAGGCAGAGCTTAATGCTAGAACCAGGAAGCCAAAGGAAACATTACAGAGCTTGGGTCAAAGTATCCGGAGGCTGGCCACCTTAGCCTATCCGGAGATGCCTCGTTCCTTCCAGGACAGACTTGCTCGAGGGAGCTTCGAGAGGGCTATTACTGATGATGATGTCCGAGCTGCAGTGCATCGCCGAGCCCCAAAGTCTCTTGATGAAGCCATAGAGGAAGCCCAGAAGGAGGAAGCTTACCAAGAGTCGGAACGTATCCGAAGGGGACTCAAGCCAAAACAGTTGGATCATCACATCTCACTTGTTACCAGTGACCCTGTGGAGGAAAGGCTCCTCAAGATGATGGAAGATATGAAGACAGAGATATTGGAGATGAATGAGGCGTTAAAACTCTTCAAAGAGCAAAGAGAACCCCGAGCTCCTCGAACTATTACTTGTAGAAGATGTGGAGAGGAAGGGCACATTGTGAGAAGATGTCCTCTAGTCACTTGCTTCAATTGTTTGGAGCCAGGGCACCTCTCCATTGATTGTCCTAAACCAAAAAAGAGTAGAGATGCTCCAGGGATCCACCCAGTATGTTTCCTTGATGCCAGGGGTCGAGCAGTGGAAGATCCTAAGAGAGCTGAATCTGCTCAGAAGATAGTGGCTGTCGTTGAGCTGTGTGGAGCTCCTGTTAAGTGCCTAGTAGACACAGGGTCAGCGGTGTCTTTGATGAGTCTACACAGCTTCAACCGAATCAACTACCGGAAGAGACCACAACTGAAACCAGCCAAAGATGTCTTGGTGCAAGCCGATGGATCCCCTATAGCAGTATATGGCTCGTGCTCTATGGAAGTGAAGTTAGATGGGAGAAAGACCCCTTTGGAGATGGTGATTGCCGAAATCAACCAGGATGGAATCCTAGGGACAGATTACCTGTTGGCTAGCAAGGCTAAGATCCATTACGGCTCCTTACAGATGAGCTCCCGAGAAGAGAGGTCCAAGGAGCCAAGAACCTTTGTTACTCCCTTCCAGAACAGAAGGAAGAGACGAAGAAGAAAGCAGAAAAAGGAGGATTCAACAAATCTTGAGGCTGGAGATAACACGAGGCTCCAGAATAGGAAGAGCGAAGATGACTCTCTTGATGTAAAGAGCAGAGATGCCTCCAATAGACCTAAGGTGGGAGCTGAGAAATCTCGAGTCCTAGTAGACACAAAAGAGAGACCTACACTCCTTAAGAAGGGAAGGTCAAGTAGGGGGGCAAGACGGTCGTGTGTTAGCGAGTTGAAAGGAGAGGCTTCTTTTCCTTTTACAAGTCGAGCCAACAAATCCAGAGGGTCATCAAGTGAGCAGTCAGAAGAAAGTCTACCCTACAGAGCTAGACCAATCCATCAAAGAAGACAACCAGCGTTTGTTGTAAGAGACAAGATGAACTGGAGAGAAATGGACTCCTCACTGAAGGTCGAGCATGCAGAGGCAGGGCGAACTGAGGAGCCACGGAGCCTCATCCCAGTGGTGCAAAAGGAGCATTGACAGAGGAGCCCAAATGGCTCCTTCCCTAAATATGACAATCTTAAGTTAAGATAGTTAGTTGAATGAGCAATTACTGATTATGATCATGTGTTTTTCTTAAGAGGAGCTAAGTGAGCTCTTTACTTGTAATTATTTTGTAAGAGGTACTTGAGCTCTTTATGTACATTGTAACATTGAGATGTATTTTCTAAGTATTTGACTTTATATTTTGTGATCGTGGACGATCAAGCTTAGTAGGGGGGAGTGTGGGAATTTTTAATTCCCCCTGAGTAGTACTAGGGATTGTGAAACATTTATGTTACTGGATTTTATGTTTATTCAATGTTCCGTCCCTGTAATTTGGATGTTTACTTGATCAGCAGACTGAAGTGGAATAAATTAGAATAATTAGGCACCCAGCAACAGAGATCAGCCAATCAGATGGCTTCATTTGAATTTACCGCCAACTTAAGTTGTATTTTCCCATGATGCAACCTGAGATTTCTGGACTTTAGCGTGAGATCGTGACCTGTAAATCAGAGCTTACCAAGATTTTGTACAAGCAGGACCTCGTCAGTTTGGGGCATTTTATGTGCGAGCGTGGCTGATTACAACTGTGGATTATATTTGGATATTATTTGACTATTTGCTGCTATTGCTTGATGTAAATTGCGTGCGTTGCGACAATTGGGGAAAAGACAAGACAATAGAAAGTTCTTTGGTGAGTGACAATTTGATTATTGAGTTTGACGCCATATTGCCGTCCGCCATTTTGATTTCTTCTTCCCAGAGTTCCCAGCGGTCGGCCATCTTTATTTTTACGGAAGTGACGCCATTTTAAGGAGTGATTCCTTCTCTGAGTAGTTACAACTCTTGTCTAATCTCAGTTTGATTGATATTCGAGAGTCGCGTCTGCTCCGAGAGGTCACTGCTCCGAGTTATTACCCCTCCAACCATTTTAAGAACAATTTTTCCTCCGAGTTACATTGGCTTTGAGTAGGTACGACTCTTGTCTAATCTCAGTTTGATTGATATTCGAGAGTCGTGTCTGCTCTGAGGACTGTCAGCTCTGAGTCATTACTACTCCATTTGCCCCGAGGATCGCCAGCTCCGAGTAATTATGGCTCTTGTCTAATCTCAGTTTGATTGATATTCAAGAGTCATATCTGCTCCGAGGACTCACTGCTCCGAGTCATTACTCCTCCATTGGCTCCGAGAATTGCCAGCTCCGAGTGATTGCTCCAATTATTTAAGTGTTATATCTCCTCTGAGTTATATTTGGTCCGAGTAGTTACAGCTGTCTAATCTCCGTTGTGATTGATATTCGAGAGTTGTATCTACTCCGAGGATTGCCAGCTCCGAGCGATTACTCCTCCATCTAGTTGAGAGCCATACCTACTCTGAGGACTCACTGCTCCGAGTGCTTACTCCTCCATCTATTCTAGAGTGGAATCTGCTCCGAGGATTGAGAATACAACTCCGTCTAATCTCAGTTTATTGATCGATATTCGTGAGTTACTCCTTCTCCTCCTCCGACTTATTGATGATCCGAAATTGATACAAGTTGCTGAACTTGACGTACCCTCCGAGGTAATTTGACTCCTCCAGAAGTTAGATACTGAGGTTACACTACCGGAACCAAGGTATTTCTGTGTTGCAAGGTTTATTCCAATTGGAGCCAAGGTTACTCCACCGGAACTGAGGTACTCCACGATCGAGAAGTGGCAGCTCTGGTCTAATCTCACCATTTGATTGACATTCCAGAGGTGTTATTTCTCTGTAGAGGGTGAAGAGGTTTCTCCTGTGAAGTGGCGACTCCCCGAGCAGAAGATACTCCCGGAGCCTGGACCCCTTCCACGAGACAGTTTTATAGAGACGAGAAGACTCCTGGAGTGGAAGGTACTCCAATAGCTTGGGTCTTGTACAAAAGAAGAGGTTTCTCCTGTGAAGTGGCGACTCCCCGAGCAGAAGATACTCCCGGAGCCTGGACCCCTTCCACGAGACAGTTTTATAGAGACAAAATAACTCCTTGAGCCAAGGTTACACTTCCGGAACCAAAACTCCTGGAGCCCTGATTCCTCCGAGGTGAGACGACTCTGAGGGACAGCGCAGTGAAGATTATTTGGAGCATTTATAACTTGGGTCTAATCTCAGTTTTGATTGACATTCCTGAGTTATTCCTCCTCCATAGATATCACATTGAAGCCGTGATATAGACGAGACGATACCTAGAGCAGAAGGACCTCCTAGAGGGTGAAGATAGTTCATAGGAGCAGATCCTCCTCCTCTTACAATTATTCAAGGTGTTATTAGAAGAGAGAGAAGACTGGAAGAAGCTGAAGTGAACAATTACAGAGACAGTCCAGCTCTATATAGACATTTTGAATTTATTTGTATTATTATTTTACATTGGAATAGAGTATAAAATCCCTGTATACCGTTGTTATTTTGCCATCTTGAAAGGTAACTGCCGTACCACCAAATCAGGTCGGCACCCAAATACAACACCTCAAAGATCCCTTATATCGTCCCTGGCCTTTCCCTGAAGTTGAGATACAGGGTACTCCTTGGAAACGTCCCGGCGCGACAATATATATCGGATATATTTTGATTTTAGGATGAGAAAAGATAGTTTCACGAATATATCGCTTGAGAGACATTATATATCAATTCTGTTCAATATAAATCATAACGGCCTATAATTAGAGTGCTCACCATAAATAAATGACACGGATTTGCTGAAGAGAGGATGTAAAGAAGAGAATTTTCAAGAGGCTATACATCAGTGGATGAGAGTATACAAAATGTAAAATATACAAAACTTAAGGGATGTGTATCCAGACATTATTGGAAAGTATGAAGTCTCAAATCACCATGGTCTGGAAATGGTGATAGAAAATCCAGGTGTGATTTATTTATGGTGAGCAGTTCACTGAGTCTCTAGCCAAATTACTTACGAATAAGGTAAGCCTATAACACATGGGAAAGTTACGATAATGATACCTCACCTCATTATAAATATGAGCATCATGATGAAACATAACAGCACAGACAGGATGGAGTAAAAAGCTGAATAATCAGCGATATTTGAATAAAAAGTTGAAATCAATGTGTCCGCCATGTTGGTATTCCCCAATGACGTCATTGAAATTGTAGCAAATTTTTAAAGGATGAGGTTCGATAGTCTCTTTCATGCACTTATGTATAAACATGAGGTACCAACGATTTATTATTTGAATTTTTTTAAGGAATTATTCTCGATTATTCCACCTTCAAACGTTTGCAAAATGATTTGTGTACAGTGAATCCACTGCATGTGGAATACCACAGGGTTAAGAATGATCCACATGTATATTAAGTCTGGCCACTATCGGCACTATGCGGGCCACTATCCGTGGTATGGCTCACGGACCTCTGCCAGATTACCTCTATGTGTCTAGGCTCAATAAATATACACATAAATAGATCTACCCATTTATCCTTTGAGCCTACTACCAAAGGGGCTGGATCTGGCTCCGGATCTGCGTATGGCTAATATTCAGAGTAGAGTGAGTCTTTATATCTGTGCTGTATGCGATTCATAAAAATAATTTATAACATAAAAAGAGTAAGACTCATATAAATTGTATATATTCAAGTTATTTATTAAAGTTACATCTTGAAGTAATCGGGGAAGTAATGGGGTTAGTCTATTTCAAAGTGATTGGCATCCTTTACTTTATTAGTATTGACCTGTCAAGGTCGGTCAAATCTAAGGCACGTGACTTGGTGAGCCAATCAGATTCTGTGTTTGGTGAGAAGCGATCGAGAATATTGGTCTACTGTTTGTATATGTCGGGGCTAAAAAAGCCTAGAAATGCCCAATAAAACGAAAAAAGATAAGGTATGTGCATTTACTAATTCATGAATATACATTGTCCCAATTGGGCACACTTATTTGTCTTGCATTTTTCCGTAATGGCCCAAAATCGCATTCGAAACCGGGCTAATTTTTGTAATTTTATGAAATTTTCTTGGTTGCACGGACGGAAATGATCGAATTGTCAGCTTGAGGTAACACTTTAATCTAAATACGATTAATATATTTTCAGACTACAACTAAGACAGCAGGGAATGCCAAAAATAGTAGCAAGGATGCTGCCGATAACGCTGAAAATGAGGTACAAAATCACGAATTTTGAAATCCGAAATTTTGAGTATCCAATATGGCGGTCATTTCCATTGAAATGTTTGGAAGTTGAAAAATCATTCATAATGAAGAAGTTTGGGAATGACTTTACATGTTTGTTTGTTTGTTTAAAATCATCTGTTTTAGGTGCTTTGATGCCACATTTGTTTAGTCTCTGGTGCTTGTTTTCACATTGTGCTGTCACTTGTATGTTTTGCTGATGATTTGTAGAAAAGTGAAAAAGGAGATCCTTCTTACATGGGTTAAATATGTGATTGTATTAGTTGTACATTTTCACCAAATTATGGTACAGCTCAGAGGGGGGATTTCCCAAAATTGACCTACGTTCGAAAACAAATTTTATAAACAGGCCTCAATTTGCTGTTGAAATGGATCTCCAAATTCACTGTAGTTTTATGAGTATTCTCTACAAGTATGGATCGAGTAACTTCAATAGTATTACAGTAGGTTTGAAATGATGATGCTGAAGTGATGTTAACGCCATTCCCACGATTTAAAATTTAACTTTGCGCATGCGCAGCACTGAGAGAGCATGTGCTCATGATTGTTCACGTGATCTCATCCTGCAATTTGATTGGAGATGATGCGGGAGATGATGTAATGGGGAATCCCCGAATACGATAGAATATGAAAGAATTATGGGAGCTACTCACTTCTTTTGGGTAGAGCTGGAAAATAACATTTTGGTAAAAAATTGCTATACCTGCACATGTTATTTTCTGGTACACTATAACGTATGAAGGCATGTGTTAATTTCCTTGCTTTTTTCAGGAAAGTATCATTACATTGTCTTCTTTTAGTATATCTGGTAAGCGGTCAATGGGAACTCCAGGAAATTCTGATATTTCACACTTCCTATTTTTCCAAATTTTCTTTCAAAGTTTCTAGACAAAGTGTCTAGAGTTACAAAATTTCAAGACAACACAGGACCTACCATTGACCTGTTTCCAGGTTTACTAAAAGTAGACAATGTAATGATACTTTCCTGAAAAAAGCAAGGAAATTAACACATGCCTTCATACTTTATTTTGTACCAGAAAATAACATGTGCAGGTATAGCAATTTTTTACCAAAATGTTATTTTCCAGCTGTAACTTAAGGTTCAGCAGGGAAAGGGTTTCGTTTGAGATCAAAAGTCACGTTGATTTTTTCAAATATTTCAGACTAATTTTCTAATTTCTCCCCCAGCCCTTGCTGGGTTGTTATTTTTAAACTATCTTTTGATCTACTGACTTAGCCTGATATCAGCTGCCCTGTACATTTCGTCCAGCATACTTTACTACATCAGTTCATTCCTGGCAGCGTTATCTTTCCAATATGTGCGTGGCCGTGGATAGCGCCATTTTTACTTGAAATTTAACTGAGTAATAGCATCCCCCTATGCTGGAGCAAAGGTTATTTGAGTCATATCGCAAACATCTTTTATCGGATATTCAACAGGGTCATTTATAGGGATGTCACGGTTTCCCGATATTGTCCCGTCCCTCGGGACTTTGGTCTTGGGACGGGACAGGACAACCCTCGTGTACCGAAGATTTTGGTCCATGTTCAGAATATTCTATTTCTCTTGTATATGACCCTAAAACTTCCCAATTGCACGATAAATATGATCTAAACTAGAATTTTCTTTCGTTTTACAACTTATCTGCTGGATTACGTTCATGCGTAAATGCCATCTAGTGGCAATTACTATAAGTGATTATAATAAATGAAAATTCAGGACAGAACATGCAGTTTTATCGATAACATTGTTTCCCTTTGAAATATGCTTTAATTTAAACAATAACAAAGAACTTCATCAGCGAGAAAGGTAACAACTTAAAATTAATCTCAGATTACAAGTTTTTACGTAGCCCTCTTGGCTCTTATGACGTTCAAAAGATCTGCGCTGCATAAGGACAATCAGAAGTAGACAGAAATGTAAGTTGTTGAACTGTTTTAAACTTATTAACTATTTTATTGGTTATGTCCCGTCTTGTCCTGAATGTCCCGTCCCGAAATGGATAATTCCCGTCCCATCCCGAAATATTTTTGTCCCATGACATCCCTAGTCATTTATAACAATCTAATCATGGTAAAAGTTCCTACAAAACTCACAGTAAATACGATTTCACACCCAAATGTTATGTAAAAAGAAGGAAATCTTTGTCTTCAAGAAGTGCTTCATAACAGTATGCTGTATTGAAATATATAGATTTAATTAAACTTAATATTGTATTTGTGAGAGCAGTATTCATAAGTATTCATTAAACTCTTTAAGATCTAGTCTATCGATGTTGATTCAATCTTAATGACCCTTAAAAATATATATAAGAGATTAATCTAAATGACAGTTCATCATGACACTGTAAGGTCAGAGCTTAAAAGTTCTAAGGTCGGTATTAAGATTTAGCACAAGTTCAGTAATATCGAGTGTCCCAAAAAAAGTGAGACACTTTTGACAAGTAATTTCTCAGCAATTGATGAACCAAATTCACTGAAAATTTGTACAAAGTAACCCAGGAGTATCATTAGCAAGTTACAAAATACACAAAAAGATCAACTAAATTTTATGTGATTACTAAGAAAATCAAGGTAGCCTATCAAAAGAACCTATTCAATTTGGAGCAACGCAATGAGACCTTCATAGCGTTTGCACCAAAAAATGCGAAGCAATTTGACAAGTAATTTCACAGGAATAGATAAGCCAAATTCTTTGAAAACTTTACTTGAGACAATTTAGAGTATCTTCAGCAAGTGCTATTAATATGTAAGAGATAGGTTACATATTATGTGGGCATGGTTGAATTAGAGATTTGAGTATGTCAAAATATTCAATATCAATGTTAAAGTCTCTTATTAATCAATTTCCAAGCAAAATTAGGTTTTGCGAATGAATGGATTATAGATATTTAGGCACAATGAAACAAATTAATTAGACATGACACGCAGACAAGCTATTTTGACTGATTGACAGATACTATCACCTGATAACTTGCACAAACACTGAAGGTTTCACCGCAGAGCTCTAGTGGGGGATTTTTGGGCATGCTAATTTTTTGTATTTTTACAACTTGCTAATGATACTCTTTGGCTACATTATACACATTTTCAGTGAATTTGGCTGACCAATTGCTGATATAATACTTTTCAAAAAGTGTCTCAATTGATTATGCTACCAATCATAAATTCTCTATAAGGCATATTATAGCCATAATTCTATATCTACTGGTTACTTCTTATATTAAGATCATGTGCCTTGAAGGCTATCGATCTGCATATCAAATTTTTGTCTCACCGCCACAAGTGTTGACATTTTGTTATAGTCTCCAACTTTTTTGTGGATGTTGTTCAGTGGTTGGTGTTTGGCATTTTGTATCTGTAACAAATGGCAGGTGGTGATATTTTGCATGTTGGTGCCTTGTTTATTCATTTTATTATTACCTGGTATTATCAAGCCTGTCAGAAAGATGATGGTTGATTCATTTCCTATTATTATCAGTTTTGAAATAATAATAAACTATAATTGCACAACATTGATTGAAGAAATACATTGCTTCTCTTATCAAATCTTGAAATTGTTAGTGACAAAATGGATTTTGACGAAAAATTTGTCATGCCGTATCAAGATTAGGTTTTAACATGGGCTTTCTCTTGAACCTATGGTTTTAATATTGGTTTAATTTGTATATACATGTACATGTATAGTTGTTACATAAGTTATTAATTGTGAATTTGTAAATTCTTTATTTACTTATTACATTCTCATTATGCCCTGTATACCTATATATAAATACTGAAACAAATTAATTGGAATAGCTAATGGGTTGTAGATTCAAACCCAACCCCCTCCAGCAAGAAACATTATTTCATCAACATAAGTGATCTCCCCAGCATTAAAGTAAGTGGGTGCAGCACCTACCTGAGATTTTGATAATTGTTTTGCACCCACCTGAGAACCCATTTTCACCTACTCGAAGATGAGAAAAATCATGAAAATGGCCATATTTTGACCAATTTTGGTCTGAATTGTGAAATTGAGAAGTTTGCACCAACATTGAGAAAAAATCTTCTGGAGATCACTGAACATTATTCCTCATATTACAGATTTGTATCTATGAGGTTGTGGTTTACAGTCCATACTATATATTTGTCTGAAGATAAAAACCTGCATGCAACTAGTCTGATCAAAATCAATGTTTATGGCACTTAATGGTCAAGATGCCCTTCCAGTATTGAAGCAATCAACATGAATTCAGTTTGTAGAATATAGGAATGAAAATATTCAAAGCATATATAGCTTGGTATGATATGGCTCTAAGACTTTTTCAAAGTGCCTCATTGTTGCCAGCTTATGCTGATTGGTATATGCATGTGTCTGTCTGGGTTTGTGGTATGCATGTGTCTGGGGTCTGTGTCTGGGTTTGTGGTATGCATGTGTCCTGTGTCTGGGTTTGTGGTATGCATGTGTCTGTGTCTGGGTTTGTGGGTGTATGCTAGATAGGTGTTACATAAATTTTGTCATCAATATTCCAGGAAAACCAACCAACTGTTCAGTGTGAATTTTTTCAGATATGAGAGACTAGTGATAAGATCTGATTAGGTTTTAGGCATGCTTTGTAAATTGCTTGATGGCTATTTGGACTTTTTGATAAAAAAGTTTGATTTTTGTCACTATGTGTCATGTATTCTCAACACTGTCAAATTTTAAGCTTACAATTTTGGTCAAAATATGTCAATGTTTAATCCTTTTGACAGGGAAATAATAAGTTTTGGTGGCATGAATAATTTTCAACATGCTTCAAACACACAGTTGCTTCAGTACTGTGGAGGCCATTATATTCTTCAGGTGGGGCAGTTATTATCACGTTTACTAATTTGTTGTACCTGTTATTTCAGAAGCGTAAAGCTGCCAACAACACAGGCGAGTCACATCCTCCCCCAGCCCCTTTGACAAAGATGAAACCATTTCCAGGGGCCCCCTTGGTGAAAAAAGACAAAAGGCAGAGCTCTTCAAGATTCAATATTACAAAAAACAGAGAACTGCAAAAATTACCACCATTAAAAGGTAAGTGACTCACTTCAAATCATGGTCTTGTTCATTTTCTGTTAAAATGTATTTCTAGATCTGTAGAAAGTATCAGTCACAGAAATGTTCTCAGGCATTTGCGATTTCTTGCAATTCATTCGACTATATTCAAATAAAGCCTTTATTTGAATTTTTTTTGAAATACTTAAAATGTAGGATTTTCTCATTTTTGGTGTAACATTGATAGATTCCATATGCTTGAGACATGATGCCCGGACATTGATTGTTGTGCTTTCTTCATGCAAACTATGATTTTTACCATGGTGATAAATTCAGGTAGCAGTCAACAGCATATCATATGGCAAATTGAAATGTGAAAAATGCCTTGAATAGGGCTCAATCACTCAGACCCATCTAAAAGCTATGAATAACTAAATGGAGATCAGGGTCATCTCACCCTAATTGTGGATCATAAAACTAATTGATGATACAACTAATGGCTGTGACAATAGAATATTATCAACACTCTGTAATGTTTCAACATTACTGAGCAATAAATTATGATATCAGGCACAATTAAACATGATACTCCACATATCTCAGACCTCAAATTGTAACTTACTAAATCAGAGTATATTCTGATTGAAAATCGTAAGATGTGATAACAGTGTGTCAGATAAGGATTTTTTTCTGGTAGCCATTTTGGCCACTGGATTTCAGATACCACTGGCCAAACAGATTTTTCACTAGCCAGTATAAAATTACGCTAACATCGCAAATTTTTACAAAAATCATTTCTTTTATCTAAAAAGTAAAGAATCTGCAATTTGTTAAACTTGTGCATCCAACTATATCAAAGTATCATTTAATTCCCTAATAATAACACTATGATATGATGATGACTAAAAATTATCACGGGCTGGGGGAGGGGGGGGGGTGGTAGCATTCCCCCTCCAGAAAATTATTGATATTTAGAACCTCTTTTGTGCAAACTGAGCATGATATTCCTCATAAAAGTCAAATTTTAGGCCCTATATATAGATCTACACAGAAAAATTAAATATTAATGAAGAAGAAAAAATACACGTTGCTTAGTAACAGTAATTGCCGTTGCTTCACAAAGTTCAAGAAAAATCAAGGAATAACCAAGTATTATTACCGAACACACAGAAAAAATATTTTCCGAAAGAAATCAGTGGGCGATAATAGAGTACTTCGTCATTACTTACACTAAAATGCGGAAAAAGTGGCACATTTTGTAATTCAGTGCATCATCACGATAAATATCTATCATTTGGTGCTTTCCACATTATACTAAACCAATATTTTGATGATTGAAGAAGGAAATGTCCGAGTTTAAAAAGATTTTTTCGGCGATATCTTCTGCGCAGTTTTTATGCGCATATATATGATCTCTTCGACCAATCAGAACTCTCAAATAAAGAAGTCGAGAGCACGGCCAATCAGAATCCACGATAGAAAACGTTTCGGGATCGATCAAGAAGGAATATCCGGATGTTCTGGATTTTCGATCTCGGTGAGTTCCTTGGCAGAAATATGCCATTATCTTCGGGTTTTCAAGTCTGATTTGATCCCAGATCGCCACTATGGCAAGTGCTCCATTAAAACTGTTCGCCAGATGTATTTTCTGATGGCATTTGGCGAATGGCGACCGCTTATCCGACACACTGGATAATTATCAGAATGACATGGATGGCGTTCAGTCTAATTCAGTATGATGTCATAGCATAAAAATGACATGAAATTATATTAGCAATTCATCATTGCCATGGAAACATACAAATCATCGCCTTTTGGCATTCATCGTTTATGAACTGACATTACCTCTCATATTTACAATATATACTGTAGTCACATGTATTCATTTTCACATTGACTAAATATTATTTTGGAAAAAAGAAATTAATCCCTAATAGCCTCCAAATGAATCGCCAATCTGTCCATTTTATTTCACAATTCCGTCTACAGTTCCATTTTTATTTTGAATTTCATTGTATTTACTACTCGGGGTCCTCAGCTGGATTTTTTATTAATAAATTTTATTCATAAATTTTAACACTTTGGAGCAAAATTGGTCAATACATGCCTATATATCCATTTTTCTCATTTTCAAATGGGTGCAAATGGCTTTTCAGATGGGTGCAAGCCTGATTTTAAAATCTCAGGTGTTTGCTGCACCTCCTTGCTTTAATGCTAGGGAGATCACTGTATTTCTTATATTTTTATTCTTCTAAACCATGATTTACAGTTGTTATATTTGTAGCTAATAAACAGGATGCTAAAAATAATTTAGTGCTAATTACAAATTGGCAACATTATGAACGTGTTTTTGTTTAAATGCATATACGTGTATTTACTATCCTACCAAAGAAAGACTAGGAATATAAAGAAGCTGTCCGTCCATCTGTTTAGACAGTATCTCAAATACAGGTTATCACTCAGATTTAAATGTGTTTCAGTTTAGCTCATAACCGTAAACATTTTTCAAAAATCTACCAGCCTATCAAGATGTAAAAATAATTTGTAGTTCACAATTTTGAGTCTGTATGCAGACTGAGAACAATGAACAAACGTGACAATTTCAAATCTCTTCATTTGATTGATTGTTTAATTGATTAATCTAATTGATTGCATCGCTTAAGAATGAAAAAACTAACTACATGAAGATGTACATATTTGGATTAAATTGGGTGCCCAACATGGCTTAGTTTATTAATATCACAAATTAAAATTCAAAAAGAACCATTGGTTATGTACCAAGTGTTCATGTTATCCGCAGCAATTGTTTTATGTGTGCTAGCGTAGTTTTTGTCAAAAGAACACATTTCTTTCTACTGCGTGGTTATTTCAATTATGCTGTTAAAAGTAAGGATTGTTTGCTGGTTGTTTTTGTGTAGGTTGTTCAGTGGTTGATGGTTAGAGTTTGGCATTCAAAGTTGGGCATCTGTAACAAATGGCAGGTTGTGACATTTTGCATGTTGTTGCCTTGTATGAGATTTGATTTCTTTGGTGGAGTTTGCTACTCTGTGGCGTTGCTGTTTTTTCTAATATTATATATATAATGAAAAAAGAACATTGTTGCTTATTATCAGTTGATGAACAACAGACAACATGTCAGTGATAAAAGGAATCATGAATTTAACAAATCATACATGTACATATTTGACAGTTTTAATCTAGCTATACATAACGTTTCTGTAGAAGTTCTACCATGTGTAGGGTACTGAGATGGATGTATTTTTACCGGAGGGAATAAACATGAAGGAATATATATAAAACATAGAGCTCTCCTTAACTTCAGATTTGCTCAATAACCAATATCAAATATCTCTTGAATTGATATCTTATGCCTTGCAGAAAGTGGAAATAGAGAAAAATATGTATTAAGTGAATACTATTAGGATCAGATTGTTTTTCATATTGGAATTCAGAAGTACAGATCTAGGTTACTGGCATGAATTCAACACTAAAAATGATAATGAAATGTCAGAAAGCGTTAACAATTGAGATTCCAGACTGGCATTATAATAGAACATCTTTTATATTTTGGACCTCATATTTTCATGTCTCAATGTTCTATTTCCAGATGCTGCGCAGGCAGAGCGTGAAGACTTATTTGTACAAAAAATTCAACAATGCTGCGTACTGTTTGATTTTATACAAGACCCTCTTAGCGACTTAAAATGGAAAGAAGTAAAGAGGGCCGCATTGACAGAGATGGTAGAGTACGTCACTCAGAATCGGGGCGTCATCACAGATCCGATATATCCAGAAGTTATACAAATGGTGAGTTTTATTCATATATATATCTTTTATTGACTCTTTCAGATGTCATATCATGACATATTAGTCACTAAGGTAGAGCAGTTCTTCCCATTGTCGAGTTGAAGAACTGGTATCTTTATCCTGGCTAGAACCATAGACAATTCTAGCCAGCGCCAGCCTTTTATCGAGTTAGCAGCACTCTCGTACTCACCGGTATAGGTCAGCAGTCACAGGTCAAAGACAAATCACAAGAGGTGCTGTGACCTGGGTTTGAGCCCAAGACCTCTACTTTTCAGCCTGAAGCATACAAGTGCACTCATTTATATCAAAACAACAAAAGATTAAAGTTCAGCAAGGAATTTTGAAAACGTGACATGAAATGGTTTAAAAATAATAAATGTGTTCACATTATTACTGACAGTGTAAACTTTTCCTTAATAAACACATAGGGATTTTTTATATGGATGTAAAATCTTCAAAAATAAATAAATGCTATAGTAATATTAAATAACATTATTCAGAGATTAACCTTGAATCTCTCTCCGTAATATCAGGAAATATTTGCACTGCATCTCTTTGTTACAGTTCTCGGTGAATTTATTTCGGACGTTACCCCCATCGTCAAATCCGAGTGGTGCTGAGTTTGATCCTGAAGAAGATGAACCTACACTAGAAGCAGCTTGGCCACACCTGCAGGTAAGAACTTTTTGAATAGCCCTCAAATATTTTGAAAATGATTTCATGTTTATTGAGAAACCCACAACATGAAACATGAATATAGGACCTCATTTGTTTTTGTCTCTTGTCAGTATGATACCAAACATTCCTGATTATGTTAACTTGTGATGAACCTAAATTTTTGTAAAACTGAGGATATCAATCTAGTATGAATATACTACCTAAATAACTAATATATATGCAATTTGGTATATAAATGACATCTTTATTTTCATTTCAGCTGGTGTATGAGTTTTTCCTCAGATTCCTGGAGTCCCCAGATTTTCAACCCAACACTGCAAAGCGATATATAGACCAAAAATTTGTTATGAATGTAAGTGGAGATCTTGTATTATGTAACACTCCTAAAAAGGTTAATGTAGTGTCACTTATGTTTAGAGCATGAATGCAACAGATGTTTATTTGTTCTCATGGTTTAGCAATACTTCTATCATATCTTCTTTCACTTCAAGTTGTTGTTGTTTTAATTTCTTGAATCCCAGGCTCTAAAATTGGTTTAAACCAGAGAATTTTTTTCTACACGTACAACAGGTGTAGTTAACTTAGTGAAATTGGTCGGCAGAGATTATTTCTATGAAATTTGTTCAAAAAGCACATTAAGTGAAAAGATTTCTGACAGATTATCTCGTCACCCTGGGTTTCAAGGTCACTTCTTATGTGATAAAAATTCTCATCACTCTGGGTAGTCAAGAAGTAAACCCCTCCCCCTGTATGTTACAATCTTCCACGTATACTCTGAATGATATAGGTATTAAGGCATCAATGTAAGTAGTGTTCATGATTCTCAAGAAAGGAAATTACATGTAATATTATTTCTGTTTATTTTTATTCTCTGGTTTGGTCTCATTGTTGCTAATTATCACATCATTGTTAAACAAGTCAAAGGTATATTATATAACATACGAGTATAGCAATTTAGGGCCGTGCCATTCGACCGGAATCGGTCCGAACCGCGGACTTTTGTTAAAATACCGGAATTCGGAATTTTAATATCATGTTCCGAAGGGTTTCGGAACAATATCGGACCCTTACCTTAGTACTTGCTTTGAATCGTTAATATCCGTGACCATTGTTCCTCCAGTGATGTTTTCCTTCAAACTACATCCAATTTGCATGTGTATTACTCGCATAAACAAAATAAATAGCGGAGAAATCAACAGAAATCAAGTTTTGTTTTACGAACTTTGACCTTCGGATTTCATTGGAAGTAGGAATCGACGGGGCGAAAATACTCATAGATAAATGAATAAATTTACTTTTCCATGACGTCTTACAATCTAACAGCGTTAATTAATTACATTTTAACTCTTACAATATCAGATTAATTGATTTAGAAGAAATTATCTTCCCCATGACAGATTTTCCTCGAGTAGTCATGATCGCCGTCGAACTCACTCATACATAATTATTTTCATTTGTGAACCAAAAGGGGTTCCGAAAGTTCCGATTCCGTGAGACCAAGTTCCGGTTCCGATTCCGAACCGTCCGAACCGGTTCCGGCACAGCCCTATATAGCATGCTACAAAATGCCAGAGTTCTAGCATAGGGATTCCAAAGATTAGTTCAAACAGATCTTTCGAGTTAATTCTTATGAAAAATGTGTAAATCTGTGTTTTCAATTTGGTTCAACCAATTGTTGATACAGTGTAGCTACAAGCCTTTGTCTCTCTCCCTCTACATGACTACATGCCCTCTAACACATGACTACATGCCCCCTAACACATGACTACATGCCCTCTAACACTACAATGCCCTCTAACACATGACTACATGCCCTCTAACACTACATGCCCTCTAACACACAAGTGGTGAAGAAAATAGGGGTCCAGAGCTTTGAGCAATATAAATACTGATACAGTGTTAGAGAGATTATGTGTATCTGATGTATTACTTTTTTGTTATTCTAATTTCAGCTGCTAGACCTATTCGATAGTGAGGATCCTCGAGAAAGAGATTTCCTAAAAACAATACTACATAGAATATATGGCAAATTTCTAGGCTTAAGAGCATACATTAGGAAGCAAATAAACAATATATTTTACAGGTTAGTTTAGAGATATTATTTTTCAGAAATTGTGTCAAATGCTTTCATTTGGTATATTGGAGGTTTAACTGCTTTAGGAATATGCCATAAGGTTAAGGTACTGAATAGTTTGTATGATAATTTTGCAAATCAGTGGTAAATATCATTTTGATATCTTTACAGTGAGTTACTCCTTGTTTGTCCTTGTACATGTACATGTGTCACTGGCAGATCTGGGAGGGGGGCCCAATTTATCAGAATTGAAATTTGCCCCCCCCCCCCTTTGTTGGTTCCCAGATCCGCCCCGTGTGTCATTTGAAATAATTGTTTTGTGAATTCTATATCATTCAATTATTTTATCACTGAATTTTTTGAAATTTTCTTTTTCAGTTTTATATATGAGACAGAACACCATAATGGTATAGCCGAGTTATTAGAAATTTTAGGCAGGTAAGTCGCCATTTTTTCCTTGCTTACCCCTGACGAAAAGTGCCAAAATGTGTTATTTTCACAATGTGAATGGCAAGTTATACCTCAGTTACATTTGATTTATGGCAACTGTATGGCGGCTGTTGATTCCCAAAATCGAGAGAAATATGCAGCATAAAATATAGGGATAAGCAGCATGATGTAGATTTTCTATATATTATCGATTTTGTGGCGCTACGGCCTCTATAGAGCAAATGTGACTGAGGCTTTACCATGTTATGGGGAGTTTCTAATTACTTTTCTCAAATATTGAGTTGACTTTATTAATACTGAGCAGTGCTCTGGCACGACCTGGTTGTATAAGTCAATAAATTGACACATGCATAGATAATGTGACATCATGTCATTGTTGTTTAAGCTGACATAAACTCTACAACAAATTAAATAATACAATGCTGTGATCTCCCCAGCATCAAAGCAAGTGGGCGCAGCACCCATTTGACATTTTGAAAATAGGCTTGCACCCATCTGAAAATCCATTTGCACCCACTTGAAAATGAGAAAAATTGGCACATTTTGACTAATTTTATCTGAATTGTGAAAATGAGAATTTTGCACCCACCTGAGAAAGTATCCTGGGGAGATCACTGCAATGAAATGTAGTTCGTGTTAATTACTAGACAAAACTGTTGACTGACCACCTTTCCCAATAAGAACCCTAAATGGTAATATTAACCAGTGTGTTAACACGGCCATCTCGTATGAATTAACACAATAGAGTCATCATCTTTACACAATAGAAACATTGTACCACCCCTCAGTGTAACCTCTCTTGCATTGCTCTTGTGGGTGGGTGTTTCCTTTCACTAAACATTCCCTATACATCGTACAGAAACATGAGATCGCTTATATAACAGCAATAAAATAGAGCATTACAAAAGATAATATTTCTTAGTGAGCAATGTTATATTAATCATGCTAACTTTTTATCAGGAACCACCCACAGAAAATATGTTATTCTGTATTATGTATTTCTCAAATGCCATTCATGCTAATTTGAACCAAGACATAATACTGACAATTTTCATGTGTTGTAGTTTAGTGTTATGGATATTATATAAGAACCTTACATTATTGAAATATACAGCACTTTGTTGCGACTTAAAAGCAAGTAAACAAGATTATGGTATTTATTATACAAATGAATAGATTACCAAATCTCTGCTATGCCCCTCTTGTAAGCTTATAAGTGCCTTTGCTTTGTGATTAATTTTCCTCAATTTATTTACTCTTGCTGCTTGTAATATAAATCAGGCTCAGATGTTCTATTTTTATCAAGAATATCTTTGAGTTTCAAATGTTTTTGAAATGAAGAAATTAATAATTGACTTTGTCGTGATTATTATTTTCAAGGGCTGTACGATAACAAAGCCATGTCTGACAATCACTACAATTTTGAACTTCAAAATAAGCATGTGTTCCCTTTATAGTCATATATATCAAGTTTTTCATTATATGAGTTCACAGTTTACTTTAGCAAGCATTCAATTTACTTTATAATAAAATGTGAAATGAGTACTGATATATTTTAGATATTTTTTTTGCTTAAAAGATTTCTATCAAAAAAATCTTGATTTGGTCATAATGTCTCAAATAATTCTGTAATTCTATTTCCAGTTCAAGCCTGCTCATTTATAATTTTTGTGCTTGTTTTCTTGTTATTCTCCGTCTTCTCATTTCTCCATCCTATTCTTACATTATCTAGAGATATTGATATACTGTATATTAGATTCTTACATTATCTAGAGATATTGGTATATTGTATATTAGATTCTTACATTATTTGGAGAGATTGATATACTGTAAATTAGATTCTTACATTATCTGGAGAGATTGGTATACTGTATATTAGATTCAGCTGAGATTGCTAATGTTTCTCTGGTACCATGTGGCAACATTACAATTCCAAATTAACCATCTAACATGATTCCATCTGGGGCATACCTGTAAATAAACAAATACCTCTGTTGTCATGGTAATTATAAATAAGCATGAAATGTAAATACTATACGTAATTTGACATATCAGGATTGAGAAAAGAAAATGAAAAAATTTATATTCTCAGTAAATCCTAAATATCATTATTGAATAATATTGACACTTATTTTACTTTATATATGGGCCACAGCAACCTCTTTCAAACTCAAAATTACGTGAATTACAGGAGATATTAATTTGTCATTTAGAGAGACGTTATCGATGCATCTAATTGCTGGGTGTGTTACTAATTATGTATAATATAAGAGTTGTACTTAGTAATGAAGAATATGCCAGAAGATCTAACGAAATGTCGAATACATGTCGCTTTAGGCACATTAACCTACTCGAGAGGAGGACTCCCTGTCCCAGCATTCTTTGCATATTGTTCCTCAATATTCAAATCTGATTGGTCAGAAAGTATCTGTGTTCCAACTTCGAATGTACATACTTCAACCAATTTTTCTCTTGAGATATCTATAAATTGATCAATCCAAAAATGTAATTCTATAATACGCTTGAACCCTACCAAAAATAATTATCTTGTTTTTTGTATTCAAATTATAATAATAGGTTTTATGTATTTTTCTATATTTTTCTGATCAATATCAAAGATAAATAAAGTCCAGGCATTTCATGTCGTTTCTGTTTTACTTGATATCTCTGATTTGTCATTACGATCAAACAGGATGTTGAGATAAGTGACATATTGGACTTGTTAACAGGCTGTATCCATGCAATTCTAGTCAAGATGTGTTAATCCATATGTCGCTGGCATCCAGAAGCTCAAAATAGAGACCCTATATATACTGAGATGACGTCCAGGGAAAACAGATACTGCATACTAAGATGCTGTCTCTTAGCTTGCAGGAGGATATGTTTATTGCATAGATTTTTTTTTTATCCTGATCTACTAATGAATGTTATCACAATGACATATTATTACAGTGTACAATATGTAAAAATAACTGAGACTAAACTAACTACAAACTACAAGAATATAAAATATATACAGCATGACAAATGCAAAATTTTGTCATAAGTTGGTTTAAAATACAGCATGAGAAAGTGTAAAAATATCAGTTAGATTATCATTGGCAAAATATTCCAATTTTTTGAATGAGTAAATGTGCAGTGATCTCCCCAGCATTAAAGCAAGTGGGTGCAGCACCCACCTGAGATTTTGAAAACAGCCTTGCACGCACCTGAAAAACCAGTTGCACCCACTTGATGAGAAAAATCATGAAAAATTGGCAATTTTTGACCGATTTTGGTCTGAATTGTAAAAATGAGAATTTTGCACCCACCTGTGAAAAAATCCTGGGGAGATCAATGATATGAATTTTGCTAAATGTAAAACTACATTTGAATTTTTATGGGACATGAGCTATTTAAATATAAAAAAATTGAATTGAATTGAATAACATCAGGTTTTTACATGTTATAATATTACATATTATAGCATTGATCTGTTATCTAATCTACTTAATCATCTTCTGATAATTGATGTTTGAATACTTTAAAATATATAATTATAGATGTACATGCACTAAAGATATAACTAAGTCTAGTAATTAGTTGATTTACTATAAATAGAATAAAGTTCATATACTTTAATACATAGATGTAAGAGTATACTCAATACAGTTCAAATACACACAAAACTCCTCACAAAACTAAAATTGTTGGGTAAATGACGAGTACAGTACCATTACATTGAGTATAAAATAATATACGATAATAATAATACAATAATGATACAATGAATGATGGGATTTTGTTTGACATATTGTTTAACCAGCACTGGTGTTCGGTGTCATTGTTATCGTGGAGACACTAAAAATTGAAATTCTCTAAAACATTAACCCACTTGTTTGTCCATCTATCTGTCCTTCTGTCTACAGATTGGTAGCAAAAGTAAACAATTATGTGTATACAATTTTCTACTAAATATGTCACAAAGATTCAAAATGACCATCATTTTTATTGTCGAAATATCACTTTTTATATGTTAGAAATCTAAAAGTATTGCATTGACTTGCCATAATTGTACAGGCAACTAGGTGTATAGGTTAACAGTAACGTCGAGATTGCACTTTCACCATGTGAGCTGAAAACCCATGGTACTATTTATTATTAACAGTTGACTAGATTTTATCTATTTATAATTCTGTATATAATACAGTATAAGACCTATTGGCTTATATACACAGAGCAGGTCTTATAACTATGTTCATGCTTGAAGTTAATATCCAATTAAGTATTAATACGATTCTCTGAATTAGACTTATTTTTAAAAGTATCATTTGCTTATTTTCATCTGTTATGTGATTTGAAACATGAGTAACATGATATATTTATCTATTATTTCTACCAATGATGGCATTTTATTCTTAAGCCACTCTAACGACATGGTATCCCTGCTCTCGTAAATTGATTATCCACTACTTGTACTTATCGCTATCCAGGAAACTGTGCAAACTCAATCAAAAAACTTCATTATTTCATAATTCCGTGAAAAATGAAGAATATGCTGTTGCATGGGAAATTTAGAGTATAAGGAAATCCAAACAAGTTATGTAATTGAACAATTGGCTGTTAAAATAGATCTAACTCCATGACCACATAGAAGTTTTTGTAAGGGTACTTCTGGTAAAACTGGTAACTATGGTAACTTACTTTCTGAGAAATGCACTCTTTTTATTAGAGGTAAATGCTTAAGAAGATGCAGCTAATTTCTTCTTAGAAATAGTAATAATTATGTCATGTAGAACATACAAGAGATGAGAAACAATAATTTGTACGAATGTAAAATTGTTTATTAGTATGTAACAAATATGAAAGAATTTCTATAACATTTCCTGGGTATTGATTTATTTTCTACCCCCATTATTTTTTTGTTATGTCAACTTATAACAAAATAATTGGCTGTTGATCAAATTGAATTTAATTGAAAATTATTGAATAACATAAGGAGTTGAAATTTATGAAACAATATGAAAAATTCTTCATGCATTTTACTTTAGCATGCTGTACATGTGATATAATTCAATGTACAAACATTAAAATGATATTGTGTATATTGTATATGTTAATGTAACTGCTTTCAAATGTTTTTTCTATGAATAAAAAAAGGAATAAAAAATAGATAAAAAAACATTAAAATAATAAAGACAAATCTGAAAAAATCTTCATACATTTCTCTCTTTATTTGCAGTATAATAAATGGGTTTGCACTCCCTCTGAAGGAAGAGCACAAGGTTTTCCTGTTGAGAGTGCTACTCCCACTACATAAGGTTAAATCTCTAAGTGTGTACCACCCCCAGCTGGCCTACTGTGTGGTACAATTCCTAGAGAAAGACCCATCACTCACAGAACAGGTAAGATATGGTATCTTATTGTCAGCTTTGGATGACCAACATACTTCATTTTCGAAAGAATTATATTCATTATTTTCCTTAGTGTCCATTAGACCACATTTTCACCCTTGTTTATGAGTCAGGCATTCTGGCGGGAAGTAATATATTTTTGGCACACGCCAGAATACTAAATCTACATATTGTAGATTGATTTCACACATTTAGTTAATGAAACTGCCTTTTACCACCACCTCAATTTAACAACTATAGATTCTATAGCTATGTACATGAAGAATCTGCTGCACAAAATGAGATGGTAACTAATATAATGATCATTTTACAGAAATAGAAATTACAAGGAACAATATAACAATCATCTTAATCATCTTTTCTATAACTAATCAAATGCATTCAATGCACACTGTAAAATACAGACAACTGAAAAATGCTCAAAACTCTAGTATGTAATGAAGAATATTGCCAGAAGGTCTGATTTAATGTCACATATATGTACCCCAGGGGTTACTTAAAAAGCTTCAGCTTGAAACAAGTGCTATAAATTGTATTGCTTCTTCCATGAACAAAGTTCATTACTAGAAACTTGAATATGATATATACCTTTAAAGCAAGGAATCCTATTTATTTTCAGGTTATTATGTCATTACTGAAGTTCTGGCCAAAGGTCCACAGTCCAAAGGAGGTGAGTGCTTGTAAAACATATCGTTATTATACTCGAATCGAAATATGACTTTGAAAGTGTCAAGTGTTGAATATTTTTGAATGTCAGCTATAATGAACCCTTAATCATTAAAACTTAAAATATGTTACTAATATTTGTTCTGTTTTTTTTTGTGTAGCGTATGTAATTTGTTTGCAACTTTTATATTATCTGTAGATGTTTTACATTCTTGAACCAGTCTGCAGATGCATTTACCATTTTGTTGTGTCTCCAGGTTATGTTCTTAAATGAGCTAGAAGAGATTCTAGACGTCATCGAACCTGCCGAATTCCAGAAGGTGATGGTCCCGCTGTTCAGAACTCTCGCTAAGTGTGTATCAAGCCCACATTTTCAGGTATGTGTCATTTGATGATTTCCGCTCCATTCTAAATTTTGATATTATTTTATCGATATTATCGACATTGGGGAAAGTGTTCGAATGTTAACAGCTGTGGAAAAACGAAGTTAATTTCATTTTCGTTTATTTCATTCACCATGAATATGGAATTTGAAGTTGTTATTTGCCTTTCAGAATCATTAATGTCTCAAATCATCAAAATTTTCTCAAATATAATCATTTACCCCTCTCCCGATGAAATTAAGTTCTTTTTTCAACAGTTACTTTTGACATTTGGATAATCCTTATAAGAACCAGTTTTCCACATTTGTTTTTTCATCGCTTGCAATCTATCAGATATGTTGATTTTTAAGTACAAAACTCTCCTTTAAATGAACTTCAATTGATTTATTGACAAAATCGCACGAAATAGGTCATCATTAAAACATATGATAAACAACTGTCTTATTCCATGACACGTCCAAGGCTAAAAAATGGGATTGTTTTAACAGAAACAGTATACAGTGTTGTACAGGGTAATACAAAAATATTATATTATGAGGTTATATAATGGTTCATTCTGTATATCGTGTTTATACTCGAGTGAGTATATGATATATTCACAAGTGAGCGTAGCGAACGAGTGAATATATTATATTCTCACGAGAGTATAAAATGCACGATATACAGAATGAATCATTATATAATCGTATTATGCCCCTCTAAGTTCAACTACAGTTGATTCGAACACAATCATAACAATTAAAAACCATAAAATATCCCATAGCCAACTCAATAATGCCGATGTTGATCTCGAACCATTTATGACGTCACTTGATTCTAGGAAATCATGCCGGAACCATTTATGATGTCACTTGATTCTAGGAAATCATGAAAATTTTGGAGCGTCGGAACTCCTCATTCGCTCCGCTCATTCGAGGGACACAACAGTCTGTGTAACAAAACATACACGTTGTTCTTCGCTCTATATTCATTAGTTCCCAGAATGCACTTCTACAGTGGTATACGCTGGAGTGTATACGGTGGAGTGTATACGATGACGATATACCACTCTCCACTATATATCGTTGTTATAGACCCATGTTATACAACTGTAATTTGACTTAGAGTGGTATAAGAATAGTTATTATTACTACATATTCTGTATATCATGTGTAACTGTATCTAAAATTCCAATATTGAATTATTCTACTCCATACCCTGAATTTAATGATTTCTATATGTACCTTTTATATTACAGCGCTAGATCGCAACTTCCTCTGTCTGCAATCTATTTTTTCATTGTTTTTAATTATCCTTTGCTCTCAGTTTTCCCTTATTCTCCTGTTTCTCTTGATACAGGTTGCTGAACGGGCCTTGTACTACTGGAACAACGAATACATACTTAGTTTGATATCTGATAATGTCAAAGAAATTCTGCCGATATGTTTCACTGCGTTATATCGCACAAAACAACACTGGAATAAGTAAGAAGATAGAGGAGGATTATTCAATTCAACTCAACTCAAAATGGAATCTAAAGAGAATTCCCATTTTCGGACCATTTTACCTAGTTTGAAGCTAAATAAGCATTTAACTATTTGTGCACATCAAATCAAATGTGACAGTTCAGCCAAAATTCCTTGCACTCATTTTTGATCATTTTTTGATACTTATCGCAATGTGATTTTTACACACTGTTTAATTTTTATTCAAAATGTTAGGTCAAATTAAAATAAGATACTTCTCAATTGTAAATTTTGATCTATTATGTATACCAGTATGTATTTTAAGGTTAAATGCTTATTTGTTTCAACCTTCAAAACTGCATGGTGTGATTTTGTAATTGCTTTTGTGACATTAAGCTTTATCTTTTGTTTCAGCCAAAGTTATTACCCATTCATTTAGCATTGATGGTGAGGGCATCCTAGTTAGAAAATTAAACTTTGAAAGAATAAGTCAAGCATTGAATGAATGTAACTCACAATTTTTATTTTGCATCTCCAAAAATCGCAATAAATTGAGATTTCAATGAGATGTCAAAATTGATAGCAAAGGGTCTATTCTTAATGCCTGCAAATAAATATGACTACTTAATGGTAGTATTTATGATCTAATTTGTTGAAGGTTCAAGTGCATACATGATGTGGAAGCAAAGCGATTATATTAGCAAAAATTAAAAAATTAATTTAGTTTTCTAGCGTGCCCTTTCATCCAATTAATCTACATATTATATACCTGTCAATTAAACTTTAATTAAGAGGATGATACATGTTTTGAACATCATTCCATATTGACTTGTGTATCATTTTACTTTCAGTTATATTATGCAAACTATTAATGGAACCTAACATTGTTTCAAACTATTAATGGAACCTAATATTGTTTCATATGTTGTTCACATTGCAATTTTGCTTCCAATGTACATTTGCTAGTTATGTTGCTATCTTCAGAATTCTGAAAAGTTCGTAAAAAATGTATAAATATTGGTAATCCCCAGAGTATCAAAATCATTGGTAAATCATTTCATTAAATATCCAATATTGTTTTCAGTTTGTCTGTGAATCTTATTGATTTGAAATATACCATAAATTGTATATTTTTGTCATCATTTTCAAGAAAGGTTTGATGCATTCTTTATTCCATGCACATTTCATTCTATGTCATTTCTATTTAATAAAAGTTGTGGCAAATGTTGTGGGAATTACTATAAACTTTAAAAGTGTCTTTATTCATTCTGAAATTCTTTCTCATGGTATATTGAATTGTGAGCAAAATTGTGAGATACATATTAAACCAGGTTCTCTATGTTCTCTCAGTAAGAATCCAATTACAATGTTAAGGTTCTATGTGTTGTTTTCAACACTACCGAATACCGATGCTAAGATTCCACTTGAAACATCTCTACCTTTCACACTTATTAATAAATACTTATTAAATGGTTAGAACTTGTATATTTTGTGGATCCCTAATAAACATTGTGCTTACATTGTTATTTGGTTTAAAATATGCCTTTACATGTTCCATACTCTTAGTTAGTTCATCTTCCAATAGATTCCAACATTGTTTCACCCTAACACTGTTTATTAATTGATTTATTCAAACTGGAGTACAGCTTTATTCCCAAGGCAACCAGATGGTGCTTTTGTATACCTTTGAAGGAGAGGAGGGATTTACCCAGAATTCAAAGATGAACCTCTAGCCTAGGTATATCTTCATATAAAGATAGTTTCATTTTTGAATTCTGGGTAATTCTTCCCTTTGACTGTAAGAAATGGCTCTAAATCACAGATCTTGGTTTCCATGGTGCATTTTCATTATGCATGATTAGCATTCATGTAATAAAATAAAAGAGTATGGTGAATTTTCACTTGGAAATGTCAGAAATCAAATTCTGTGTGATTTGGAGTATTTCTTATATAGACATGATCCCATGTTGCGCTATTGGTGAATGTTGCATGTATTTGAAAATGTTACTTTTGCATGTGATGTGACACCTCTTTTGTTGCACGTATTGGCATTTTTGTTGCTTAAAGGTTGCTGAGAGAGCGTTATACTACTGGAACAATGAGTACATCATGAGCTTGGTATCAGATAATGCGAGCACTGTCCTTCCCATTATGTTCCCTGCGTTATACAAGAACTCAAAAACACATTGGAACAAGTAAGAAATTCATTGTGTACCCTGTGTTATACAAGAATCACGTTTGAACAAGTAAGAAATTCATTGTGTACCCTATGTTATACAAGAATCACGTTTGAACAAGTAATAAATTCATTGTGTACCCTGTGTTATACAAGAATCACGTTTGAACAAGTAAGAAATTCATTGTGTACCCTATGTTATACAAGAATCACGTTTGAACAAGTAAGAAATTCATTGTGTACCCTATGTTATACAAGAATCACGTTTGAACAAGTAATAAATTCATTGTGTACCCTATGTTATACAAGAATCACATTTGAACAAGTAAGAAATGCATTGTGTACCCTATGTTATACAAGAATCACATTTGAACAAGTAAGAAATTCATTGTGTACCCTATGTTATACAAGAATCACGTTTGAACAAGTAAGAAATTCATTGTGTATCCTATGTTATACAAGAATCACATTGGAACAAGTAAGAAATTCATTGTGTATCCTATGTTATACAAGAATCACATTTGAACAAGTAAGAAATTCATTGTGTACCCTGTGTTATACAAGAATCACGTTTGAACAAGTAAGAAATTCATTGTGTACCCTGTGTTATACAAGAATCACATTGGAACAAGTAAGAAATTCATTGTGTACCCTATGTTATACGAGAATCACATTTGAACAAGTAAGAAATTCATTGTGAACCCTATGTTATACAAGAATCACGTTTGAACAAGTAATAAATTCATTGTGTACCCTGTGTTTTACAAGAATCACGTTTGAACAAGTAAGAAATTCATTTCAAGAAATTCATTGTTTTACGAGAACTTAAAATCACAAAGAAGGAATTCTTTATGTTCCCTTCATTATACAAGAACTCTAAATCACATTTGATCAAAAAGATATTCACTAAATGCTTAATTGATTGATTTGATATATTCATTTGATTTTGATCAGAATCAAAAAATATGCTATATTATATATCCTATTAACAGAGAAGGCCTCCATATGCTTAAACAAAGATCTTTGCATAGCATGGCATTCTAATGCACTGTGGTACTAAACTAAATCCTATTACCATATGTTCGTTACATACTACTTTATTTCACCCATTGTACTGCACTGTTACCCATTTTCAATTTGCCAACCTTCAATTTGTGTCTAAACCAGCTTTTAATCTAATTTCGATCATATATAGATATTTCCCTGAAATTTTGAATATAAAATTTATTAGCCTAGAATCTATATACAATAGATCAAATGTTCATTAGTCATACAAGTAAACTTCTATATTTGAATATCTAATTGTCAGTTCAGTCATTGTGTTAATTTTCTTCTACCATTTTCTAGTATATTATTCTACATAATGAACTCTATATCAGGATGCTCACTCTAGGCTTTTAGACTGAAGTACAACACTCCATTCTGATTTTCTCATTCTAATTTGTTTTACTCAAATACCTTAAGAAGCATTATCTCATATACAGTATCTTGAAAATCGCACTATATATGTAGATTCGGATGAAACTTGAAATTTTGTCATTGGATTCAGTTAATAAAACCCAAGTGAGTCCTCCTGTTTATGACATGCTTATTTATAAACTGATTTGGCACAGAACAGCTAACATTAGAACTTGTTGTCATTGTAGGACAATTCATGGCCTCATCTACAATGCACTGAAGCTGTTTATGGAAATGAACCAAAAGTTATTTGATGAGTGTACTCAACACTACAAAGCAGAAAGACAAAAGTAAGTGAATCTACCCCATCCTCCAAATGCAGGCCTCCAGAACACGTACCTCATTTTTCCAAGAGGAAGAAAGGAATGGAGGTTACGATGTCTGGAGCCCTGGATTGAAGGATGATCAAATTTGAATCAACATAATCTGACTACAGAAGATATGTTCATAGTTTCAATCCTGACCTTAATGGTCTCATGATGTTTTCATGGCCATTAGGTAGTTTGAATGTGAAAGGACTGATACTGTATATGTTTAAATGAATGACACATCAGTTCAGATACATGTAATTTTATGTGTATGAATGTTTTTACACTGTATAGACTTATCCATTAATCTTTGCAAAAATACAGTGCAATTGTTTTGACATGGTAATGGTTTCAAAGCCATCTTATTATTTTATTTTGTTTTTCAGGGAAAAGAATAAAATAAAGGAAAGAGAAGATGCTTGGACGAGGATTAGAAATCTGGCGAAAGGCAATCCACAGGTTAATAATTTAATGAATCTCATTTTACTCAAAAACATTTTCAATGATACATAATACATAATGTACAATGAAAAACAAAGACATAATTTCCTGTGAAAGTTTGGACATGAGTTTTTGAGAATTTAATAGAATAGTCTTAAATTATGAAATATGACTCAATGATTTGGTTATTTTAGGGCTCTTAATAATGAATCAAAGCACATGTACGAGTCTAATTGCTATAAATGATAGTGATTTACATGTTGAGATTTATCTCATTCTTTTGTACATTGAAATATAGCAAAGTAAGTTGTATGTATGGTATATTGTAGATCAAACAATTTAAACAAATTCTTAACAACACAAGTGGACCTATGACATCAGACGTCTTCATGAATGATGACAATGATCCCGATGGTGACACAGACATCCAACTTAAAAACCTTGAATCTGAGGCAAAGGAGGTACGAACTGGTAGTCAAGCAAAACCTGGGACTGTAAAACTAGGGTCAAACCCTTCAAAACCAGGGCCTAATCCAGGATTTAATTCATCAATCCCTATGAAACCAGGGTCAAACCCAGGATCAAATCCAACAAAGCAAGGGCCTAATCCATCAAATCCCTCTAAGTCAGGTTCAGCTACCTTGAAAAGTGGACCATCTAACTTGAAGGCGGGGGTGGATCAGTCAAAACCAGGGTTAATTTCGAAATTGGGACAGATCCCTAAACCATTGTTAAACCTTTCCAAACCAGGATCAGGTCAAAAACCAATGGCAGCTGCAGCAGGCAGTGCCCCTAGTGCAAATTCTAATGCAAATCTTAAAAAACCTAATGAAGTAAATCGTAACCAAAGCAACAATAAAAACAATAGCAACAATCAGAGCAACAATCCCCAGGTCTCGAAACAGGTGCCTCCATCTATAAGGACACAAATTAAATCTTAATGGTCATTTGTAGAAAATTTTAGACAAATCGGGAAATATTGTTACATCAGTCACAAATGATGAAATAAAGTCAGAAGTTTCTATTTAAAAGAAGGTAATCAAAAATGACCTGCAATTTGAATTAATTAAATTCACCACATTTTACGAAGTATTGATTGAAATGTGACAACTAAAACATATCTAACATTATAATAATGTAAAAATCTTTTTATAGTACTTTTTATTAATTTATTTCTTTTTCAAATTCATAGTCGAAGTTCAAAACTTTTTTATTTAAACATTGTATAAACATTTATTACAAATATGAGTCATTTACAGGTAATACTATTCCATACTAGAGGGAACATACTGTCCTTGAAATCTTTAATGTTTCATGTTAAAGTATTTATGTGTAGCTGTGATATCCTGTTTGTTCATTCAATTAATACAATGTCATGATATTGAGTCACTCCCATAATTATTATCACTTCTGTCTTATTAATTAATTTTCTTGAGATATATAGGCGCATGTTAAAGTCATGATTCTTTCCTATGAATTTCAGAGTTTATGATTAGAATTGATAAATTGATTTGAAGGGTTCCTCTGACTTTAATCTTAACTTCTGTGGTGTTGAACTTTTTGATTGTTGGAAGTTGTTTGAAAGTTGCGATTTTGTAATCATCTTAGCAAAGGAGGGAGGAAGTCAAGTGCATGTAACCGCTCAATAGCCCCTACCCTATTAACATTCCTCCAATAGGTTGCTACTAACACAAAAGAGGTTGTCCAATCCCATGATCCTCTCCCTATCTGCCCAATTGCATTATGGTAGTAGCTCCCCCACCCTGATACTAAAACATCATTATTAAAACATGTATGGGTTTGCCAAGTAGAACGTTTTATAGCAATGTTTGTTTATATTTTAATTTAAAATTTAATAGCAGATATTTATTTGTTTTATATGTAAAGAGTCTTGCATCGAGTGTTTTGGGATGGAGCGGAAAATATTTTATGCAAGACTTTATTTGTAGTCAATAACGATCATTAACAAATGCTGAAATTGAGTATAGAGTATTTTAAGTGAGCAATGCTATAAATAATGAATGTTAATTTAACTTCTTCAGACATAAGTAGTTTCAAGATCTCAATTATACTGAGGGCTTGAGAGGCTCAAGGTATGATGGGATCAACGGGCATACCTTGTACAATTTATTTCCAGGTTCCGGGCAATATTTCAGCAAACTCATCTCTCGTGTCAAACTGAGGCTATTTTCCATTTAATAACATTGATTTCATTTGGGCTAAATCATGAGTAATATATACACTCAAATCATACTGTGAGTTATTTGAGCTCTTAGGGCGATCAGGATGTGGAATTGCGGATACTTCTTGGGGTGGGGATACTTTAGTTGTATGTGTTCAGTATTTAATGCTTATGAAGAGCTTTTTTAATATCATCAAAATTTTGGAACATCTTGGAACTCAATTTAGCATTTGTTGCGGTTGCTTGTATGTATCTGTAACCTAAGCCTGTATAACATACTCATGATTGGAAACTGTGGTAACTTTTAACAATGAGAATAGATAGGAGGTCACAACAGTTGAAGGAATGGATTATAGGGAGACATTTGGTGTGAAAGTTTAGAAAGTATGGATTACAGATTTCAATCATGAGTTCATTATGAAACATTAACATCTGCATGTGTTTTAATTTTGCCCTGTTTTTTTATTTTGCTGGATTATTAGGTGATAAAAAAGAAAAAAGAAAAGCCTCTTCTTCGAAGGAAGTCTGAATTGCCTCACGATGCATACACTTTAAAGGCCCTGGAAACTCACAAACGTTCAGAAGACTTTTTGACTACATCATCGGAAAAAAATAATTCAAATTAGATGGCGTGACTGCATGGCTACTTACATTATACAACCCGATAACACAGCACTGACATCTAGTGGTGGTCCCCAAAGCAGATGGCGTCTTGAGGCAGTTGTTCAAATTCTTGCTGTTTCTCAGAATTTCTTGGAATTTATCATGTCATTCCTGGTTATGCCATTACATGCCTATTCTAATTTCTCTCATGAATTTCTGAGAAAAGCATGCCGCTCTGCCTTATAAGGGGTCTTTGTCAACCCACTACCTCACAACCCATTTCTAACATATAGATTTATATAAGAATATGTAGTAACATCCAACCATACTATTAGTAACATCTGGACTCTATGTACACTAAGACTGCTTTTGGCATTTGAGGAAGTCTAGAATGATCCGCGGATAACCTGTTTAAATGACTAATTGATCATGAGATGGCTTATTTTTGCATTGAGAATACTTTTATTTTGGCATTTATATACTGTACATGTAGTTTTTATTTTTCGCTAGTATTTTGATGATTTGACCCAGTAGTTGCAAAGTAGAAAGAATGCATAATTGTTACCACATGTGTATATACATTTTTCAGAGATTATTCAATGCTACAGCTTGAATGATAATGACTCCCTCGCCACAATTTAATATGATATGTTCATATCAAAGATTCTTAAAGAATATTCATCATGATTTTTTAAAATCTTGGTTCATAGTGAATATTGTTCTCTTACTCCTACCCCTGTATCATTTGAACTTTGGGGTCCATGCAGATTATTGACCCTTATATTCTGGGTTGTGGCCCTTATATCTGGGTTGTGGCCCTTATATCTGGGTTGTGGCCCTTATATCTGGGTTGTGGCTCATATCTGAGTTGCGGCCCTTATGTCTGGGTTTTGGCCTTTATATCTGGGTTGTGGCTCATATCTGGGTTGTGCCCATTATATCTGGATTGTGGCTCTTATACTTGGTTGTCATCTCAAGCTTTCATAATAGTCATAGCAACCACATGGACATAAAATATCTAAAACACTCCATTGCCGGCTAAAGTTGACACCAAAAAATACCAATCTCTGCATTTGATGAAATTTTCTTGTTTGGCATTATGGATGATGGAATATGTTATATGAAGGACATTGAACTACAATAATTCTTATTTTTTCATTTATCTGTTTTTTTGATTATGGTTATGTAAGTTTCCAAGAATGTTGAGTAACGAATATGTCAGTGGTGCATTCTGTATGAGAATGTATTAAAATTCTGAGATGATATCTGAAGTTGCGCATGTAATCTTAAAAATCTCAATATTTGTAATATAATGTTTTAGTTCATTGATTGATTTTAAAATTACAAATCTCCAGACCTTCAAAATTACTACTCACTCATATGGAATTACGAATAAATCATGAATATTGCTACATCAATAATCTGCAACCAGCTAATAAGCTCATTTAAAGCAGGAAGGTTGGAAGGTTCTTGGTACAATTATGTTTATTACAGATCTTTACATAATAATTAAAACATGAAAACAACAAGCTGTATTCTTATTAACACATGCCATGCAAAACTGATCATTATGCTGTGCATGGCTTGTATATCTGATGTTGCTAAACTCGAACAGCTCAAATATCAGTTTACTTTATCTCATCATGTTCCTGTATGAATTAAGTACATTGCAGTTATTTATTATTCAATGATATTCTCTCTTATATATGCAGATTTCATGCGATTTTCTATTATTTATCAGAATAATATCAAAAATTGGAGAATTATTTTGAAAAGACGTCATTACTCTTGGTCCAAGATTCGCCTGATAAAAGTTGTATATCAGTTTAAAGGGTGTATACCAGATGAAAGGTTGTATTTTGTTGTGTTATAATTATGTTTGTAATGTGAGGTATTTTATGTTGATAAGTAAACTAAAATGTTTACTTACTGATAATTGTATGAATTTATACATACTAATAATATGTGTATAAAGTGTATACTATTCATAGCCTGTGTCTCTTTGTACATTTAGACCCATCTGGAATGGGTCAGGATTTTTAACTCATCTCATATTGTTACCTATTAATCAGGATATGGCATCTTGATGAATGAACATGGCCAGTGTTCAATGAACATGATCAGTGTTCAGTGAACATGGTCAGTTTTCAGTGAACATGGTCAGTGTTTGGTGAACATGGTCAGTGTTCAATGAACATGGTCAGTGTTCAATCAACTGTTAACAGACACGAACATCAATTGGGAAGTTGAATGAAAAATCTTGGTTTTATTAATCAGTTATTTTAATATTAGACATGAAGACCAACTGGTGAATATTTTTGCATACTGTACATTTGGAAATTGATGTTAGCTTGAGAAGAAAAGTTGTTTGGATATTTATGATGTAAATTTAGAAGAATTGTGGTATGATATCAAATAGAATTTGTACATGTTACCCTACATAAGGCTCAGAGTACCTGTATACTGTTTGGCTTCTGTTTGTGTTTAAGTATGTAGTCATGATGAAAGTTTAATGTTCAAATATGGTTGGTTAATTCAATGATATAGGACATTTTTTCATAAGTTCGAACATTTTGACTCGATCAACTTTCTAGGAAGGAATGGTGATTAATTAATAACTGTAGCGGCGGACCTGTCGTTTTTACAATAATAAATGTACTCCTTATTAAATATCATTTTAAAGTGATTTAAGCTCAATGTATATATTGATTGGTCCCCATAATTTATGAGAAGCTTTACCTCAAGCATAGACCAAGGAGGATTGGCTCCCAGAGTGCAACATCGATCTTCTGTCCCATATATGGGCATGTCGTGATACAAAATATCGAGTTTCGATCCTGGGAGCCAATCCTCCTTGAGCATTGACATTATTTTAAAGTATTAGGGACTGTTAAAAAAGCATGTGTTTCTGTGTATAGAAACAGTGGTAGAAAAAGTATAATATTAATAATTTAATCTATACTTAAAAATGATTTTATATATAGGAGTGTATTGTAAAAATTGCAAGGTCAATTGTAAATCTTTATGTTTGCTGTAAAAGGAATAAAGTGAATTACCACTTGACAATTGGCTTTATATTATTTATTTAACAAACATGCGAGGTGTTCACTCGTGTTTCACTCTGTCGTGTCACCACTCTGTTTTTGAGAAACTTCCAGAGGCTGTGAATCTGTACAATCCAAAACGATGTGGACTACGATCTGGATAAAGTGTTCATCCATTTTCTAATCTCTGACAAATCAAGAGGATTCGTTTTTAAAACGTTGAAAAGAGCTGAAATATACATATCCTCAATGTGTAATGGTAGAATTGCAACAGTTTACCGATATCATCTTTAATAGACATTGTCTTAGTTCTTTTCTAAAAACAGAATGACATATGCGCAATGTTCTTGGTTCTTAGTATAACAAGGAAAGTTAGAAGTATCTAAAAATAATTAAATTCCACTAAAATTAGACCACCTAATATTTTATTTTCAAGATACCAGTACTTTTTTTGAACAACCTAACTCGCCTTCTAGCAAGACCAAACCACTGTCAAATTATGGGAAAAATAAATATGTTTCAAATTACATTGTTACCACTCAAAAGATGGCCACTGCATTGACAATGTGTAATCCTTTCAGATTTGTTTGATAACTGGTTCAAGAGAAACAAGATATTAACTTGCAAAATGTCACCACTTGCCATGTATTACAGACGTGAACACCAACCGCTGAACACAGTCCACAAAAAGTTAGAGATTATCAATATGTCACCCCTTGGTGACATAAGCTCGCCAAATCATAACCAGTCCTTTCTATTAAAGCATTGCTGTAATTCAACAATCTATCTCGATAAATAATTGTAAAAGGACGATTCTCGGTTTGGAGAACGAAGTTCATCAATCTAAATGAGCATCATCCCTGCTTCGGACAAATTTGATTTTTTTTACATAATATAGATTTGAATGTCTTCTTTTGAATAGTCATAATTTAATTTGGGTAATATTTCTAGATTTTTCGCAAAAAAATATTAGCGCAGTACACTGATGAACTTCTTTCCCAAAATCGAGTCTTGTATTTTATTGAATCGGTCTATTTGAGCATTATCCTTGCTTCAGACCAATTTGTTATTTTTACATATTGTAGATTTAACTGTCCTCTTTTAAATATTCATAGTTTAATTTGGGTAATATTTCTATATTTTTCATGAAAATTTTTTTAGCGCAGGAGGCTGTTCTCCAAACCGAGAATCGTCCTTTCAGCATCTTTCTGGATTTTTAGGTTTTTACAAATTCAGGTCTGTAAACCCCTCAAGCAGTCAAGCATGCAGGAACAGATCATTCCTGTACTGAGTCCCTAATTGTACTCAAAATTTTGAATTTCAAGATAATCACTGAAAAAACTTATATATCAATACTATGTAGGATTTGTTCTAAAGTGAAATAATTTCAAGAAGAATATTGCAGGCTTGTGGCTTCAATCAATAATGAAATGTTCAAATCCAAGTTCTTGGGAATGTGGTCAATGCAAACTCAGAAACTGAACTTAGCCCTTCAAATCAGACTAGGCATGAACATGACAAAACGTCACCACCTAGTTGCTCACAATGTAAGTCAGATTTGAATTTTTGAGAACTCTGTAGATGATTTTAAAAAGTTGGTCAATTTGAAGCAAGTTTTTTGACCCTAAGAAGGTCATTGTGAAATCTCAAGTCAGATTTGAACTTCTGAGAACTTGTACATAATTTTGAAAAAAATTGGTCAATTTGAAGCAAGTTGAAAAAATACCTTTTTGACCTTTCTTTGACCTTGAGAAGGTCAGATTTGAACTTCTGATAACTTGATGATTTTGAAAAAAGAAATTGGTCAATATGAAGCAAGTTGAAAAAAGAGGTTTTTGGCTCTTTTTAACCTTTCTTTGACCTTGAAAAGGTCATTGAAGGTCAAATTTGATGATTTGGAAAAAATTGAAGTTGGTCTAAAAAGTATTTGTTAAGTTATTGGAAGTTTTAAAAATGTGTTACAGACGCCAACAGCCGCCCACTGTTCGCCAACCACCAACCGCCGCCACAAAAGACGGAGACCATAACAATATGTCACCACTTCTTGCTAGTTGGTGACATAATTAATGTCATAACTAAAAATAACCCAAGGTACAGTATTAACATGATTGATTGACAGTGTTATATTCAAGTAATGGAAAAGTTAAGAAACTACATGATCTTCAAAATACTGTGGGATCTTTTAAATATTATATAAAACAATGAATGAGTTGAGGAATTTCAAAAAGTTTGTCGCATATGAAAAAAATTAAATGAAAACCTGGAAAAGTCCATTCTATTTAAATCATTTCCTTGGTAATTCAATTCAAACAAGACTCAGAGTTGCCCCACTCTTAACTTAAAGGATTGGTATCGATATGGTGAACTTTTTGAACACAAGTTTCTCTTAAACCAGTCATCAAAAAATTCTGAAAATTTTACACATCGTCAATTTAATGGTCATCTTTTGAATGGTGACAATATAATTTGAAATACATATATATACTTTTGTCTATATTATATTGTTTTAGAAAACACATCAGACATTTCCTTTGTTCTTGGTATCATATGTTCGGAATGAAATGAAACACCTATCCCAACCTCATTGGAACAAAATGACATAAACACAACATGTTTAGGTCTCTCAATATTGTAATTGTACGAAGGAAAGTTTGATTGATTTGTCATCTTGCTTATGAAATAAAGGTTTATCATAATTTTTATCTATTTTGGTTTTTTTTGTTATAATTTGTTGAATACTTTTTGTAAAAACAACCAAAATGTCCTTTGTATAACTATAATATTTAGAGGTCTAAGAAAATGTTGTATATGCTATTTTGTTCCAACAAGCTTCTGAAAGATATTTTATTTCATTCTCAAGAATTGGTAAAAAGGAACAAAAAACAATTGCACTAATAAACAAAAAAATGTTAACAAAAACAGTTATATAAAATATATATAAATAATTTTCGAATTAAATTGTTGTCAATCAGTCAAAATTACATAAAGGATCGTGTTTTTTACATAATGTTTTCAATAATTGGTTTAAGTGAAAAACATTGTTGAATTCAGTTCACCATATCGATGCCAATCCTTTACAAATATTTACACAAACCCAGTTTATAATTTTCAGTGATAATTTTAACAATTTTTATTACATTTTAATTTTACTATAATCATGATAATCAAAGATCAATATGTTGATACACTAATGACATAGCATAGCATATGAGTTATTTTATCCAAAAGTGAATGGGGTCTTTTAACATTTTTGACATGTTCCTGTGAATTGGTTATTCTTAGAGTATTGGGAACGTGGAGAAAGTTTATCATTGACAGCTACATGTGCTGGATTTCTGTATATAATGTCTGTTTTACTTTTATACACACGAGGCCAAACTTTAACCACATTCATGTCCCCCATCCTTATAACTCTTGGGTTAGAAAAATTCTGTTTATTTGTCCTTAATCCATCTGTGACTGGATGAAGTGATTTTGAGTTCATAGGAATTCTCATATCTTGTATTGATTTATTTTGAGATTGGGTTACATTTCCAACGGTTTGATTGTTGTTAGGGTCAGGTTTTCTGTTTTTCTGTTTTCTCAGGTTTATAGCTAGTCCAGCACTTTTGATTCTTGTATGATTATCCCAGTTTTTTCTGGTCTGACCATTATTGGGATTCTTTGTTAACAATGTTTGCTTGTAACGTTTTTGTTGTTCACTTTCCTGCACTTTACTTTTATCAATAAGGACTGGAACTTTTGGTGAATTATCATTTTGAGGTAGGTCTTCACTTCCTGTTTCATAACTTTGAAATGTTACTCTTTTCTCAACTGATGTTGAAGTGATTGATTGTTTGTCATCGTCATCGTAGATTGTTAATGATTTTGTGTCATCATCAGTTTCAAAATTATGGTCAACAATTGGTTCATCTGCTACAACATCATCATAAGTTCTTGGTTGTTTTTTCTCAATGGTGACTGATATACTAGAACCATCACCAGATGTTGCTCGTGATATCATGGATTTTGGACGCCATCTGAAACTATGGTCTGACCCTTGGTCACTATTAACGACCTTGGTCTGAATTTTGAGCTCACATAAAAAGCCAATGCTACTTTTTCTCCTAATGAAGCATTCTGGAAGTGATTTTGCGCCAGATGGGCTACGTGTTGGTGATGCCGAGACTGGAGATGTAGGTGATGACAGTGTTGTTTTATCAACATAGCGTCGGTCATATTTTTTTGACCTTTGAACCGTATCAATAGCACGTTGCATGGGGGTTTTGTACTTCCTTCGGCTTGGCTCCATAAGAGTTGATACAGAGGAAATGTCGGATAAACCTGACCCAGATTCACTCCATTTTGTGTGGGTAGTTCCGAGGATTGGCTTAGTTTTGTTATAATATGGCAGGTCTATTTTAAACACATCGGGTAACTTGTAGCCATACTCCGTGAAACAAACTGAACCCCGGGGGCCAAATTCCTGTCTTAACCTTGTCCAATTAAATTTATTCTTCCCTGTGACACAGCCCATTCCATCCTCCTTAGCACCATTATCCTTGCAGCGATCCATCCTAGCACTGTCCCTGATTTTAGCATTAAGGCTATTTGGTAGTATATTGTAAGTCTGTCCTCCATCATGTTTTGCCGCTTGTTGTTTAAGTGGAGTAGGTTCTCGTGGGAGATCTATGCTGACACTCTCTGTAGAGTCAAATGCTGAACTCCAGGCATAATTTAGGTTCGCCATTTCATAATTCACCATTCATACCCTGTAAAACATTGACATTTTAACAAAATGTTCATGTGTACATGTTAATTCATTGTGAAAAGTAACTCACATTAAGAATTATGTACAACAATATGAGGTTATCAAATAAAATGAATTTACCAAAAATATATAAAAATAGATGTTCATAGCAAGTGACTGATATATCCAAAAGGATATTTTCAATTAAGTTTAAAAACAACCAGTGAAAGATTTTGAAATACACACCTGTAAAAATCAAAATGAACATTCACTAGTATCCATTTTCGCATTCCTTTCTCCACCTCTCTGATATCAAAGAGTACACAACTTTGGTGAAGCACTTGAATGTTGCTTAGTAGTGTTGTTTAATCGGACTGTCCTATATCTCCTAATTGTTTCTATGATATCATCGATCAACAGATCACTTATTTCAAACAAATGTCACTCGTAATTTGTCATGTGGTATTGATTCCATAGACCACTACATTGAAGTCCCGTGTTGTATTCTTTAACAACCACAATTGTCTAAAAGATTGTATCTATTTGACTTAGTGCGGCATACCAAAAATGACTCATTGAATATCTAGAACAAATAGTGTGAATGTTCCAGTATTAATTTGTGTAAGGTCCAAATAATCAAATATACTTTAGGTGCCATTTCTAGTGCTTCTGTATTCTATACCAAATGATCGTGAAATCCAAGAGACAGGGGTGTTACCAAAAGTAACAATTTGAAGATTACACATGTAAAGTCGATAAATCTAATTTTCTTGGGTATTTAAACAGTTAGCCCAATATAATGAATAAATTCAGCGATTGAGACAATGGGTATACATTTTGAAGTTTACTTTTGTTTTGATCATCAATCAAAGAGTTTGATTTCAATACTGCTGTGCTTTCTTGAGAGTACCCCTTTGGTTAATAAATACCACTCAATAAGCATGTAAGATCTTCAAATTCTTAGCAACAACATTTAAATGCAATTTACAAATTACAATAGAGACATTGATACTATTGTAATGCAATTTACGATGTTGTGTCCTTAAACTAATTTTTTATCAATTTATTTATTTAGTTATAATAAAATTCACCAAAAAGTAATTTACAACTTACAGTAAATTATTTTCCAATAAACAACCCATTTGAGTGAAATTTTAAGATTATTTTTCATTTGATGAAAGGTTATTGTAGCAGTATTGATCTGAGAATATTTGTTTGAACAATCAGAATTTTTGCGAGGTAAGTGAATTTGTGACTTAGAAGGCTTCCGATAACATTATTCTATTATGATTATACAGTTTTCAACAAATCCATGCAAAATCAATTTATAGAGCTTTTCATTCAATTTTAAAATGTCACAAACAAAGACAAATATTTTATATCCTTGTAAGAAGTTTTGAATCTTGTTAAAGTACAATTGATATAAAGTCTGATCTTGGATTATTCACCCTTGCATGAAGTTTCATGATGTAAACACATTCAGTGTCACTTTATGAAAGGGTTGTGAAAATTCCCAACATTTTATCTTTTATAATGCATTCACAGCTCATAGTACACAGTGTTTTAGAATTACAAATAAACGTTAAATGTAAAGAGATGAAACTGTACCGATGATGGTGTACTGTCCAATTTCAATTTCTAAGGGGTAATGTTTAAAAACCTATTTTCTATTTCATGAAGAGCTTTTGAAAAAGAGATACTGCAAATCATCATTATAACACTATCAACTAAGAACTATTTATGATATAAATGTAATGTTGGCACAATCAATTTTGCTCGTTTCAAAACAAAAAAAACAAAAAATAGGCCTTTTTAAAACAGCAAAACTTGCCAGATAAAGTACATGATTGGATCATTTTCAATAATCCCTTTCATTTCACACCGCATAATATAAGTATCTTTTCAAGTTTAATTCTTCCAAGGTTGTGCATGCTGTAATATTGACCCACGTATATTTATTACAATTCATTTCATTAAGACACTCACTTGTTGAGCTGGCAGAAAAAAGATTTTGTAATTGTATTTCCATTTCCATTTTATTTTTCATAAAATCCCATTTTACACTTCATTTAACATTTTCTCTATGAAGGAGTAACAGTAGCCTTCACACACTTATATTGCATTAATACACCAGGCATGACATGTTTTGCATACATGTTTTTCACTTACATCTATGACTGTATACACAGATTTCCCAGTGCTTGTCATTACAATTAAATTATAAACTGATTGTAGTCTCTCTTTATTTGACAGTTTTTGTTGTTTATCAAACAGCAAGCACATTCTGACAGGCTTGAACAACTTTGGTACGTCATGAATGACCCTTGACCCTTTGAATCCCATAAATCTACAAAGTAACTGTATGAACTAAAATAACACTATCCCATTGCCAGGACCCATCAACCTCCACCTTAGTATCAGACATCAAAATAGCACCAGCCAAAGGACTGTGCCCTGGAGCCAGTTAGTTTCTGTTTGAGCCAGATAAATTTTCAGCATGTATCGGAAACTAGCATGATGATTTGTTCATTATTCAATTTTGACAACCAAGTCTGAGAAAAACCTTGATCTATATCATTTGAAATAGAAAAACAGAAGTCATGAAGTTTGATAATTGTGTAATAGCGTCCACTATATCGAATCTCCAAATTCACATTTTTTCAAATCTGGTTCAAGTGTCTCCACAGTTCAATCACATGGATTGTTTCATCTTTTTGTTCATCCAGTCTATATACCAATCCGGCAGGAACCTATATTGCTCTGTATCCTCCCACATACATGTGATGTCATAACGAGGAGCCCATTTGAACAATACAACTCTCCTGGAAATAAAGAAACAAAACAGGTTAACTAAGTTAAGACATCTGAAGAAATTTCTAAGATTTAAAAGGTTTTTATCTTTATACGAGTGAGTTGTAGTGATGACAAACAATGGTGACATCTTTACACAGATGAAACAACTAAATCATCTTTCTCAGTTTATGGGCAACTAACACTTCCTTTAACATAATATCCCAGGTAATGGTCGTAAAGTAGAATTAGAGAGATATTTCAGATACCATTGACAATATGCCCCAATATGTCTTTCATGAAATACTGAACATAAATATACTACAACTTTAAGATTTTATCACTTATATTTTGAAGACATGTTTGAAGAGAAGTGATGCGATAATTTTTTAAATCAAATTAAAATAAGGGTCAACATACCTGGGGTCATCTATAGTGACAACTCTCTTTATGTGAGAAAGAAAGGCATCACAGAAATTAAAGCAAGTGGCCGCATCCCACATATCTCTTTCACCCTGCAATAAAGAAAATAAATTAATTCCAAATTTTTGAAGTAATGAATTCTAAACTGGGCTTGTATATTATAACATGGGCCTTGAGATCCTAAGAGACCACTAAGGAATGAAGTTTGCCACCATGGCAACCTTATACATGTACTTGTAATTCACAAACATTCTATTAGCACATCTACATAAACTCCTATTCAACAAATATCCTCCACTATAACCCAGTAAATAAATATTTAAGAAGTAGCATAGCACAATATAAAAGGGAAGTTTTATCTGAAGTCCATGCATTTCTTATACTACATATCTTTATGTATGATGTTTACCACAGACACATTCAATATCAACAAAGTCACTCAAGGTCACAGGATAATCTGATAATGAAAAATAGTTAACGAATAATGCATTGTGCACTGTGTATGCCAAAAAAGATTTTAAAACATTAACCACTTACAAATAAGAATGTAAAAGTATTAAGATATAATAACCTGTGCTACTTATGCAGTTATAAATTAACTTTTATATCTCTCAAAAAATCAAGGAGGCCCCCTGTAAAACTGCCCTTGCTCTGAGACATTGTTATGAAAAATGGGATCTTATTCAAAATTTCTCAAATTAAAAAAACTTTCTAAAGTCTACCTGTCTGGCCTTCTATTATATCTTACAGATGGCATACATGTAATTCAGGTCCATAGACAGGATTTGCCAAGGGTGCTTTACTTTTGACAACTTTGGCCAAAAGATTTGCCAAAATCACTTGAAATTCCAGAATGGTCAAAAACTGAATTCATTTTTACCCAGGGGGGAGGAGTACAGATTAATTCAAACAACATGTGGAATCTATTTTTTAATCAAACAATTTAATGACTTAATGACCAAAACGGGGCCTCCACGAAATCACCAGCTCCAGTTAAAGGGCTTGTATGAAAATACAACTTGTTTTATACCAGTCTTCTAAAAATACACAGGCTAAACATTCCAAGCGGGACAAGTTGAGAATAGCCTACAGTACTTCACGTAACGAAACACATAAATCGTGGCATTGCAAGATTCATCACTTCACACACATGCATGAAATTCTAGCCAATTCTCTCAAAAACTGCTTAAATCCCATTGATCATGTACAAAACACAGGGATTTATAGCAGTTACAGCTGTGCTGGGATATGTACTGTTCCAGTTTGCCATCAGGATAGGAGTGCACAGAACAACTGTTTTTCCACATTTTCCTGGACCCTGTAGGTCTCTCCCAGGTAGGATAATGACATTTATAAAACTTGAAAAAATATAGTTCTCCCAATACAGAGTTTTAACAAGGGCATGAAATTTCTGGATTTTGGAAGAAAACAACATCATTTTCTAGAAGACGAATAGCAATTTCAAAAGAGTCTAACAGCAATTCTGTGACTATTTTTACCAATCAAAAATCCCCTAACCTACTTTTGAGAGCAATTTTTGATTCCTTTCCAAGTAGGGAAAATAATTTTGAATTGTGCTTATTTCAGTCTAGGGTTCCTTGTAATTTCAGGGATTGAATATGGATCTGAGGATGTTGAGACTTTGCCAGATGGGCAAGCGTTCATCTCATCTGGATTCAAGCATAACAACAAAGCTGCAATCTTCCTGTTCAACTTTGAACAACCAGACAATCCACCTATAAAACTAGACATCAAAGGCTTTCCATTGGGCAACCTTGAACCTTTGGGTATAAGCATTTATGTCAGTGATTTAGGTGACATCTATCTTTATGTTGTGAATGTAAAATCACCAATGAATGCAACTATTGAGAAATTCCAATATGACAAGGCAGGACTTGTTCATATAAAGACATTATGGGACCCCAACATGGGAAGCATAAATGATATTAAAGTTGTGGGGAATGACCAGTTCTACTATACAAACTTCAACACCTTTTCTACAATGATTCACGATTTTTGGATCAGCAATCTCTGGATGAAAAGTGTCTGCTTTTTCAATGGCAAAAAGAGTGAAGTTGTTGTTTATGGTTTGAGACTTGCGAATGGAATCAACGCTAGTCCAGATGGAAAGCATATCATACTAGCAGAAATGGGCGAGAGAAGCTTGAACGTTTATACCAGAAATAGTGACAATTCATTAACAAAAACGGATCAACTTTACATTGATTGCTCCCCCGACAATATTGACATTGATAATACTGGTGATATCTGGGTGGGATGTTTCCCAAGTCTAACTGATTTATTTCCCTCTCCGCCATCTGGTGCTCCTGTATTAAAAGCTCAGGTTCTTAAATTTGAGCTACAGAATGGCAAGTTAGTCAATGGAAAGCAAATTTTACAGGACGATAGAACCACCCTGAAAGGGAGCACCATTGCTGTCAAATACAAAGAAGCACTTTTGGTGGGCAGCCATACAAATCTGGCATACTGCAAACTTGAATAAACTTAAAAGTTTACAAAAACAAGGCTTCATCAAATGAAAGCGAGGAAGTAATGAATAAAAATATTTATCCCATACTTGGACGTGTTACGGGTACATAAAGCCGGTTTGTAAAAACTTATATTTTCATCAGCGGGCAGATATAGCTTTACGTCCCGCTCCGAGCGGGCAGATATAGTATATCTGCCCGCTATGTCATAATCGCTGTTCCCGTATTGTATTTTTTGCAAGGTTAGCATACTGAAAACGACAGTGGAGAAAAACGCAGACAATCGCGATCTGTTTGATGCTTTAAAGAAGGAAGGGAGCAGTATTCCCCGTTAATAATCAAAGATTTGAACAGGAAAATCCGGCTACAGACAAGAATACAAAACTGGACATGAATATTTTAAATAAGTCCACGGTTGGTTGCAAAGTTTCAGAACTTTGGCCAATTGAACAATGTGATTGGTATGGGATAAACAGATCATCCTATAGTCGGTTAAGGATATTCGGATTATCCCTTGGCCAATATAATATATCTACCCTCAGGACCTACGGCCATCGGGCAGATATATTATATTGGCCTCGGGATAATCCCAATATCCTGAACCTCATATAGGATAATCTCTATATATAATATGATATTTATTGTATAGAAATGTTTGATTTATGGCAGATTTGAAACATATTCATGAAAATACAGGAAAAAAATATTGTCTATAATCTAGTTGATTGTTGTTATCACTAAGGTTTACATACTCTACAGCTTCTGTATTTCTTTCTCTGTATTAAATATAATCATCAATTGATGTTTTGCTGTGTAAATAATTGAAACTAATGCATTAAACTTTGTGTTTTCTTGAGACCATTTTCAACATAAAAGTCATTATATGTACGCTGATTGGAACTGAGAGAAAAAACGGTGTGCAATGTATAACAAGGCACAGACGTGAACAATATCGTACCTAAATCACAGCATTGTGGTCTTGTTGACCAAGAAAGCAAGATGGCCGCAGAAAAGTTAATCAGCTCTAGAACTTATCACTGTGTAACATATGTAAAAATTTGAACGGTTTGGCTGGAAACCTGTAGACAAGCCTCGATAGACAAGATTTTAGGACGGAAAATCTAAAATGGCAGCCTTAACATTTACCCAGAATGCCCAAAAACTAATCAGTTCTAAACTTTCATACATAGAAAGATCCCTGAAAATTTCAGATGAATCCCTCAAATGGTTTGGCTGGAAACCTGTAGACAAGTCTTGAAAGTGAAGATTTTAGGACAGAAAATCCAAAATGGCCACCTTAAAATTTACCCAGAATGCCCAAAAACCAATCAGTTCTTAACGTTGATATGTAGAAACATCCCTGAGAATTTCAGATGAATCCCTCAAAAGGTTTGGCTGAAAACCTGTAGACAAGTCTTGAAAGTAAAGATTTTAGGACGGAAAATCCAAAATGGCCACCTTAAAATTTACCCAGAATGCCCAAAAACTAATCAGTTCTTGACGTTGATATGTAGAAACATCCCTGAAAATTTCAGATGAATCCCTCAAATGGTTTGGCTGAAAACCTGTAGACAAGTCTTGAAAGTGAAGATTTTAGGACGGAAAATCCAAAATGGCCACCTTAAAATTTACCCAGAATGCCCAAAAACTAATCAGTTCTTGACGTTGATATGTAGAAATATCCCTGAAAATTTCAGATGAATCCCTGAAATGATTTGGCTGGAAACCTGTAGACAAGCTGAAAAGTGAGACGCCGCCCGCCCGCCGCCCATCAAGCTGACTACAATATCGTACCTCTTGTTAGGTACGATAAAAAGATGAGCATCATACGACAACTAGAAATCATAATTGCAGAAAAAATGTTATACCCCTCATTTTTTATTCCAATTTAGTATTCATCAATTTCAAAATACGATGTCTCACCAGAATAAAAGAGATGAATGATAGTTTATTTGCAAATGTAAAACTCACCTTAACAAGTTTTGGAATGTCTTCTGTTTTATAGGTCTGAATTCTATGTACAATTCCATCATCGTCTCTGAAACCAGCAATAATCTTGGGAACTCCTGGTAAAAAGGATTGAAGCCACCATTTTAAAAGTTTGAATCTGGAGATATAAATACATCAAGGATGATTAGCTCCCAGAATTCCTTAAAAAAAAAAATGAAAAAAAAGCTATACATGTTTATGATTTGTTTATGAGCCAAGGAAGTTGATAAATTATACATGAAATAGAAAAAAGTTGCTAACTGCATCTGTATAGCAAACGTCTTTTTGTTTTTTTCAAGTATGTTTTTGATAAAAATGAATAAAAGGAATCTATTAATTTTCAAGGTGAATCAGTTTGTTTCTTGATAATCTTGTCAACTAATCAACCTCGTCATTGAAATTCCCCTTTTATAGCTCAGTGGTCAATTTACCATGTTTTCTGACTGTTTCACTATTTCAAAAGCACACATACATACCTCTTAAAATTTCTTTCCTGGTTGGGTTTGTATATTTCCCTTGATGTCTTCAGTTCAACATATTCCTGACGGCCATCAGGGTGTTTAATACAACAATCAGTCTCACCAGAATAAACTACAACAGCAACGTAATGGCGAAGTTATTGATTCATAATCTAGAATTCTCGACACATACTAGTAACTTGTTTTAGACAGTCATTTCCCAATATTCCTTATATACTCGATATTCTGCCACACTTCCAATCCCCCAAGAATCACAGCAATCTAAATGCAACATTAGGATTCTTACCTAAAGAATGTCCCCTAAGGCGTCCTCTTACAACAGTACAATACGCTTCATTGCAATCTACAGGTCTTCTAGTGTCTGCTATACCATCAACAGTATCTGAAAATCACAATTTTGTTCAATGAAATATCCATGCATCTTTGAAAAAGAACAATTAGCTGCTTTTTTGTTTAGATTTAAATGTGTATTTTATTTTATTATATATACTAGCAAAACTCAATGCAATTTACCTGTAGTCATATACTGTTCAAACTTGTAGCCCCAATAGCTCATTTCTTCATGGCGCCGAGACATATTTTCCTTTTCAGATTTCTTGCGTGGAGTTTCTACCTCGCGGAGATAATATGTCCCATTAAAAAGGCTAACACCTATCCACCAATCATCCTTACTCTCAAATGGTGTTGTCAATATTTTTGTTAGGAGGCCTCGCCAGCAGACAAAATCTGTGTTCAAACTGAAATTATAGAGAAGTGTAGAGAACTTGAACTAATGTTCTCATTATAGTATAATCAATGTATTGTGTCAGGGATTGTTTTGCTTATTGTTACATGCAGTTAATGTAATAATCAGCACAATCACCAGCTACACACTTTAACAATCAGCACAATCACTAACAATACAAGGTAGCACCCAGCACAATCATTATGAAACACTTTAACAATCAGCACAATCACTAACAATACAAGGTAGCACCCAGCACAATCATAATGAAACACTTTAACAATCAGCACAATCACTAACAATACAAGGTAGCACCCAGCACAATCATAATGACACAATGTAACAATCAGCACAATCACTAACAATACAAGGTAGCACCCAGCACAATCATAATGAAACAATGTAACAATCAGCACAATCACTAACAATACAAGGTAGCACCCAGCACAATCATAATGACACAATGTAACAATCAGCACAATCACTAACAATACAAGGTAGCACCCAGCACAATCATAATGACACAATGTAACAATCAGCACAATCACTAATAACATATGTGTAATAACAATAAATTCAATCAATGATGACACAATCAACAATCAACATCATTAATCAATAACACAATGTGACAATCAGCCAAATTACCAATAATAAAATATAAGAATCACCAATGACACAATCACAAATGACACAGCACATACAATCAGCACAATCACTGATGACATACGTACCTATGACACAATGTAACAAATAACACAATCACTAATGACACTTTGCAACAATCAGCACAAACACAGTATTTAATGTAATCAAGCAATGCAACAATCAGAGCAATCACTGATGGCAAAATGAGAACAATCGGCACAATCACTTGGGATATTATAATACTAAAAGGACTTAGAGTAAGCATTCAAATGCAACCTATGAACTAACATATAAGCTTAAGGATAGAAACTACTGTGTACAAAAGATGGCACAGAACACAATCACATCTTTCGACTGATTTCACAATTTAGACTGAAATTGGTCAAAATATGCCTATTTTTCATGATTTCTCATTTTCATGTGGGTGCATATGGATTTTTAAAATCTCAGGTGGGTGCTGTGTCTACTTGCTTAAGGTAATGGTAAAGTTAATCAAAAGTACAAAAAATGGCAGCCATATTGTTTTGGTGAAGTCACAAAATGTTATATCGGTTTTCCTTATATGTGAATGCATTTCCTGACTAAAGAGATATGTCAAAGAAAACTTCAAATTTAAACACATTCTTCATAACTATGAATTGGAGGTGCATGGGTCCCAAAAGCTAGCATGAAGACCGTGAAATGAGGCTAATTTTTGAAAGTTTCAAGGAGTAGCCTTGCAACAGTCACAAAATTGGAAGAATCCAAAATTTCCACAAATCATCTTACCTTACCAAGGAACATTGAAGGAGCATGAAAATGTGCACTTTTTGCATTGTTAGAGTATGATAAAGCTCAATCCATAGTTTTTTATAAATATTTCATGTTCACCATTTTGTTTGCCGGAACTACATGTACTTCTAGACTTCAGTCTTTGAAGGGTTCAATTTTAAAGATCTGAGTTTGTTAAATCTTAGTTTATGATGAATTATAGATGCATTTGTGATATAACGACCCTTGATAGCAAGTAGTTCAACAAGTTAAACCTAGTCTGGGCCTTATTTCTTATCTGACATTGACATATCTTGTGGCCCGCCAATCACGGCAACAAGAACATTCAGATTAATAAATAAAAGCTGTAATTGGTATTGGGTTTAACTTGTTGAACTAGCTAGCAAGTTGCTACTACAGCACAGCTGGGTTCGATTCCCCCTCGGGGCATCAAGTTTAGCACACTTTCTTTAAATTTCTTTACCTGGCTTGTTGGACCTATGCTCGCGGTCGTTAGTATCCGTCTAGTCATAAAAAAAGCCAGAATTGTAGAAATGTTGATAATTAGAGCTATTTTGAGATTCAAAAAAATCTTTAAAATTGAACCCTTCAATGACTGTATCATGTCCCACATAGGTGGGTATGAGGTTATCCCGTACCAGGACTATAGTCCTGCATTGAGAACATTCTTTTGCCTGTACGATTACAACTTGGGAGAATTATCTACGCCCCTTACACTTAAGATACCTACTTCAATTGATTCCTGGGTATCTTAGCATTCTTTTCGTGTAGTTGAATCCACAATTGTCTTGGTATATCGGCAGAACGGGAACATTTTTCTTTTTCATCGAGAGATATTCCATCACTTTCCAAGATGGCGGTTGGATTTAAAAGGGGATTCCCCGTTTGACTGACCCGGAACTCGGAAGTGGCCCGGAAGCACCAAAAATGGAGGAATTTGACGGTTGAAATAAGTTAAATATTACACGCAAATATTGTGATTAAAAACGATTTTTTTTTTGTTCTGCCGATAAACCCAGACAATTGTGGATTCAACTACAAGAAAAGAATGCTAAAATACCAAGGAATCTTTTGAAATAGGTATATTAAGTGTAAGAAGCGTAGAAAATTCTCCCATGTTGTAATCGTACAGGCAAAAGAATGCTCTCAATGCAGGACTATAGTCCTGGCACGGGATAAGGTATGAGATACAAGGTTTTTTATACAAAGCCCTTTAAAACACTTAGGCCTAATAACATGATGACAGTTGTGCCAGGCATAAGTCTTGCATTGCAATAATTAGCACGTGAGTCCATGATGTAATAGTATGTATACACGAAGGTGGTTGATATTTACCTTGTGGTTTCTTTATCACATATTTCAAACTTATTAAAATTATGCATTATCCAGTAGAGAATATCGTTAATGTATTCAGTCGCAGCCTGCTCTGGATCCCTCTGTATAAATGAGTCAAAGCCTTTGGTGAGATCAAAGTGTATATGATCTGGTTCTTTGTAAAATCGCAGCTGTCTCGCGTCATTGTAAAATGTACGATTTGCATCTAAAGATAAACATCCAATTTCTGTTGGTTTTCTGAAGAAAGGAAAATTTCCAGAATATGAGGAAAAGTTTCTAGCATTGAAACAGCGGCTTTCACTTTCACTTCTTCTTGGTTGGTGGTTTTCAATTTGTCGGGACTTGATCTTTTTTGCTTGTTGTGCATCATCAGATCTATAGTCAGTTTCATGGTAATGTCTCTTCATTTTGTGGACGTCAATTTACATTCTTCGCTAATGCATATAAGCTGCTAGCATTTAGCATTTAGTTGTGATTGTAAATTCACAATTTTGACATTTCGAATTTGGCTGCTGTACGTATCACGCCACTAAATATATTTCAGAACACAGTCCAAAAATAGCAGAGCACATTCCAATATTTAGCGGAATAGAATTTAATGCTGAAGTGATAAGTACAAATCACAGAAGGATGAGCGACAGCTCAGATGACGTATACCTTTGCATTGTTCTATTAGCCACTGATATCTAAGAACAAGAGAAAGTACAAAACAACAGTTTAAACTTTAAGGTATGAGGTTCCATATCCATCCGCCAAAAGGTATGACCCCTATATAGTCCATTTAAAAACCTGTGGTATTGTTCTAAATAACACCATAGTTGGCTTCTAGGGTACCTAGTATGCCACTATTTGGTATCAAAATGAAGAGGAGGAGTTAAACTTTCATTTGAATTACGAAAATAGCGATGTATGTCAAAAATAGTTCCGACGTGAGCATGTCTACTACGCGTTTGCTCGTCATATCAGAATTGAGGAAGTGGTGGCAAACGCGAGTTACAATAAATGGACGCTGATATCTCAAAAAGTAACCTGACTCCCTATAATATGATGTAGATCAATCGAACCCCTATATGAACAGGTTCATTTTGATATATAACACTATGGGGGGGGGTAAGCGTTTTATAGTTGGTCACGAACGCCATATGTGCAAAGTATTGTTATGAATTTTCGAATTTGGTGTTGGATTACGGTACTCATACCTTAAACACATACCAGTACCAAGTGAACATTTTATAAGCACCACGGACTTGCCAGCACCACAATTTATATTAAGACATAATCAGATATAAATATCAATTTTCTGTCTTGGTGGAAATATTGAATCTTATTGGAATTCAAAGATAAGAAATATTAAAAGATAATGTTTGTGAAAAGGCACAAAAGAAAGTAGAAAATGAAACAAAACAACAGAAACTGCCTAGAAAAAGCAGCATAAGCAACACCGTCCATCACCCCCATAACAAATTGTTTTGCAATGTTCTATGGTACATGTATTTTTATTTCTTATCGTCATAATGATTTTTGCATGGGAGCATAAGCATTATTTCCAGCGCATAAGATAATTCAATTAAATTGAGATTTTTGGCTTCAGAATTTTCGGTAATGAAAACGATACATGATTTTTGAGTAATGGACTAATGGTGATTAGGTTAATTATGATTCATCGAATCATTGTATACCAATCAAATAGAGGTTCAAGCTTGGCCATGGTGCCACAATCCCTTGTTGGGCTGACAGTTCATGATTTAGTTTATGTAGTCATCCTGAATTATGTGATTAGTTATTGAACAGTTACATATCATTCAATGTAAATCAAAGCATCTGAAATTATAATTTACTTAGACTTTTCTGTCCAGAACTATTTTGCCTTTTGTACAATCTCCAAGCAATATGTTTTGCTCCTTCTCTCTTGTAGATGTTTCATTTCCCTGGATATTTAGCAAGTTCATTAATGATGCCTGATCAGTTCCATGATACCCAGGTTTTATCGGGGGAGGGTGAAAAAGTTCCAAGGGTATTCAAATTGACAATATTGACCCAAAATCATTTAAAAAGTGGTCAAAATGGTGAAAAACTTGACGCTTTTGAAAGAATTTTTGGCCAAGGGCGTCACACACATTAAGAGTCTGTAGAGGGGTAGGCAAGAACTCGGGAACAAGACATGCACTGAGCGTAATTCTTCGGATGGTTATATTAAAAAAAACAATAAGTTTTAGTGGAGTCATACCATTGAGGAAATAATTTTCTGTTAAATACTTCGAACAATCCGCCGCAATCCACAATGGATAGCCAAGGAAGGAAAGTTGTTGTGTGTGACAATGGAACCGGAGTAAGTATTTTTCAATTTGATCGCAGTTTTGAGAGCAAATTTTGCTGAATTGTTGATAAATTGACCCAAATGTCAGATTGTTTTCGAAATATTTCAAACCCGGAAATGAAAATGAAAATTATAAAAAAAATTCAAAATTGTTCAGACTAAAAGACCCACACGTCTTCAGTTCTGTAATCACCTTCTGCATGATATTTTATATGTAAGATAAGTTATCGCTTCAATTGTGTATTCAAAAGCTAAATGTTTCTAGATGGAGGAAGATCTGACTTTCACACGCCCACCTATCCATCAAGTTTCAAGGATATAAAGTCTTCTCCACAGTTATAGAGATTATCCTATATGAGGTTCAGGACATTGGGATTATCCTGAGGCGAATATAATATATGTAAAATATATTTAATATCTGCCCATCCAGTTTTGTATTCTTGGCTGAGCCGGATTTTCCTGTTCGGATATTCATCCATATTTATTTTCTCGAATCTTTGATTATTAATAGGGCATACTGTTCCTTCCCTTCTTTGAATCATCAAGCAGATTGCGATTGTCTGCGTTATTCTCCATTGTCATTTACAGTTATTATGCAAACGTAACATAGAATGAACCAATGTAGCGGGCAGATATAGTATATTTGCCCACTACATCATAATCGCAGTTCGCATGTTGGTTCATTCTTTATAACGTTAGCATTAACTGTAAATGACAGAGAATCGCGATCTGTTTGATGCTTTTTAAGAAGGGAAGGAGCAGTATGCCCTGTTAATAATCAAGATTCGAGAAAATAAATGTGGATGAATATACGAAGGAACATGAAAATCCGGCTACGGCCAAGAATACAAAACTGGACATGAATGTTCTAAAATATCAATATTTTTACATAGCATTGCCCATATTTCTTACCACGAAAAGTTTCTCTAGGCTTTAATAGAGAGCATTTTTTTTCTTTCAGTTTGTCAAATGTGGATTTGCTGGTTCTAACTTCCCTGAGCACATCTTCCCCTCATTGGTTGGCCGACCCATACTCCGATCAACAGCCAAAATAGGCAACATTGAAATAAAAGTAAGTACTAAGAGATAAGGCTGTCTTGATATTATCAATATATCATATACAGGAGGTGCCACATACTATTGTACAAATATTTATTCCTAACCAAACTTTCTTTATCAACTGGCATATTTTCAGACTCATCGAAAATTGTCCCAAAAGTAGTGATGTATTGTATTAGTGATGTTATGTGTTTATAAGTGCTTTTAAACAACATGGTTTTTATTTGGTGTAAAGTAAATTGAAATGAAATGTTTCTTGAATGATTAATTAAGATTTATGTGTCGACCATGATTTATTTATTTTAGGATCTACATGTTGGTGATGAAGCCAGTCAGTTACGTTCTATGCTGGAGGTCAACTATCCAATGGACAATGGTATCGTGCGCAGCTGGGAAGATATGCTTCATATATGGAACTACACTTTTGGACCTGAAAAGTTGAATGTTGATCCTAAGCAATGTAAATTACTTCTGACAGAACCTCCAATGAATCCAATGAAAAATAGGGAAAAAATGATTGAGGTGAGAGTGTTTGAAATAGAGATTAAAACGAAGGCTTTTCTTGGAAAATGAAATTTTAAACTGTTTTTAGTTTAATAGAAATATGCATTTTTAGCTTTGCATCAAGTCGCTGTGTTGCTCCTTTCCTCATTCCCTCAAATATATTGGTGCAAAATGCCCTAAACAAGCAAAAACGTAGTGTTGTTATTTCAGAATTTTATTGTATGATACATGTATAATCTCCCAATCTTTCTTCAGAAATATCTATGCATGCTTATCACCTCTAACGCTATGAACTAAATACATTTCAATTATTTTCAGGTTATGTTTGAGACGTACCAGTTCGAAGGTGTCTACATTGCCATCCAGGCAGTACTAACACTCTATGCCCAGGGTCTCTTAACGGGTGTTGTGGTCGACTCAGGAGATGGTGTTACTCACATCTGCCCTGTTTATGAGGGATTTGCTTTGCCTCATCTTACAAGGAGGCTGGATATAGCAGGAAGAGATATTACCAAGTATTTAATAAAGGTATGTCAGCATTGTTGTGTTGGTTAATCCAAATCATCAACTTTAGTGGCCATGGGGCAGGGTCAAAATTAGGACAAAAATTTTGAAAAAATCCCTGTTAGTCAGGAATATTTAGGTGAAAATATTTCAAAAATATATAGAAGCAATTTTAAGGTGGATTTCAAAACTTCATACCATTCTTTTGAAAACCTGAAGTGGCACCAAGCAATCCATTGACTTTTTCACTAAAAATCCAAGATGGCCGCCACGATGTATCGAAAAATCATAAAAATTGACTAAAGTTGTAATTTAATAAGTCAAAATAGTTGTATACTGATCAAACATGACTAATAATAGTACCTATTAGATGTTCATATGCAGTTAAAGTCACTGGATCAATTTTGTATGAAAACTGGAGTCCCACAAGGCTCAATTTTATGTCCACTACTTTTTTTTGTCTAATGACTTGCATTGACCGTGGCATTTGCACATAGCAGTGAATACTTATCCATTTTTGTAATGTGTGTACCCAGGACCACATTTCACCTTGCACCCATACTTGACCAATGCTTGGCATGCCTTTGCTGCTTGAGGAAGGGCTGTCCATAGTGGCACCAGTAAAGACATGTCATACTCCCAGCCCCATGTTGTGAACTCCCATACCCATTTTGGATGGAGATTGTACAGTTGCCCGCAAACAATACCACCTTGGTGAGCAAGTTCTTAAGATTTTCTGAGCAAAGCCTCCTTTTGTTGGTGGTATTCTGTCAATGACTGTATGGCCGTCACAGAGCATTAGCCTTCATGCTGCATTAATATCTATCTGGTTGCTGGTTCGATCATATAGAACAGTAAAACAGTCTAGAGACTGAATGGTCTGAATTTAGAAAACCAGGTTTGTTGTAAGCATTTGTGCCACTCTTTTGTAGAAAAGCTGGAGTAACTTCCTTGAACACATTCCATAGCTTGAAGGCAGATCCCTTGCCATGGCCAAAGAATGATGCAGTTATATAATTTAATATCTGTAATTTTTGAGAGGTTCGAAGGCAATCCAGATTGACACTTATTGGGCCCTAATTATTATTATTATATCTTGGTTACCGCCATATTTGGCGAGCAATACCTCATTGGTATATTCCGTACTTGACATGTTTTACACTCGAAGACAGAGCCAGAAACCCCTCCTTGGAGGAGCCCTGTGTTCTATTGTGTGCACAGGTACACAGACATACAGGTACACACCACAGCCTTTTATACGAGTCGTGAACCACTCAGTCAAACACCCAGAATGACGCACATGACGCACAAACAAACTTGTCTGAACCGGGAATCGAACCTGGGGCCAATCTATATTGGTAACCTTGACTCTGTCACAGAGCCATAGCGGGTGGACTTATGCTGCAGCCATGGCAAGAACAACTACATCAGTATCTCCACTTCTGATTATGAAGTCTTTTTTTCCCTCTGAGGTCATCTGTTTTACATGAACAAAGAGTCTAGTGTCAACTTCTTCATGAGTACAAGGTTCAATCATTGCTGTATCTGGCAAGTGAGGAAATCACTGAACAGATTCCACAATAGTAGTTATCATTTGCTTGTCATTTACATCAACCTCAAAAATAGAATTGGCCAGGAATGCTAACAGCTCAGTCTTGTTCTGGTCATTTCTTAGAAAGCCTAGCCAATTCTTGGGCATCGGATTCTCTGCATAAACCATCCAGTGCCACGATGAATCCTTGTCAGGGACTTCCCACTGTTTTGTTGGTAGACATCCCAGATAGCATCTAATCTTGAAACACCTTCCGTAAGCAGCCTTAATTTGGGATGAGACATTGGTAGCATATTCTTGGAAGTTGGTAGCCACACCAGGACGCATCACATAGACCAGAAGGGTGCCATCTATTAAAATTGCATCTGCAGGTTTTTTCCAATACTTCAGATCCATCTGGCTTAGCTTCTCAACATTTAAGTAAGTCTGCTTCTTTGTAGGTCTCATGGCTCCGTGGTTAGCTAAGGATGGCCAGAACTCATGTTTTTCATGTTTGAAAAACTCAGACATGTCAATGTGTCTTAATTGGCATCCCATCATCCCTAGCTAAGCACAGAGCCATGTGACCTACAACAGACTTACTTAAATGTCTAGAAACTGGTCCTTTCATCCCAAGTTAAGGTAGCTTATGGAAGGTGTTCCTAGATGTTGTCTGGAATGTTTACCTACAAAACAGTGAGATGTCCCTAACAAGGATTCATCGTGGCACTGGTGCTAGAAGGATAGTTTATGCAGAGAATGCGATGCCTAAGAATTGCCCAGCTTTTCTAACAATCAACGGAAGAAGACTAGGCTGTTCCTGGCCAACTCTATGTCTGAGGTTGATGTTAATGACAAGCAAATGGTAACTTCTATTGGAGAATCTATTCAGTGCTTTCCTCAAATACAGCAATGATTGGATCTTGTACTCATGAAGAAACTGACACGAGACTCTTTGTTCATATAAAACATGACCTCAGAGGGTAAAAGACTTCACAATCAGAAGTTGAGATACTGATGTAGTTGCTCTTGCCATCTCAAAAATTACAGGTATTAAATTATATTATATTAGCTTCACCATTCTTTGGCCATAGCAATAATCTGCCTTCAAGCTATGGAATGTGCTCATTGAAGTTACTCCAGCTTTTTACAAGTGGTACAAATGGTTACATCAAACCTTGCTTTCAGGCCATTCAGTCCCTAGAACACTTTACTGTGTTCTATTATATGATCGAACCAGCAACCAGATAGATATTAATGCAGCATGAAGGCTAATGCTCTGTGACGGCCATACAGTCATTGACAGAATACCACCAACAAAAGGAGGCTTTGCTCAGAAAATCTTAAGAACTTGCTCACCAAGGTGGTATTGTTTGCGGGCAACTGTACAATCTCCATCCAAAATGGGTATGGGAGTTCACAACATGGGGCTGGGAGTATGACATGTCTTTACTGGTGCCACTATGGACAGCCCTTCCTCAAGCAGCAAAGGCATGCCAAGCATTGGTCAAGTATGGGTGCAAGGTGAAATGTGGTCCTGGATGCACACATTACAAAAATGGATAAGTATCCACTGCTATGTGCAAATGCCATGGTCAATGCAAATCATTAGACAAAAAAAGTAGTGGACATAAAATTGAGCCTTGTGGGACTCCGGTTTTCATACAAAAATGATCCAATGAATTTAAATGCATATGAACATCTAATAGGTACTATTATTAGTCATGTTTGATCAGTATACAACTATTTTGACTTATTAAATTACAACTTTAGTCAATTTTTATGATTTTTCGATACATTGTGGTGGCCATCTTGGATTTTTTGTGAAAAAGTCAATGGATTGCTTGGTGCCACTTCAGGTTCTCAAAAGGATGGTATGAAGTTTTGAAATCCACCTTAAGATTGCTTCTATATATTTTTGAAATATTCTGTGAACTTATCTCCTATTCAAACCCGACTATGTGAACTTTTGCTCCAAAAGGAAACTATTTCACCTCTGGAGCTTAACATTTCCATAAGGTCTATTCAGGTACTTATTTGGACTGAAATAGAAACTGGTAAGGTTTAAACAAGGCATGTTGTCGATTTTTATACCAAGCGCATATTGTCTATTATGTAGTTCAGGAAATTTGAACAATGTTCATTTGAGGAAGACAGGACATTGTACACAGTCTAATTATCAATAAGGAAAGAGGATATTTGATTTGAACTTTTGTAACATGATCAATTTGTAAAATGTACCCAGTTGTAAATGCCATGAATAATGAGATATTAAGATCAGTCTTAATGCTGTTATTGCAGAGATGCAACATATGAGCCTGGCCATAGGAAAACCGGTCTTATCACAAAAATTAAAATTGTGCATGTGCTACAGAGCCAAAAATGTGCCCAAGATTAAGAGGAAAATGTGCTAAATTAAAATCCGACTTTTTGGTCTATATATGCAAGGAAAAATCATGTCATAAGTCATGGCTCATTTGAAAGGTCTTTTTGTGCTTTTTAAGATAAACAAAAAAACAAAATATTAAAAAATCTGTGATAAGACCCCTTTTCCTGTGGCCTCGCTCATATAATAAACTCATGATATGACTAATGTTTGTCTTTGTTTCCAGTTACTGCTGTTACGAGGCTATGCATTCAACCACTCTGCTGACTTTGAGACAGTCAGGATGATGAAAGAGGCATTGTGCTATGTAGGATATGACATTGAACAGGAACAAAAACTGGCTTTAGAAACTACAGTCCTAGTTGAGCAATATACAGTAAGTGAAACATTACTAACTGTCATTATTAATTCATAACTGAAATTTACGAGGGGGATCAGGAATTTCTGGACCGTTGGCTCTATTTTGGCCATTTTTATCCTTTCTTAGTGATTTTTGCACACAATATAACCCAAATATATAGGTACACACCATGGAGATTTCATTGTTCTATGACATCATTATCCTATTATTTTTGTTACCATGGTAACCGGTGACACAACAAGTTTGAGCTCAGAAAAATACCTAATTTGAAAAGTCAACAGTAATTTTATATGATGTTTGGACACTATATTCATTACTGAATATGTGACATACTGTAATAGGTTGTATTATTTCATTGAGTATATTCATAAATGTTCATAGGTAACTATCATTATTCTTCCATCAATTCTAATCCTTCAAAGTAGTTACCAGCATTTTGTAAGCATTTGTTATGTCTTTTCACCCAGTCCTGAAAGACATGAGCCAACGGTTCAGAAATTCCTGATCACCCCTCGTATTTAGAGGCAATTTTTATTGTAAACAAAGAGTTGTGGAAGGAATTTGATTCAGTGACACTCTCCAAGCATTACGGCAAGTGGGTAATGCACCCACTTGAGATTTTGATGAGGCCTTGCACCAACCTTATAATCAATTTGCACCCATATACTGTATAAGTGACAAAACGTTGTCTGAATTGTGAAAATGGTTCTGCATCCACTCAAGAAAATGCCCTGAATTGCACACTGATTGAAACTAGAAAGAAATGTTTACACAACTATGATTATGTTTAACTTGTCTTAATTGATTAGCTGATTCGAGTGTAATCATACAGAATTTTGAACTGCAGACATGATCACTCATGAATATAGGTGTCTTTATGTAATATTTTTACCTCACATGGTAAGCTATTTCAAATCACTCACTTGTATTGTTCAGTATTACTGCTAAATTGTTTGAAGTTCTGGTGTATATCTGATCATATCTGCGTATCTATATTTTCAGTTACCAGATGGCCGTGTGATCAAAGTTGGTGGTGAAAGATTTGAAGCACCAGAGGCATTATTCCAGCCTCATCTTATTAATGTTGAAGGTCACGGGGTAGCAGAATTACTGTTCAACACAGTCCAGGCTGCAGATATTGACACAAGGGCAGAGTTTTACAAGCATATAGTCCTGTCTGGAGGCTCAACCATGTATCCTGGCCTGCCAAGTAGACTAGAGAGAGAGATTAAGCAGTTATACTTAGAACGTGTACTGAAGGGAGACACTGAAAAATTATCTGTAAGTGAGGTTTTGTGATTACTGGTTTGATTATTAAATGCTCTCTGTTAGAAATTCTGTAAGTAAGGTAGGGTCTAATGTGTCTCCAAGTTCGCATCCTGTTAGTTAAGAAATTAATGCAAATCTGGTATATTGTGACATAATAACTCAGGTGCGAGTAGGTAATTACCAGTTTCACCACCAGGTGGCTCAGTCAGGTCAGATAGCATGGCAGGTATAGTAGAGAGTTCCCTTTAACTTGAATATTCATCAGCTTTAGTGGTTCAATTTTTATATCATTATGTATCTAATAGTTATGCAAATTAAATGTGTCCAGTAAAACAAAATATCATCTGTCCAAGATATTTCTCTTTTTGTGATTTTATAGCATGAGGAATCTCCCCAAACTAGAAGTCACATTTTCAAAAAAATTAATAATTTTCAAAGTTAAACAATTTTTGAAACCATATTTCTAGAAGTACTTTTACATGTAAATTTCAAATATGACATTACTTCGACTGAAATTTGAATATTAAATGACATAGATTAAGAATATTTATACTCGCATCAGATCTATTGCCTTCTGTCCTTCTTCAGAAGCACATGAATAACTTAAAGTTCGATACATTTTAGAAAATTAGCAACATGTGTAGTGGCAGTACTAATGGGCACTCACGAAACATCTTTTTTTCAGAAATTCAAGATCAGAATTGAAGATCCACCACGTCGTAAGCACATGGTATTCCTAGGTGGCGCTGTATTGGCAGATATCATGAAAGACAAGGATTCATTCTGGATGACGCGGTTGGAATATGAAGAAAAAGGACTTCGAGTTTTAGAAAAACTGGGAGTCGCCCCAAAAGGTGTATGATAGCCTTGTATATATTTTGTTATTATACAGGGTGGGCCAAAAAACAATACCCAAGTTAAAGATTAATGATTCATATGGTAGTATGTTAAACCATGTCATGTATTCTATATCATTTTAAAGATAAATCATTTCCTAACGAAATGACACAATCCAATTGTAAAACCTTTGTTTTCTCGTGGAGTTAGAGACTAGAATTGACACCAGGTGTGCCATGAGTGACCAAAAAACAAAAAATGAAAATTCCCAAATTTCCCTCCTTATTGCAGATTTATTTAAAAGTAATACACAATTGATAATTTTTTTAAAATAAATAAGTATTATTGCTGAATTTTGCGCTATACTAACTTGTGCAAATATACCTCTTTTGAAAGTGCCAAAGTTCAAATTTCTTTATTTTCTTTAATTTGGAAATCCGCAGTGAATTATTTTTTGGTCGCTTATGACACCCCTGGTGTCAATTTTAGCCTCTTACTCCACAAGAAAACAACGGTTTTTCAATCAGATGGTGTCATATTGTTAGGAAATGATTTATCTTTAAAATGATATACAATACCTGGCATGGGTTAACGTTATATCATATGATATTCATCCTTAAACTTGGGTATTGGTTGGTTTTTCGGCCCACCCTGTAGATAGCAGAAATGGGTGTTGATTTTAGAAAAATTATCACTAGAAAACAGTCAGATAGGCAAGATGCTGACTCTACACAGCAGAGTGCTTACATTGAGAAGGTTCTGACTTTATGCAGTATACTCAAAAACTTGTCCTATCATTCCATGTAATAAGTTTTCATGAAATGAACCTGGGATGGGAGCATTCTACCTTATGCACTAAAGTGAATTAACATGTTTGGGGTAAATGGGAACAAATAATACATGCAATTTCCATGTTCAATTTGCACATGTGGGTTACAGTCCAAAGTGTTAATATTAATCATTTGTTCATCATGTATAACACAAAGTCCCGGGATTAAACTGGTTAAAGGAATACTAAGACGTTGTTATTAAAGCTATTCTATTTATCATTATTAATATAACTACAATCTTACATAAGTTAAAAGCGATATGAAAAGCAATTAGAGGATCAATCATATTGAAGAAAAGACCCTTTAGATACAAACATAATGATAGCCTTCAAACTGCATTTATAGTACAGTGCATACTGTACATGGACTTTTTAGGAACATCTTTAATATGACTCTCAATGAGGTTTGCGACCAAGCGAGACTGAGAGGAAATAAAGTATCTTAAGGTGCTTAAATTCAATAAGTGATTAACGTTGTATCATATATTTGTACATAATATGTAAATCAATAAATAATGTTTCATAAATATATATTAAACTAAATTGTTTAAATTGTGTTGGAACACCCTTTGTGAAAATGTTGAGTCTCATTTGTCGTTATGATAAAGTCTGTCTGTAATTGAGGTAAACTACCATTCAGACTGTCAAATTACAGTGAAACCTGTAAATCTGACCAGTGGACTTATTATCCCATCGAACAAAGTTCGGAGGGATATAGGGAACGCCTCCGTCCGTCCGTACGTACGTACACATATACACTATGGGGGTAGAAGTTCTGCTCGAAAGAAGATTCTCAAAATGGCCGCTCATTTAAAAATGGTGTCCATTTAGGTACAATATGTAAAACTGTAATTGCAATATGTTTTAAATGTAAGAAAATTATATAGGACATTAATAAAGCTCGAAATGTAGATATTAAAGAAGCACATGGCAGCCATCTTGAAAAATGGCCGCCTTTACTCGCTATTTTACGATTTTTGCTTTAACTCGAAAAGTAGTGGAGCAATTTTATTCATATTTGAGATGTGAATACTATAAGCATGGCACACTGTCTAATGACACTTTTGCTAGAAGGCGGCCATTTTGAAAAATGGCTGCCATTTTAACATATTTTACTAAAACTCGAAAAGTAGTGGAGTGATTTTGTTCATTTTTGCTGTATACTTTGTGAAAATGCCAGCCATGGCTGTTCGATGGGATTTGCTACGCTTTGGCGTTGCTGTTGTCTAGTTTAAATTGAAGACTGATCATTCTCCATTTAATCTAAATCAATAAGACCATTGCGCGATGCTCTACCCCTGAGCCATGATGGCTAGCCACTACACCTGAGACTGTAGCAGCCACTTGATATCTAGGGTCATCACATAAACAATCCTTTCACCTGCTGTAAGTAAAGAATCAACTCACGCCTCAAAAGATGACTAATTTACTACCTAGACCTTCAAAATGCAGTCCTTGACTGACAGTCCAAAAGAGTCCTATAGACAGATAGATGGGGAGCATTTAACCAAACTAACCATGGAAACTCATGATATCTACGGGCATGAACACACAGTCTTCTCATTGATAGCTACTATATCGCGGGTCTAAGATGCATGGAAATTCATTTGGGGAATAATAGTTTCTTTGGGGTTTGCTACTCCTGTTGGAGTTCCCAATTCGAGTTGAAGGTGAAGTGTATTCCATGTAACTGCTTTCTTTCTATCGCAAGAAAGACTTCTATAACGAGCTTAAGACACATCAGCACTGGCAGTAATGAAATTTCTTTTCAGTGAATATGTAGACCAAAATATCTGAAATTATTTATTGTAAAACGCATCTGGCATTGTACAATTATGCGTCTAAGTTGACATCTCGGTTTAATCAACGTTGCCCCCATTTTCTGAGGGTTACACGTTAAACTTGAATATCGGGAGTTGGTTCATTATTTTTGTTGAAGAACTATTCACTAAATGAATGTATTTCACAGGCAAATCAATCAAAACTATTAAAGCAATTAATGAATCATGTTCCAACAAACAGAAAAATGTAAAATAAAACCCCGCTAAAGCTTATAGCTTGCTATAATAGGATGTTCCACTGACTTGCACCTGTGGGTAATTGCTTGAATAAACCAAGATAGTACTCGTTAATAGACAAACTATTTACTAATATTTTATTTCTATGTGGAGAATGAATACACTAAACGTAGTGTATTATATTGGAGAATCTTTCGTCTGTTGCACTGACGTTTTTATCGTACCTAACAAAAGGTACGATATTGTAGTCAGCTTGACGGGCGGGCGGCGGGCGGCGGGCGGGCGGCGTCTCACTTTTCAGCTTGTCTACAGGTTTCCAGCCAAACCATTTGAGGAATTCATCTGAAATTTTCAGGGATGTTTCTACATATCAACGTCAAGAACTGATTAGTATTTGGGCATTCTTGGTAAATCTTAAGGTGGCCATTTTGGATTTTCAGTCCTAAAATCTTCACTTTCAAGACTTGTCTACAGGTTTCCAGCCAAACCATTTGAGGGATTCATCTGAAATTTTCAGAGATGTTTCTACATATCAACGTCAATAACTGATTAGTTTTTGGTCATTCTGGGTAAATCTTAAGGTGGCCATTTTGGATTTTCCGTCCTAAAATCTTCACTTTAAAGACTTGTCTACATGTATACAGGTTTCCAGCCAAACCATTTGAGGGATTCATCTGAAATTTTCAGGGATGTTTCTACATATCAACGTCAAGAACTGATTAGTTTTTGGGCATTCTGGGTAAATCTTAAGGTGGCCATTTTGGATTTTCCGTCCTAAAATCTTCACTTTCAAGACTTGTCTACAGGTTTCCAGCCAAACCATTTGAGGGATTCATCTGAAATTTTCAGGGATGTTTCTACACATCAACGTCAAGAACTGATTAGTTTTTGGGCATTCTGGGTAAATTTTAAGGTGGCCATTTTGGATTTTCCGTCCTAAAATCTTTACTTTCAAGACTTGTCTACAGGTTTCACCTTTTGAGGGATTCATCTGAAATTTTCAGGGATGTTTCTAAATATCAACGTCAAGAACTGATTAGTTTTTGGGCATTCTGGGTAAATTTAAAGGTGGCCATTTTCAGATTTTGGATTTTCATCAGTGAACTGATTAGTTTTTGGGCATTCTAGGTAAATTTTAAGGTGGCCATTTTGGATTTTCCGTCCTAAAATCTTTACTTTCAAGACTTGTCTACAGGTTTCCAGCCAAACCTTTTGAGGGATTCATCTGAAATTTTCAGGGATGTTTCTACATATCAACGTCAAGAACTGATTAGTTTTTGGGCATTCTGGGTAAATTTTAAGGTGGCCATTTTGGATTTTCTGTCCTAAAATCTTCACTTTCAAGACTTGTCTACAGATTTTCAGCCAAACCATTTGAGGGATTCATCTGAAATTTTCAGGGATGTTTCTACATAACAACGTCAAGAACTGATTGGTTTTTGGGCATTCTGGGTAAATTTTAAGGTGGCCATTTTGGATTTTCCGTCCTAAAATCTTCACTTTCAAGACTTGTCTACAGGTTTCCAGCCAAACCGTTCAAATTATTACATATGTTACACAGTGATAAGTTCTAGAGCTGATTAACTTTTCTGCGGCCATCTTGCTTTCTTGGTCAACAAGACCACAATGCTGTGTTTTAGGTACGATATTGTTCACGTCTGTGCCTTGTTACAGTCTTTTAAAGGAAAAGATACAAAGTATTTTCCAACAGTTCTGCAAAAATGGTCTGTTTCTCGGAATAATGACATATACGCACACGTTCAAAAACTTTTAGGAGTTTGCTCCTCGAAATTTTAATAATAACTCTGGCTTGAAACTTGAAATAAATACATTTGAACATTTTTTATCAATTTGAAGCATATTTGGGCTTGGGCAATGGTGATCACGTTTCCTTCATCAACTTTTCTAGATCTTGGTATTTCTAAAGACATTTCCCGTGCCTTCGTAGAAGTATAATAATGACATATCGTGAAAACTACAACTTCAATATTATAGTCAGGAATCTCCGTAAGTTTGTAACGTGACTTGCGTGTTTTAAATACAGTTCCGGGTGGCTGGGTCCCTATATCAAAAACTATCTAGAAAAAATATTTAAAATAAAACATTTTTTTGGTGAAACTTATACACAAAATTGTTAAGTTGTTGATCCTTTTATTTGAAAGTTTCATGTAATTTCATCTAAAAGTAGCAAAGTTAGAGTGGGGCGTCAAAGACTTATGAATCACCCCTCGTATAAAGACCTGTTAAAAACGAAATAGTAACAAAAAGGGGATTGATCAATATAAAATGAATAAAATATGAAAATGACTACATCTATGTCACACTGTTTTGAAATCTTTTTGAACGGGCTCGTAGTAATATGGCGATAATGATGTGAGGTCATTAATAAGCGTATAGAGAGGACCTGTGGGCAGTAACTAGTGGTGAGAGGTCTTTCTTAATCACATATCTGAGCAGGATAGTGCAGTATATTGTTAGTCGCAAGCTATTTTTCGTAATAACAGGAATAAAGGTATGTTTGATATATTTTCTTTATATATCATAATTAGCATATTTGTCTAAACTCTTCTCAAAAACAGTATTTATATAAATTAAATATCACGATAATTTTTATTCATTTGCGGAAACGCAATTAATTACAAGTTCAATACGAAAATCTCGCCATATTTTCATATTCGCTGTACTTCTAAAACATCATGGTTTTGGTATACCCAACTAATGTCTCCAGGACACAATTAAAAATTAAAAATCGTCTAAACAAAACTATCTATATTTGACTTTATCATATCATATCAATGTTATGATATCAATTATAATATCAATGTATGTTATATTATAGACAAATGCAAAGGAACCGCACCTTTTAAGATAAGATGCAGAAAAAACATTTTTTTATTTTTGTGGCACTAGTCGTATTACCTCGTAACACAAATAATTGTAAAGATGCTTTTGAATTAAATAGATGTATAAAAAATCTAAGTGAAGAACTTTTATTTATTAAAGGCGGTGGGAAATTTAAATACTTTTGGAAAATGTCCTTTCACCGGTATCTGTTTCATTTTCAAATATTTAGAGTAAATTTCACGTTGGCGATTTAATTGTTTGAATCCTAGAGAATATTTCTAACACGGGGCCTTTAAAATACGTCTCTGTCATAAAAGATCTTCAAAGTAACCTCTCATAAAGTACAACAACTCAATAAATGACTGATGATATTACAGTACTCTCCCAGGCGTATCGTTCTAAATGAAGATGTTGTCACTACGCATGGAATCGCGATACACGTTTGTATTTGGATAATCTTAAGTTTATATTTTAATATTGACACGTCATGTAGATTAAGCAAATTTTTGGTGCTAATAAAATAGATCAGTCGCGTCTGTCGTCAATAACAAACAATAAGCCTCTCACGTAATCATTGCAACTAACTGCCCACCCATAGGTGTTTTAATAAAATAATGACGATTATTTCAAAATGAAATCGGTGCAAGAACTCCATTATTACCTTCATTTACATTTATCTTGCGTTATTACTTGTAATTAAACATTTTGATCTTTCCAAATGCAATAAATTCCCATGTTTTCTCCATATTCTCTGCGTCTACTGAGAGATTATCCTTGTAAACATTATCACGAATAGCTTAAAGATCAGATAATGAAAATCACACCGATTCACTGGGTATTTAGAGAGAGGGGGAAACTGTCATATATTGTAAACGGGTACATTGCGCAAATTATATAAATCAATCGAAGAGAGAGGACGCTATTTACTTATTACCAAGGTTGAAAAAGAAAGGATTAGATGGATTGTAGCAAGGTAAGTGAAGAACAACCAACTGCATTCAAAGTAAATTAACAAAAGTGTTTTAGTATATCTGATATATATATAAAGTATAAATATTGATGAACGTTGAATATTGAACGTAACGGAACGAACACATTAATTTTTCTCATATTGGCAACTAGAGCTCGTTTCAATTATGTAGTATCCAAATGATTTACGTGTTACGTGTTATAAATAAAGTTCCTCAAAAATCTATTGACCCCAAAATATTTTTTCTCAATAATATTTTCAATTTTTATGCATGGACATTCCTATCCGAATTCATGAATTTGGTAATTACATACGACAAATTAAGAGGATGGCGAATTTGAAATACAACATTTTATAATAAAGTTGAAGAAGTTCAGATTACAGTAAATGTTTTTAAAGCATCTATTTCCTTCAAATATTATTTCCAATAAAATTACAGGTATAACAAACTTCTATTGATGCGGATAAGCACCCGGATATGAGCATTAACCTTTGAGAAATCAGAATTATATTCCTGCTTCTTTTAAATTCAATACAGTTTAGTTTACGATGTGCAAGATAATTGGGAGTTTAAGCTTGTATATAAAATCGAAACGCCAACCTATACATACGTACGTATGATCAATCGCCCATTCAAATGCATCGCTAAATATTTTCCGTTCACGTTTAGGTTGTGAAAAATTCATTGTAAGCTTAAACTACCCAATTAGGCTATAGACAATAGACATATTGATGTTGACTCGGTGAGTATGACTGGAAACCCAGCTGAAAACAGTAGATATATTGAACAATAACCTAACATATTGATATAATATTATCCCTCGAAGTCATTAACTACATGATAAAACAATCATTTAGTATCTGATTAATGTCATTAGATCACCTTATGGTGTTACAATACAGCAATCTCCAAGGTGATGTCAATATAAGTCGTAAAACTTTGACGTTACGTTCTTGTATCATGGCATATTTGCACGCTTATATGTCCCGGGATTCAAACTGAAGAATCTATCAAAGAAAATGTCGGTTATAAGCTGTATGGGTGTTAATAAAAGAAATGAATCAAGTCCAGATTTTATTAAAAAAAAGATTTGTCACCCATGAAGTGTTCTCTAAAGCAATGTTTAGAATATTTGGTCAAGAACCACCAGCATGAAAAGAACTGTAAATTGTAGTCGTAATCTACGTTTCGACTACTAAATGACTGTCAAACAAGTTTTGAGGCCAAAAATTGACGTATCAAAACCGCCAACCAAGCGAAATGTCAGTTATAGTTGTGATCAAACTAAAACATTTGAAGTTCCAGGTTCCAGAGATTTGAAATTTTTTAACTTAATGAGCAGTATTAGTATTTACCTTTATGTTGCAAAGGCCTGTGGCCAAATGCTCAAACTTCGAGAAAATTTTCTATATAAATGATTTACATGTATTTATAGTGTCCTATAGGTCGTTGTCGGCCTGGGGTGTTTTAATTATATTTTATATGTTTTATTACTCATGACACTTTAATAAAATAAATAAATAAAATAAATTAAATTCAACATTGAGTAGAACTGTTGAATCAATTTTAAGGCAAATCATGAGGTATCAGAATCGCCAAGAAAGCGAAATGTCGTAATTGAACATTTGACGTTCCAATTTCGACATTTAATAGAACTTTCAAATAAGTTAAAGTTTATTGTAATTAAATAAACGACGTACCAGAATTATATTAAAAGACATTAGAGGACTTTCAAATCAAAAAATTGGAGCACCGGGATTGCGTATTGTGATGGCAAAACTGTTTTTAAAGAACACGGCGTCTTGGACCATCGTTACTCCGAGGACAGCGATCGGGTGTGTAAACGCACATCAGTCTAGCTACCAGGCAAACCTTCTACCATCTAACTTACCCTTTGCATTCGTTTGACTTCACTTCTTAAAAGAGAGCTTCGTCAGGGTACATCTAACTATACGCATATGCTCGAACTTTTGAAGTATATTCAAATATTCTAAATGCGATCTAAAATCATGCACATATCTGGGACATTTAGAGCCTTGTGAAGCCTTATGAAGCGCTAATCGCGTTATTGTAATTCTATGATGAATGATTGAACTAAGTGGGAGTGTTTGCTGCGAACACTTATCACTCTGACCAAATGACGGAAATTGATTCTCTACAATCCCCTGGAAATATTTTTGTATTCGTTCCTGATTATTATATAGTTCCGAATATCGTAATTGTATTTCTAATTTGAATATGATCATATCGCGTTTGCTTCAGTTAACCATCATTAACACTGTCAGCTATGGACGCAAATACATAAAATCAACAAGTTCAAAATAAATAAACCAAATTTTCTTATATCACTTGAAAAATCATTAGACACCCTGAGCTTTCTCGATATCTGGGATTTTCCATAGTATTCCATTATAAGCTGATTTCTGCGGCCATTTATAACGAAAGTCAATGTGACAATGTTTTATGAATAATTTTAACTATGTCAGACATACACTATTGCATAGTAATGGGTCTTTTCATTAGCAAGTATCATTAGCAAGTAGTATGACGTATCGAAGTGTGGGAAGTATTTTGGCTAAAGCTAAATACTGCGTCACAGACTACTGTCTCACAATGTCCTTGGTTGGTTGTCATTATCACCTTACACATTGGTAGACACATATATATATATTATAGAGGAACCAAAATGGCTCAGTTTCAAAAATATCGCAAATTCAAATTTAAAAATGCCCACTGGCTTCGCACCGAGCGTTCATGTTATCCTGCGGCGCCGTGTGTTTTTGAGCTCAGACTGCAGCTGCACAGGGCGTTCGTTGTCCACCGTGAAGCTGTTCTGCTAAGCTAAGATATCTGTAGAAATAGTGAGATATTTGTTAACTTATTCACATCACATCTTTTCGTTTTCAAGTTCATTATCAATATCAGTGATAGAAAGCTGATTGCTATTTTGAGTTTCTCCAACGTGTATCTTTTATGTTAGTCTCAGATTTCAGAAAATGATTAACCATTGTTACAATAGCATTGAGTGTACGAAACATGAAAATCGAATTTATAAACTTAAAGGTGAAGTCGAAATGTTCTAACTGTAACTAAAATTTATCACTCTACGGTTAGGCCTTTATGCCTCGGTCGCATTTGCTCAGATTTTCACTACGGCGCCCGGCCAATCGAGTATTTTATTCAAAATTGAATACAATATTGAACAAAACACACAATCGGCCGGGCGCCGGCTGATGGTTTGGAGCAAATGTGACCCAGGCATTAGTATTACCAGAGATACACACCTGCACTCTACGACGTGCACGTCTGGTACATATTTAAAGTAATGCCTCAGTTACATTTGATCTACGGCAACCGTAAGGCGGGCGTAGCTTCCCAAAATCCAGAGTAATATGCAACATAAAGTATAGCGATAAGCTCTTACATTGTACATTTTCTATATTGATTTTGTGAAGCTACGGTCGCTGTACGCCCGCCGTAGAGCAAATGTAACTACGGCAAAATGATATTTCACCTACTAAAAATATGTATATTGACATTTGTATTCATAGCATCATATCTACACTTTATCTCAATCAAGTATTTTGTCCTAAAGGATTTGATTATGGTCTTGCTGATGGTCTATATAGTAGCATGGGCATCGACCGCTCTGTTCCCTCTGGAGAAGTAAGTTCTAATTAAGCTACCACAGTTCCAA